GGAAAGAGAGACAAGAAAACATATATAATGAAGAAAGTAACAACTGGAAGATTACATGTAATGTAGGGCATAATCATGAGACAAAACATTGAAAAGAACTTAGTGATCATCAGCAAGGATTTTGCTGTAATGCTGTATAAAAACTAGAATTTATTATTAAGAGCTTACAACACTATAAGTGAAGATTGGATCCTACAGAATCTTCTAATAGCAGCCCTCAAATAAATAAAAAAACTACAGTTGGAAATAAACATGAAATTGACATAACTCAATACAAAATTCTACTACCATCACCATGAGAGGGTAAGGCCAGGTAGTTTCAATAACACAGTATCTGAATCAGCAAAAACGTTGCTTTATGCCGATATATCTAGCTATGAGGGAGGCCACACAGTTAGACCAAAGGCTTTTCTATAATGTAATCATGTTTTAGTTGTCGAATAATGAGAAGAAAAGGACAGTCATCCGATATTACAGCATAACATCCAATATTAAATACTCACTGGATCATTTTTGAAAAAGACCAAAGAAGTTCTTGTAAGGATGAACCACCGCTTCTTCCAAGACTTCCAACCTAGTCCTTTGAATCAAAATGCGAGAAACGATATATCAAACAGACCACAAGATGGCAATAGCTAAAGAATCAATTCTGAAGCAGACAAGCATTGCAAACTTGAGTCTTAATGAATAATGAGAAAAACAAGAGCTTACCTTTTGAGGATATAAATAAAGGACCACTCTTAAAAACCTGCCAAAATAGTAATGTTAATTTAAATAAGAGATGACCATGAGCTCACAGTATTTCCTATTTCAAATAACAAATAGATTAGTTGAAGCTGCAGACGTAAACAGCACTCATAGTCTCAAACTCATACAAGAATTCAAGTTCCTTCTAGGGTTATCTGGAAAAGAAATTTAGCTTGAGCTACAATGAACGACATTGACAGAAGTTAATTGGCCATTATCTGCTTCTGTTTTTCATCTAAACAAAAGCTGTCTTTCAAACATCAGGCACCATTTCCAATAAAAAGAAGAGTTCCTTTAACAGCATATCCCTTCAACTCCTGGAAGTCTCTCCATTCCTTTCAAGCTAAAGAACCTAAAAGATATGTGGTTTTCAATTACCTAAGCCAGGTGTTTAAAAATGACAGGGATATCTGTTGCCATAAAGTATTAGAGCATAATAAGTGAGATAAATAGCAACAAACATAACCGAAAGACCAATAATGTCTCTCACAAATTTTCAAAGCTACTTATTCGTTCCTTTTATTCTTTGCCCCATGGGTTCACAGCATATAAGCATCTGCATAAACAAATTACAGAAAACAGATACATGCTTCCAGTTGCGGAGAGAAGTTACCGAAGGATATCCTGATGAAGATGATTAGTAGAAAATACTTAAATGACCCAAACTAAGTCTACAGCCTCGAGAAGGGATAATAAGCACGGTTTTTAATCATATACGAATACGGTTTTCCTTCTGGATGATGTGCTTTTGACTAGATTTGAACAAATACTTTGGGGTTTCACAAGCTTACTGGTACTCAAGCCAAGGTTGATTTTCAAAGAAACAATACACAAAAAATGTTTAAACCCACAATCTATATGGCATTATAAGTCTACAGTTTTTGTTCTCTTTCAAGTCATTGGCTCCAAACTGAGTTTCCAACTCACGACAACCAATTTGGAAATCTGACTCTAATAATATCACTAATCGAGAGCTCATTTGTTCAATTTGTATACTTCTTCGTATCACAGATTTACAAAGTACACTATTTAGATTTACCAGCTTCGGACAAGATCCAACACATTTCCTCATCAACATCCCACTTTCTCAGCAGCCAAACAGATAACAAAAAGCAGAAACAAATCAAAACAGAGACTCCACTCACCGTATTCGAAGCTCCGAGTCGTGGCCGCTCCAGAGCCGCTAAAGAAACCTCCATTGCGGACTACAGTAAATAAGCATCAACCAACCCCAGGAGTTCACAAAAATTCAAAACCTAATGTTTCATTTCCGATTCCAGTAGCAAAAGAAACCACCAAGCTACTTTCTATTTCTCTCTCTCTCCTCTCGGTTCCACAGACACAGCATACCATACCCATTACATCGAAGCTTCTCCCCAGATTTCCGCCATTTTTTCAGTTAATTCTCGCACATCAACGTGGTTTGGTGCCCAGCAAATCCGCTTGAGAGATGAACGAAACCAGAGAAGCTTTTTCTTTTGGCCAACTGCAACTGCAGCTGAAGAGAGAAGATGAGGGTCAGGTACAGTGAGGTGTAGTCTATTTCTGTGCATCGGACCAGTAAAAACGTGCCACGACAACGACAGATCATTTTAACTTCTGCCGTGTAATTTTAAATTCCGTGATGTCATTAAATATTTCAAAAAAAATACTCTAACTTTATAATTTTGATAAAAAAATATTGGGTTAAATATACATTCAACTTTTTAAACCAATCTAAAAAAACACTAAACTTTTTAAATGATCCAAAACATACATAAATTTTTCTACGATTATTAGTGATAAAAAAAATACATAAACTTTTTTCGATTGTAAAAAAACTAAATAAAATAATCTGAACGGTCGGTTACGGGTTAATCGGTTACGGTTATTTCGGATTCGGTTATTTCGGGTTATTAAAACTCATAACCAAACGGTTAATTAATTTTATTCGGTTCGGTTCGGTTTTGTCTATTTAAAACTATAACTAAACTATAACCAAATAAAGATTCGGTTCGGTTCGGTTTCGATTCAGTTATAATATTTAAAAAATCAATTCATTTATAATTAAAAAATATTCAAATATAATATATTATAAAATATTATCATAATTATTTTAACATATAAAATAATAATATTTAAATTTATATTTTGATATAAAACTATTAAATAAATAAAGATCGTTTTTTTTCTAATGTTTATATCATACAAACTTTAAAAACAATAATAACAATGATAAAATGCATTTAAAATATAATAAAACAATTATTAAAACAAGAATATAAACATTCATATATGTATATAAATATATATAAATGAAGATATACAAACAGTTCGGTTCGGTTCGGTTAATTCAGTTTATAAAAATTTATAACCAAATGGTTAATAATTTTTAATCGATTCGGTTCGGTTCGGGTTCGGTTATTTCGGGTTTCAAAAAATCATAACCAAACGGTTATTTAATTTTATTCGGTTCGGTTCGATTCGGGTATTTATCGGTCGGGTTCGGTTCGGTTATTCGGGTTTGGTTATTTTGCCCACCCTACCACGTCATTCGTTTTGTTTATTTTGATAATCGTAGAAGAGTTAAGTGTTTATTTTGTCAAAATTAAAAAATTTAATGTTTATTTGATAAAATAAAAAATTCAGTATTTTTTTTGTCAAAATTTAAAATTTCAGTATTTTTTTGGAGATTTTCTTAATATTTAATTATTTGTATGTTTTTTATATTAAAAGGTGATAGTTACATTCAAATATGTAAATCTACAAAAAGATTAGAACCCAATTATATTCAATTAATTCTCTTGTAACCAAATTTTAACTAAATCTAAATCTAATATAAAAACAAAAAAAAGAATATAAATAAAATAAATTTAATAAAAATCAAGTACGAAGGAAATCCAAATATATCACTTTTAATTTTTAAAATAAAAAAAAAGGAATCGGAAAATAATCAAAACTAAATGAGAGAAATCTGAAATGTTAGATAGTTTCAACTTAATTTGTAGTCCCAATCCCTATATGTTTATAAATTAGCATGAAAGGAGCGTCCATGTGATGCGAAGTGAAGGTGTAACTAACAATATCTGATGAAATATCTTCACTTCAAAAGCCAATTTCGCTTCGACTGTCAAAAGGAGGAGTAATTTGCACGGAGAGATAAAAAAAAGTATTTGGAGTAATTTACACAATGGTCCCTGTACTTTGAAAACTCGGAGAAAATGGGATGACATTTAGCGCCTGGTTCCTACCTTAGAAAACCACTTACAAGAACAAACCATATATTCTCACACAGAAAATGCAATTACAAGATGATTACATACACAGAATGATGGCTCATGAAAAGGGTCATACTCCAAACAGAACTCAACCTCTTTTTTTTTTTTTCCGATTATTACTTGCGGGAGGAGAAGAATGGAATTTCAGGGTTATGTGAGGAATCATAGAAAAGAGGAAGAGGAAGCAGCACAAGAGAAGAGAAAACTATACTGGAATCTTTAAAAGGATGTACAGAGCAGAGAAGGACGACTGAGTGGATAAATGGGAGGGACATGCTTTAGTAGTTAGTTTAGTTCCAAGGTGGAGAAGATGATGGTCTGTGGATGAAATCTTGTGAAGATGAGCCGTAGTTGAGGTCGAGGTTCTGGAGCTGCTCCATGAGCTGCGAACGTCGCTCCTTGAAGAAATCCAGACGTGTCGTTAACTCCACCAGAGCTGCAGATGGAAGCCTCGGGTATTCTGTCATCTGCAACACATGTCATGGTTAAACATTTGAGTTATCCATAGCCCAAGGAAATAAAGCGGGGAATTTCATCTTTTTAAGTGTTGGTGTGCCTTGCTGAAATAAATTATCCACATCCTAACTGTTAGATTTAAATGGTTTGCAAGTTAATGTATTGGACTTCTATCTATCTATCTATCTATCTATCTATCTATCTATCTATCTATCTATCTATATATATATAGAGAGAGAGAGAGGATTTCTACTAGACAGACTTCAATTCAAAAGGGGTTGTTACTCGGCAGCGGATTGAGACCTCAAAGGGTTCAATCAGTTCTAGTCTCAAAAGGTTCGATAAGTTCAGTTTTCTGTCGACTGCAGATAGAAAAGCCAAAAAAGGGTACGGCTTCTTCTGCTTTACACACTTGAATCTCTATTCGTAATATTCCGAAGCCTCTTTCCTAATCATGTTGTTCCACCATTTTGGTCAGTGCCAGAACATTGTTAGCCAATGGAAAGATGAAGAGCAATTCATTTGCTAAGTTGTGGTTGTAGTTAGTACTAGACTCCAAACCATGGGTAAGGGTTTGTTCCTATCAAACGTACAGTGAGCTCGGCCATTATCCACTGCAACTGGACCACCAAAACTAACCAGTCTACGGCCAAGCAGAAAGAGTTGCTCTGCAGTCTTGACTATACTGTCAGTCCAAACGCATCATCCTCGACTAATTTACTTCTACCTAACGAAGAATAGCTAATGATGAAAAAGGCATCACCCTTGATCAAGAGAACTGGTGAAAGCAAAGAGGAAAAGGTCTTACATCTACTGTTCTTGAAGTGGAAGGAACAGATGGGGAATCTATGGCTGGAAGCTCATCCAAAGGCATATTCAAGGACGCTTCAATGTTCACAGAGTCAATCAAGTTCGTTGATTCTGGTACTTGTTGACGAGGTGATTGTCTGCTATTGCAAACAGGCCCAACACCTGCAGATCCCGCTGCTCTACTATTTCTCCATTCTGTCCCTAGGAAACTCTCCTACAGTTTAACAGAATTTTGGACAATTATAGTTTAATCTAAAAAATAAATAATTAAAAATAAATAAGAGATACCTCGGTTCTTTGTTTTCTTTCATTATTTACAAAGGCAAGGGTGGAATCAAAATCTTGCTGAAGAAACCTCCTGCAGAAATGGGACATATTTTAACGAAGAAAAATATAAAACTAATCATATTTTAGCACATACGTGACAGGCTTCTCAAAAGATCGAATGTAATCATCTCAACTTTAAAAGAGCTTGTGATCGATAAGCTAGTATAGTATACTTAATCTGAAGAGTAAGATCTTCATTGAGATCAATAAAGAAGTGACTACTGATGAAATAAAGTTCAAAACATCAAAGCTTACCATACCAAGGATGAGTCATCTCTAAAATCTAAAGATAAAATGGGGAAGAAGTACAAGACAAAGTAATTCAACTCATATTTGCCGATTTTGATTGTGGAGATACCGATTATTATCGCGTGTGTCGGAGAGGGTTCCGAAGTGAGTCTGGCGTTGCTGGCTAAGCTGATGGTGTAGTTCTGCAACCTTCTGTTTCAACCGGGCCACATCAGCCTCAGCCAGAGCAATCTCCTCAAGCTCAGCCCTTGTCTTCACAATAATAATGGTAGAGAGTGTTTTACCATAGCTAGAATTTCAACTGGAAAAGGACAAAATTTGGTTCATACTTACGTTAGAATCCATGCCACGTGAGCTAAAATGTCCAGAAGACATGCTCAAACCGACCTCCAGTGCAGCCCGGAGATCTCTCTCGGCTTGCAGCTGCTCTTGTAAACTTGACACCTATTCAAGTATTCCACAAGGTAAGCTCAACCTGTAAATGAATTCCTTTTTCATCTAACTTAAAAACATAGAAAAAGATCGTACATCTTGTTCAAGTGCCAAGCGACGTTCATGCAAGGCCTGTTTCCTTCTTTCCAAGCTAGCCTGTAATATCGCATTCCCTCTCGCCTATTACAAATAATAACAGTGGAGTTATCACCTTTAATAACTCAGCAGATAACTCAACGTTTTCAGCAGCAGACTATTTTACCTCCTTTGCAATTCTTTGCCGCAATTCATTTTTCGTGATCTCCAGCCTTTGTATAGCAAGCCTATACACAATGGATTAACCATTTGAGACAACATAGATAAAAGTAGCATAATCACCAAATGAAACCACAGAGAAAAATAATTAGAGATGATGGATACAATCAAGAGCGAAAGTCTTACTCATCCTCTCCTGAAGAATCAAATGATCCATTTGTAGGCGTCTTTTTTGCCTGTGCCAAAGAAATTGCACAAAACAAAGGTTATACAAGATTCCCAAGAATACAGAGCCTTTTTGGCCTATACTCTTCTATGGTCGAGTGAGATCAGAACAACTACAGTCACATGACAGAATTTTTTAATAAACCTCCTCAACACAAGTTACAACCAGAGAAAATAAGAAGGTTGGAGTTTTCTTAATTCACACACTTATATTGTGCGTCAAATCAGCTGCATGAAGTACAAAAATCCTAACTGTTTTACAAGATAACTGAACACTTACATTGCCCCGACCCCAGAATGTTGTCCGCTTTGTGTTGACAGAGGAGCCTGTACCCTTAATCGTGGATTTACCACTCGATGATTCAAGTCCAGGAGCAGCCAGAGTCGTCCCTGGAGTGCCAATGTGTGAGAAACATGAATTTTCCCCGTCTATGGCTGGACCATCATCTCCTTTCTTTTCTCTAGCTAGTTGGCCCAAGGCACGGGCAATATGATTATTCCTCACAAGAGGATCAGTTTGCAAGTTTGAATGCCCAATTCGACCGGTGATATCTCTTGGTGATTCAACATCGGAGTCATCAGCAATAAATCCCTACGAAAAAAGTTCATACAATTGAGAAAATCATACAGCTCTCAATTATGTGATACCATGGAACAATACCCAAATAAGATTAACCACAACAGAGGAGATCGTACAGCTGCAGATAGCTAAGGAAGGCATGATCCATATCATAACCAACAGTGAGTATCACTCTAAAATCGAGGCATTTCGGTATATCAAAGGAATATGACGAACAAATATTATCACACAACCTTGGCATGTATGCATGAATTAATTGAGGGGGTAGGGAGGTCAAGTTGGGCAAAACGAAATGAACCTTGTAGTCGTAGAGATCGCAGCCTGCATAACCACTGCTCTCGGTCATTTTTCCACTGAGTGCACGTTCATTATCATCATCGGTTACTGGCTCGACATCATTCTCCACATTATGACATCCACCAACTTTCACGTCTAAGTTTTCATCATCACTTGAATCATCAGGGCCACTATTTCCGATATGTGAATCAGTAGAAATTGAGCATCTTCGTACATTCCCTTCCTGAAAGATCACAGATAAGCAATACAGTTGCATCGAAGGAATTTAATCGAAATCGCAATGATCTGACTCTGAGCCTATCTTACATCAAATATGTTATCATGCTCCTCCAAAAGAATTGTAATGATGGATTGAGCATTATTAGCAGCATTAGCAGCAGCAAGAAGCTGAGCAGAATTATCTTCACTGGTTTCAAATTCGTCTTCTAAATCACATTCACCGGCTACTAGAGGACGTAGGAGCAATGGAGCCATGCAGGCAGCTACAGCAGATGCTGTCATTCGATTCTCGTGAGAATGAGATGAGATAGTATGCATCATCTTTAAAATCCTGCATAGTATTATATCAAGCTAAACATAAGCGTTTCTGAAGAAATTTCAGAAAGGGTTCTCAAGCATCCTTGCTCATGGAAGCCAGATTGATTACATCTAGCAGATAAACTGACTAGGAAGTGGTCAAGCAGTTTTAATTTGCAAATGATTAACAAGCAAAATTGTATGCAGCATCTATTGAATATTATAAACATTTCACCATATCAGAATCAGATAGATGGCAAAAAAAAGGCTTCAAAGTGCATCTGGAAACATACCGTTGTAGTAAACGTCTGTTAGGCTCAGGAAATGTTTCCACTATAGCAGAGCGCAGTGAACTAATCCCAGCTTCCTTAGAATCAATTTCTGATTAAAAAAATTAAAATTGCCAGCAAAGGTGTTAACGTCACAGAATTCCTTTCAAAGACTTAACATATATACATCACTGCAAATAGTCTTTATTGTAAAGGAATGAGCAGAAAGAAGGAACTCACTGTATGCTTCCAGCAGAGCAGTGCAACATGATGCTGGAACCGGAGAAGAAGGCAATTCCCTCAGAACATGCTGCAGATAAAGTAAAGTTGGCTAAACATGTACTAAATAGTGGAATTGAACATTGCAACATAGACATGAAGAAACTACCTTAATACAGTCTCCAATGACATGCGGATCCTCGTCACCACTGAACTCTGTTTTACCTATGAAAAATTATTTGGAGAAAGAAGGAAATAAGGTGAAAAACTCATTGGCATGGGTACACATCAGAATTACCAGGGAAGTGTAAGATGATATAAACATAAGCCCAACCCCGACATAACATAATTAAATTTATCGAGCAAGAAAACAATTTGCGAAGGATATACCTTGTTCGTATTCTTGGACTCTACGTTCCACCTCCTCGACATCCGCAGACTGTCTTAAAATTCCTTCAACATTTGTTCCTGAAGGGGCAAAAAACCAAGAAGCCAAAAGAAAGCAGCGGTTAAATAACTGAACACATTTGCAAAAGAAAAGGAAATTCATATGTTCCTGAATGTTAGAAGAAACTTTGAGACTGGTCATACGAGATAACGAGAACCCAAAAATACCAAAGAATCTAAGCACTGGAAGGACACTGCCCACGACAGGAAAGACGGAGTGGGGGCCTTCGGAATCAAAAGGGGCATTTAACCATCAAAACCTTGAGCATAACAGGCAAACCACAAAGCACAATGATGGCCAAGAAACATACCATACTTCTCAAGGAACTGGAGAGCTTTCTCAAGAAATGAGGGACTTCCATCAATATCTTCAAGAGCAAGCAAGATTGGCCTTCCAACAACCAAGGATTTAACAGGACGCTTATCCCTCCCTAAGTGACCGAAACCATTAATAATTGTAGGCAAAGTTTGACAGATTATGGGAAATAAATTAGTGATTATAAAAGCAGTAAGATGTGTTGGAACAAACATTGATGAAAGGATCCTTCGAGAGACTCATTGGTATCGGCACGGAATATTCCATTGTGACCCATGACAAGTGCTGCATTAGGAGCCTGTGCGAGGGCTTGTTCGAGAGCAGCCTTCCACTCGTACAAATCTTCTGATGTCTCAGCCTACATGATCCAGATTGGAAATGAAAAGAGAAATTAAAACCGGACAAGGGAGCAGCCACCACGGTAACTAGACCATGCTGAAATTAAATGTCTATACGATATGAGATTAGATTCTTATGTGGATATTGAAGTACCTTGAGAGTGAAAGCTCTCCCATCACGCCCATCTGGAAACAACACTGTCAACAATTTTTTATCCTCTCTCACCACAACACTGAAAACGAGAATGTGTAAGTAGAATTCCATGGACTCTGTTCTAAACAGCTGGAAGTATACTACATACCTCCCAGAATTATTTAAGTCAATGCCTCCCAGCGTTAAGTTAACTTCACCACCCTTTTGTGGTAATGCACTCTGCAAAACATTTTAATCAGCTTCCTAGATCACCATTACAATAACCTTACCCTACATTTGCAAGGACACAAATACAGATCCATGTAAATACAGGAACCATTTATATTGGGGGCTCACAAACATTTGCCAAGATAACAAACATTAGGAAACATAACTTGAATACAGGAATGTCTATGCATTCTTTTACATGTATTTAAGAGAAAGTGCTGTTCTAGGTAACAATCCCCAAAGAGGGGGATCCAATAGAAAAACAAAATCTTAGACCCAAATAAAAGTGTTGCCTGTATACCATGTTATACCATGTAAAGTAACTGTGGTTACAATACAAGTTATAGAAGCACATTGTACATTTTGTTACTTAGTCTGATACAATGAGAAAATATATGCGACTTCAACACTACAGAATAACTTTCCAAACGAATTAGACAACTCAAACCACATTCTTTCTTAACATATCTATGTTATCTCTGATGCACGGAGTTATGTGACTTCTGAAGGTAATTAATATTTTTTCCCATGGTGTAAGCAAATATGCAAAGTGAGAGCAAATACTAACAGGGTCATTTTTTAAGAAGACCAAAGAAGTGCGTGTGAGTATGAACCAGCGCTTCTTCCAAGACTTCCATCCTAGCCCTGTAGAGCAGAATATCAGAAGCAACGTTTCAATGGACTTGAAGATCGATTGCTACAAGGAAATAGTTTCATTTCTGCAGTAACTGATAGAAAAAATACAGTGAAGATTGAAAATTGAACATAAAATAGGTAGATAAAACAAATCAAAAGTCCCTGTGAATTACCTTTTGAGGATATGAAGAGCGGACCACTCTTAAAAACCTGCCATAATATAAATGGGATAGATAACATTAATGATCAACATAAGTTTCAGCAATCAAATATACATTTCAAAACATGGAGAAAACAGGTAGAACCAAATGATGGGTTGTAAAATCAACAGAAGGCTTGAAATCTTTCTCCATTCTGTTGCCAGGATCAAAGTCCATGCACTACTCATCGGTTAATTGAAATGCCATCAAAATTCAAATACAGAAACCCTTAAACTTTGCATACTATGGTTGTCCACTTTCCCTCTGAAATCAGCAATTCAATTCCAGGGATTCGACGAAAAGGAATTATGTGGAATCACCGATCACTAACTAAAATACACATCTAATAAATCCCCACAAATCACTAACAAAAGCAGCTGTCCATCAACTTAGTTGCTCTTTTGATGTCTTGGTAATGTACCCAACACCAATCCCATAAATTCTGTCAAGATGCACCGAAAAACTTCCAGGTTGGTGATATAGGCTTCCAAGACTGATTACCACTAAAAAAAAAAGTCCTCATATGACACCATCGCGGTTCTCCAACCACATGTACCAAAAACAACAAACAGATATGGCCTAGCAAAGGTCAAGCTCAATGCAATGTCAAAGTTCCCAAGAACAGCCCCTGTCAATCATAATGCAGGTTTTTTCTTACACTACAGTGAGACTAAACAGAGATTTCCAAACTTTTCCTTTGGATGTTTACGGTCGGACTGAGATTCGAAGAAACTGAATCGTGGATACAATTCCAGTACCACTATCAGCACATTCCCAGATTACAGAAACATTTTGCGATCTACTCTCTCTCTCTCTCTCTGCCATTATCACTTCACTTACTCCGCAACCAAGCAAGAAAAATGAGAAAACAAATACGACAACTGTTGTAGCCCAGAAACTTCACTACCGTATTCGAAGTTCCACCTCGTGGCCGCTCCAAAGCCGCTACAGAAGTCTCCATTTCCACAAATGCATAATCACGGATTCAACCTCGAAGCGGAATCCAGTTCGATCCAGAAAACCCAAAACTAGGGTTTTCCTCTTCGATGCGAAAAAAAGGAAGAACAAGACAACGAACGATAAACTACAATTCACAAATCACCAACCCAGGCTACTCTCTCTCTCTCTCTCTCTCCATTTCCAATCTTTCTCTTCAACAGCATTGAAGAATCACGCACTGGAGAGAAAACCCGCAATCAATTTTCTCCCATTTCCCCGCGACTCACGGGATGTTTACCCGATCCTGTGTGAGATTTTGCTAGAGAGAAAAAAAAGGGAAGAGGCTTTGCTTTACACCTACTTCAGCTGTAGTCTGTAGAGCGAAAGGGAAGATGGGTTATGAGTGTCGGAGAAGTCACGGGTCAGGTCCAGCGAGTAAACCGTAGCGTATTATTCCCTCCGACCAATGCGAGAATGCCACGTCAGCAACACACAAGTGTAATCCTCCTGCTCTCCACTTGGCATGGCATTTGAGTGATCCTTGATCATGTCCTGCGATTAGCCTCTAATTACATACGAACCGTATAATCTCTTACATTATCCTCTGCTCTCCACCTTTAATCATGTATTGTTTGAGGATATACAATATATTTATATTTTTAAAAATATTTGATATTTACAATATTTATTTAAATTCGTTTATATTTTATATATAAATCACTTTACAAAATATACTTAGATCATATATATTATATTTCTACATTCAATTAATAATAATATAAGAACAATTCATTTTTTTTCAGTATTTTTTCTATTTCAATCTGACTGCATAGTACCCAAGTATTTCCATTCTTTGCGATTTATGACTGAACAATACCTTATGTGGTTCCGTTTTTTTAACTGAATTATCAAAATATGATGTTATAATAAATTTTATGAAATAATCTATAGAATTGTGTATTTTTTCTATTTGCTCTTTTTTTGTGGATCGATATTTCATAGAGTTAAAAAAAATCGGGAGATTGACGAATTATGGGGCTTTTCAAACCAATGTAAGATTATAAAAGTTACCTAAGTCATTATCGGTTCACAAATTGAGTTAACAATTATTTAATTATATAGTATTGTTTTATATTCATTCTATGGTATACCGTATACATACATACACACACACATATATAATTAAATGTTATAAAATGTGGAATTGGATGAAATATTCATATTATAACGGGTGATTTCTCAAAATCATCCAAATTATGTGTTCTTGCTTTTTTCCTCGGAAGTGTAATGTTTGAATAGTTAAATCTCTTTCTGTGTCTGTATATTTTGCTATTTTAAGAACGGCTAGGTTCAAAATTTGATGGTTGATAACCTAGTTATCACCAAAAAAAAAATTGTTTGTTTTTACAATGGGTTTATGTGGTATTTATGCTATTTAAAAAATTCCAAAAAATATCGTTACAGAAAAACATAAAAAAGAAGAGGGGAAATCAAGTGGAGAAAATATTCAATAAAAATTTATGCCAGTGTACCAAAAATATATCATGTCATTGGAAATCTATACTTTTTTTTTTTCGTTTGCAAACTATATTTATATAAATTTTTGACAAAAATATCCTTATTTTATTGTCTATTTTCAATATTGACATTTACCGTTCCGAAAAAATATGTTGTATAAAAAACAGATTTTTTTGGAAACTGTATTATCCAAAAGAACTGTTTTTCATCCGGAACAATTGTTTTTCATGAGGAAGAACTTGTTTTCGTCCGGGAGAACTATCTTTTATCCGAAAAATTATTTTTCATCCGGACAAAAAACAGTTTTCCAAGATAAAAAACAGACTCTCTCGGACGAAAAACAACTCTCTAAAAAAAATTGTTCTCTCGGATGAAAAACAGACTCTCCCAGACGAAAAACAGTTCTTGCGGACAAAAAACAGCTCTCTCGGACAAAAAAAAATACTCTCCCGGATAAAAAACAGACTCTCCCGAATGAAAAACAGTTATCCCGGATAAAAAAACAGTTCCCCGAATAACACAGTTTCTAAAAAAATCTGCTTTTTATGCTGCACATTTTTTCGGGATGCTAAATGGTAATATTAAAATTATATAATAAAGTAAGATATTTTTATCAAAAAATTATAAAAAAGTATAATTTGCAAAGAAAAAAATGTATAGATTTGTAATGATATGACCTAAAAACAAGTAAGATTTGTGTCCCTAAAAACAAGTAAGATTTGTATATATATGCAAACATGGATATGATGTCTTTTTTCTAGGCTATATACATTTTTTTAATTAAAATAAAATATTCTCTCTAATTGTTTTATATATTCGACAAAATTGATTTTCAAGAATATTTTTTCTAACAACATCGTTTCTATTTTTATTTTATTTTTTGGTAAAAAGGGTGAACCGTTTCTATTTTATTATTTCTGCCCATCTAGTACTTGTTAAGACAATACATTAATTAGAAAATGCAAACAAGTTGTCATTATACATATGAAACCAAAATATAGTAACTAAAAATATAAACATTAGAATTCCAATCTCATTTTTATAATTTTAAAATTAAAAGAATTGCCGATTGGAGTTTCTTTTTTATATGTTTGGTGGGAATTTGTTGTGGTTTGGTTAGTGCGTAAATTTCGAGATTTTGTTGGGAAATGGATAGAAAGATTATTTTATAAAAAAATTGAAGATATCGTCAAATCCTGATTAAATATTGTATCATGTGATATTGATAGATGATCTACCACAGCTTTATTTATTTTTTTGTTCTTATATATCGGTCAAATCAAACATTTATTTGTTTATATTAGATTTTTAAATCGATAGACTATAACTTCCTTTCATATTAAATTAATAAAATACGAGTTGCATAGTAAAGTAATCCAACAAATCGATCATGGATATATAAAAAAAAACACTGTTTGTATTTTTCTTTTAGAAAATATAAATATGAAAAGTTTTTACAGTAACATGACAGGTCAGTTCCGTGTTGTCGACTTCGCTTGTGACAAACGAATTGGCATCTTTTTCATCTTATCTGCGTCCGGTGCTTTGAAACTGCTAATTACATGTAAACGACATTGTACAAACCGAGAACCTCAACTCCCCTGTCCGAGATCTATATATATACATATATATACCGAAATAACGGGTTTAGGTTCTATTATTTTCCAATAACGTTTTTTATTTAAAAAACATATTCATTCATTCGGTAGTTTTACATATTAAATTTTTGTATTCATTTAAAATTCATTTTGTTTATTTTTTTCATAATTATTATGATCGAGTTTGATTTTTTATTTTAAAGAAATATATTCATTCGGTTTGGTGTTAAGTTTTAATTTACTTTGATATCCTTTTGTTTTGTTTTTTAATTGAACGTGCTAAAAGACGAACGACACAGAGAAAAATATCAATCGTATTCACAAGTCTGAAATACATGTGGCATATATACACAAAACCCTAACAATTGGGAATGACATATTTGCCCTTATATATACAACTCGGTATTACCCTCCCTCAAGTTGGAGCGTGCAAATTTGACAAGCCCAACTTGGACAAAAAAACATCGAATTCTCTCTTGCCTAAAGCTTTAGTTAGGATGTCTGCGAGTTGTTGATGAGTAGAAACATATTTGGTTACCAAAGCTCCAGACACGATTTCGTTGCGTATATAGTGACAATCTACCTCGATGTGTTTCGTGCGCTCGTGGAAGACGGGATTGACACTGATGTGTAAAGCAGCCTGATTGTCGCAATAAAGATGAATGGGTCGGGAATGAGAAATCCCGAGATTATGTAGAAGGTTCTTGAGCCACTTGAGTTCACGAACGGTCATGGTCATAGCACGATACTCAGCCTCAGCAGAAGAGGAAGAAAGTGTTGGTTGTTTCTTCGTCTTCCAAGAGATCGGCGAGGAACCGAGTTGGATGAACCAACCGGTCACGGATTTTCGGTCAAGTGGACAACCAGCCCAATCCGAATCACACCAGGCGGAAATTTGCAAGTCATTAGAAGCACGAAGAAGTATACCTTGTCCTGGATTGAGCTTAAGGTAGCGAACAACACGAAGAGCGGCTTGCCAATGTTCAACTGTGGGACTTTGCATGAATTGTGACAGAGTATGAATGCTGTAGGACAAATCAGGTCTGGTTACCCCAAGATAGACGAGACGACCAACGAGTCTACGATAGTGAGCGGGATCAGGAAAAGGATATGCGGCTGAGAGAGCTAAACGGTGGTTTTGCTCCAAAGGAAATGTCGCAGGCTTCGACCCGAGGAGACCCACCTCAGAAATAATATCCAATGCGTATTTGCGTTGACACAAATAAATGCCATCGGGGCTCCGTGCAACTTCAATACCGAGAAAGTATTTGAGAACGCCCAAATCCTTCATATGAAAACAAGAGTTTAAATAGTCTTTAAATCGTTAAATGGCCAGCGGAGAGTTACCAGAGATGATGAGATCATCAACATAGACCAACACATGTAGGCGAACCCGACCATGATGATACGAGAAGAGAGAATAGTCGGCAAACGACTGTGTAAATCCATAACGTTGAAGAGCACCGACAAGCTTAGCAAACCAACAACGCGGCGCTTGCTTCAAGCCATAAAGAGATTTCTTGAGTCGACAAACACGATTATCACTAGATGTTTGAAAACCAGGAGGCAATTTCATAAACACCTCTTCAACAAGATCGCCATGTAAGAACGCATTATGAACATCCATTTGGTGCACTTCCCAATTCATCACTGCAGCCACTCCGAGGAATACACGAACAGTGGTCATCTTTGCAACGGGAGCGAACGTTTCATCATAGTCCAAGCCTTCAACCTGTCGATTACCCAAGACAACTAATCGAGCTTTATAACGCTCAATGGAACCATCAGACCGATATTTTATCTTATATATCCACTTACATCCAATTGCTTTCTTCCCAGGAGGAAGTGGTTCCAAAGTCCAAGTACCATTCTTATGTAAAGCATCGATCTCGTTACGCATAGCAAGACGCCACTGGGGATCACGAGCTGCTTCAGCATATGTAGTAGGCTCGATATGCGTAGAGACTGCAGCAAGGAAAGTGCGATGTGCCGTAGAAAATTTTTCACAAGAAATGAAGCGTGCAATTGGGAATGGCGTACCAGAGGATGCAGAAGAGGCGGGATGAATAGATGAAGGGCTCAAAACAGGCATTGTGTTGATAACATAATCACGAAGACGAGTGGAAAGTTGTTTAGAACGCATACCACAACCAAGTTCAGTATAACTGTCAGCAACAACAGTCTTGGAAGGCACATTCGCAGCAGAGGGAGCAGAAACTAAACTTTGGTCATCAAGTCGAGACCCAGAAGACAAAGACAAGGAAGTGGCATGTGTCGCGGTAGTCGAATCAGTCATCGGAGAGACCACAGCTGGAGCATCCAATAAAATAGGGGGATGGGACGATATCGAAGCGTAACCCTCCCTGAAATTAGAGACGTCGACAGTATTCTCAGTTGGAGCTAGATCAGATGAGTCATCGTCAAACGCCGGAGCTATAGGCAACGTCGACGGTGGTGAAACAGACGCAAAGACAGACAGGGACTGATACGGAAAGTCAGATTCAATAAATACCACATCACGAGACACCAGAAAAACCTTCCGTTCGAGGTCATAGACACGCCACCCTTTCTGACCATGAGGATATCCAACAAACACACACTTGCGACTGCGAGATGCGAACTTATCGCCTTGGTGTTTCTGATTATGAGCAAAACACAGGCATCCAAAAATACGAAGATGATTAAGTGATGGAGGAGAACCGTTCAGTACCTCAAAAGGGCTTTTGCCGTTAAGCACCGGTGTTGGAGTACGATTAATAAGATAACCGGCGGTAAGAACACATTCTCCCCAAAAATCGACGGGCAATGCAGAGTGAAACATGAGAGCTCGTGCAACGTTCAAAATATGTCTGTGTTTACGTTCGACACGACCATTTTGTTGCGGTGTGCCAACACATGACGTCTCATGCCGTATCCCTTGCTGCAAAAAGAAGTCAGACATGCTGGTAAATTCTGTTCCGTTATCGGTTCGAATCGTCTTGACTAGAGTGTCGAATTGACGTTCAACCATAGTAAGAAAACTACGAAGATATTTGAAGACTTCCGTTTTCGTCCGTAACAAGTACAACCAAACACCACGCGAATAATCATCAACAATGGTAAGAAAGTATCTAGCTCCCGAGAAAGACGTAGTACGATAAGGGCCCCACACATCACAATGTACCAACTGAAAAATGCTTGTACTTTTTATTATTACTGAGCGGAAAACAATCACGGGTTTGTTTGGCGCGTAAACACACCTCACATGTCTTATTATGTAAAGCCGACGAAGAAAACTCAACATCAACACCAGAAACTAATTTCAAAACTTGAGAAGACGGATGACCAAGTCGAAAATGCCACAAATCAAACGAAGATCGTGTACGAACTGAAGCCACATTCACAACACCTTTGAAGTAATAAAGCCCTTCACGTTGTTCACCCACGCCAATCAGCGTCCTCGTAGTGCGGTCCTGAATAAGGCATAGTCTGTCAGTGAACTGAATAACACAATCTGTATCACCCAAGAACTGTGACAACGATATAAGATTGAAGCTCAAATCAGGAACATAAAACACATTGTGAAGCTTGATAGCATCACACAAAATAATGGTTCCCTTGCGTGTCGAAAGTGTGCTCTTGCCATTGGGAAGTCCGACATAGCAAGTAGGCATATCAGAAATATCGGTGAAGAGATCAAGGCAGCCTGTCATGTGATTGCCAGCACCAGAGTCTATATCCAAGATACCTGTGAAGGCTTACCAGTCATAGTCTCATTAGCTCCCATTTTGTTGGAGAGAAGATCAAGTAACGATTTCCATTGCTCGTTCGTAACCCCGCTGATGCCGATTTTGTCACTGTCCGTGATGGTTTGAGCCGAAGTGTGTGAAGGAGACTGATGTAAGGGAGTTGCGTTAACCCGCACCAAGTTGCCTCGACCGCGACCAGCACCAGAAACAGACCCAGAAGCGCCACGACCTCGAGGATTTCCACGACCAGAAGGGCGTGGTCCATTACGCTCTTGTCCACATGATGTTCGTTCCGACCACAATGAGAACAGAGAATGGAATGGTCTCGAGCTTCGATCCGACCCTTTGGTTTGGTATCGGTTTTCACCGCAAATGCCATTGTCTCAAAACGAGCTTCCTTCGACTTGCCCTCGGGTTTAATATCTTCATCCTGAACAACAGTGGCCACAACTTTTTGGAGACTAGGGAGAGGATCATGAGCCAGAAGATTCGATCGGACTGTGCCGTACAGCGTATCATCAAGACCAAGGAGAAATAGGTGAATTTTGTCCTCCTCTCGCTTCTGTTGAAGTTTAGAAGCAAGGTTGCATGTACAACCGCCACAAGTACATGCATTGCATTCATACACGGGCAACGGAGCATACACGTCAAGATCATCCCACAGCCGTTTAAGTTTATTGTAATATGCTTGGACGGTTAAACCTTCTTGTTTGCATGAGTAGAGCTGAGATTTGAGGCGAAGAATCCTCGGTCCGTTAGACACAGAATGTTGTTGCTTAATATCGTTCCAAAGGTCCTCTGCAATCTCAAAGTGGGAAACATGTGATCGGAGATCAGAAGACATAGTGTTACGAATCCATGATACAATCAGAGAATTATTGGCCCACCAATCTTCCAAATCATCATCATCATCACGAGGCTTTTTGATGGTACCATCAATGAAGCCAAACTTCTTGCGCGAGCGTAAAGCAGTACGAATTTCCCGAGCCCAATCTACGTAATTGTGATCATTGAGAATCACTTGGGAAATAAGACAACCGGGATTATCACTCGCCGACAAATCATACGGATTGATGGTCTTGCGCGGACCCATCGTGGATGTACTTGTCTTCTTCTTTGACGCGTCGTCTGACATGTTTCAGAGAAGAGAAGGACGCAAGTCACAGATTCACAACACAAACAAAACTCGAACGAGGATCTCGAGCACAAACTCTGACGGACGTGAAGTCGTCGGAGCACACGGTAGAGACGAAGAACAGATGAAAGCACCAGAAAAACCAGAGATCAAAACACGATCGAAGGGTATTGCTCTGATACCATGCTAAAAGACGAACGGCACAGAGAAAAATATCAATCGTATTCACAAGTCTGAAATACATGTGGCATATATACACAAAACCCTAACAATTGGGAATGACATATTTGCCCTTATATATACAACTCGGTATTAGAACGATATTTAAATTGGTTTTAAAACTTGTTTTTATATTGAAATGAAAAAGAAAAAGTTAGAAAAGAAAATGGTGCAAAGGCTTGTTATAGCATACGATTTGTTGTTTTTTCTTTGAAATAGAATTCGATTTAGGTTTTTAAAATTGTTGAACATTTTCCAATTCTTTAAGCATTTGTACAACGATTTATACATATCGTAAGTCCAACGGATTTCACACTGTCCGAAAATCTGTTTTTAAAAAATTTGTGAAAAAATGATTCAAGTGAAAAAAAAATCTAATAGAATGGGTTAACCCAATCCGATCATCCGATCCAAACCCAAGTCTTATAAGGTTGGATTTCGAGTTCAGTTTTGTAGGCCTAAAAAATATTTAGTTCGCCCCAAATCGAATAGTATCAAGTTGAATGATGGCTCGTTGACACTGAAATGACTCATTTGACATCCTTAATTTTTTATTTTGTTATATCCGTTTTCAATTTTGTTCGTACTACGTATTTATATCCAAAATACCGTAAATACCAAAAAACCCATGAGTCTCAGATGAAAATACTTTGTTTTATGATCTGTTGATGTACTCACCGGTTCATAAGAGACGAAGGATAAGAGATTGACAAAATAGCATTCAGCAATCTTGCGTTGTCCTCTCCCCCTCTCCAATTGTTTGGGAGGGCAAAGCTGTATTTATCATATAGAAGGAAGGGTAAAACCGTCTTTTACTTTATAACTTCCTAGCGTTTGCGATCTCTGAAACGCGCCACCAAACGCCCCGAATCGCTTAACGTCGATTGGCGTTTGGGGTTTTCAGTCACCACTAAAAAATTAAAAAACTCTTTCGAGATCAAACGTCTCTCTTATGTTTCGGGTTTCGAGTGTTCTCCGACGAGTTTCAGCTGCAAACCCTAAATCACTCCATCTCCAGATTTTCCCTCCACTACATGGACGGATCGAACCCCGAGATATCACCGTCGATTCGGCGGCTCGGTGGTTCGTGTCGGGATCATCTTCGAGCCCTAGCTTGTCGATATGGAGACGGAAGAAGGAGATGAGCAAAGAAGGCCTTTTCGCTGCCAAGGAGCTCAAACGACTCCGCTTAGACTCGCTCCGACTCGACCGATTCATTCGTTTCAATGTCTCTCGCCTGCTCAAGTCCGATCTCGTCGCTGTTCTTGCGGAGTTCCAGAGGCAAGACCAGGTTTTCCTCTGCATGAAGGTATGGGGTCTCCTATTCCCGAGTTCGATTTCTAACTTGAAAATGGGTTTTCCATTTTCATTTTGATGTGTGAAATAGCTACACTTGCCGTAGAATATATCTCACTGCTCACATTCGTTGTATTGCTGCAGATGTAGTTTAGATTATATGGTCTGAAATGGAACCATCGTTTCTATGTTTTGGGTCCGCAATTCGAATCGCTTGATTTAATTGACTGTCTATATATGCTTGTTTCACATGCTTGTTCGTGTCCTTTGTCAATTTGACGATTCTGATCTTGTGCTTAACATGATACCTTAAAATAAGCCTGAGCCTTCACCCAAGGAGTCAGCTAGTGTGTCTAATTTAAGGTAACAAAGAGCATTTCTTCTTGTATTAAACTTGTTAGATTAATATTCTTGACAAAGGGCACCTTAATCCCTACTTGTAGATGGAAAGGTGTGGGTGTTTATAGATGAAAAATAATGGTCTGTCCTTTTGTTTTGTAAACCATTCAACTGTTTATATCCTGTATTGTTCTGACTGACTATCTGTTTCTTGGAACTATGTTCTGACTTTTCGGATTTGTGTTTAACTGTTTGGAAATTTGACTGTGATCCTCCTCATCCCTCACCCTAACCATTTTATCCTTCTCCTTTTACATAAAAGTTTATTTGGGTAAGATGCTGACTTGGAATGAGAAACCAAGATTGAATTTGGTGGGGCCTAATATTTGTGAAGATGTGGGCACTGTTAGCCGCATTGTTGGATTGAACTGAAGCCATTAAGCACCGAGTCTACTGTAATATTGAAGAATGAACAGTATATGGTGGCCTTAACGTCTTTCATTTGTATGATTTGGAATGGAAAACCTTAAGATGGTTAGGATGTGACGTAATTGCCAATTGAAAAAACCTCATTGCTAAATCTTCTTCTGGTTTATGGTTTTACATTTGTTACTTTTAGCGAAGACATACCTGAATCCTTAGAATTCTGACATGCAATCTCTTTTCTCCAGCTGTATGATGTTGTGCGAAAAGAAATATGGTATCGACCAGACATGTTCTTCTACCGGGACATGCTTATGGTGCTTGCAAGGAACAGAAAAGTGGACGAGGCCAGGAGGGTCTGGGGAGATCTAAAGAGAGAGGAAGTTCTGTTTGACCAGCATACATTTGGAGACATTATACGAGCATTCTTGGATAGTGGACTTCCTGTAGAGGCTATGCAAATATATGAAGAGATGCGAGCCTCTCCTGACCCACCTCTATCATTACCTTTTCGAGTTATTCTGAAAGGACTCATCTCTTATCCGGAACTAAGAGAGAAGGTGAAAGAAGACTTCTTGGAGCTTTTCCCTGGAATGTTCGTGTATGACCCTCCTGAGGATTTGTCTGAAGAAGATCAATAAACAAGAACAGAAAGCGAATTTGGATTGAGGTCTTGATAGTTCTTTCCTTCACTTCTTTTTTTTCCCTGTTGAATCATTGCTCTTTGGAAAAATACTTCCTAAAAATTAAAATCCCTTTTTCCTTAGGGTCGCTCCTTTACACATGAGATGTCTTAAGGATTGATCTTCTTAATTAAGTATTCTGACATCACGTAGAAATTTAAGCACCCTGTGCTCGACTCTTCTGAATTTTACTAGAACTGATATAATTATTGTTTGTTTCATACTTTGATCATTTTCTAATGCTCTTATTTGGCCAAGCTATTATGCCCTTTCATTTGATCACATTGCTAACTCGTGATAGAGGATAGATGCATATCCTTCACATAGTTTCATGTCATTTTCTCGTGTTTCCTTGAGGTCACAGTTGTTCGGTAGCTGTGATGGTAAAAATCCGAGAGGATCAAAAGCATTAATTACCTGTGTTGACTGAAACCTGTTTTGAAACTTAATTTGAGTGAAGGGCATATATCTTAGACTTTGGTTCAGTGGTCAGTCTAAATGAATTTCTTGCCATCAGATTCCACACTCAAGCAACCCTGACCGGTCCAGTCCATGATTTTCTCCTTAATCTCTTGGGCTCCTTGCTATTTTCTTTCCTGAATTTAAAAGTCCAATGATGTTATATGCAGAGCAGATAGACTCATGCTAAAAATATGCATGGTGGCAATTCCATCATAGATCTTCAGATGGTTATTGCTGTTATTGGAGCATCAGAACAGGTGACACAAGCATGGCACCACACGGGGAATGTTACCGTGATTGGAACTTGGAAGATAAAAAAACATTCTCATGCTGCTTCCGTCGAACACTCAAATCCTTGATGGCACTGAAGAGGTTAGTGTCTTTATCTTCTATTGGATCCTATCCAGTTCTTTGATCCTGGACTATTGCAGCCTAGGATTTGAATGATTGTACCGAATTGGGATAGTTGTTGATCTATGTCTAAGACTGTGCCATTAGGGAAACACTTGCTATGAGTAGTGAGTTTAAAGACACTAAGGTTTCGATTAGTTGTATATCATTGCGTTTGCGACAGTGATTCTGGACATTTTCAGTGAATTTGCTGGCGATTGTGAGTGATTGACGTTGACTGGTTAATATTAACTGATAATGATAGCGATTGCGGGTTGTTGAGATTCAAAGGTGACTAGTTGATAATTTTTTCAATTGCAATTTGATGTAAATTACCAAAAATAAGTGTTTGCTATTTAGAGTTTTAAAATTTTTGGAAAGTGAGGGCATTTTGGTCTTTTTAGCAAAACTTCACAAATTGTAAAAGAAAAAGTTACATTTATATTTTTTTTCCAATGTTTTTTTTTTGTTGTGATTATGGATCATTGCGATTAAACCAATAAGTTTTTCAATCCTTTGCGACAACTAGAAATCGCAGATATTGCGTTAGCGGATGGTCGTGTGACAAACAATGGGGTCGTAAGACACTTTTGCATCTGCGTTTGCGTTTGCAAAAGTCTTCCCATCATTGGTGTTTGCAAACTTCAAACGCTGATTCTTATGGTTTCAATTTGCTTTGAAATCTCCCAAGTTTAAAAAACGTAGTTAACGTTCAAACAGTATTAGAGCAGCACACTTCTTTTTTCTTAATAAAAGAAAAAACGAGTTCAGTCATATATGCGTTTAGGTGACGTTTAATCGTATCAGAACGCACTTGCGTTTTTTTCCAGACAGCGTTAAAAAAAGCGGTTGGCTAATTCGTGAAACAGCCGCCAAATCAGACAATTTCCAAGCGGCGTTTTAACCGCTTTGTCTGATTTGGCTAGTTTTAGAGATAATCCAGGTTTTCTTTATTCAAATATAGTGATTATTGTGTAAAACTTTTTTTTTTGCAACACTATTTAGTTTCCATTTGTAGTGATCAATGGAATACACAGTTACATGTAACAAAACGCAATAAGTATGCAAAAAAAATAAAAACAAAACTGGGGTTAAACGTAGTGTTTTGTCTAGCAAAGTCAATGTACGCGAAAAGAGTAACATTTAACTATATTTGAAAAAATTCATTTGAGAATAATTTCAATTTGATATAAACCTAGATGAATTGATTTCAATTGATATTATTTAAAAAAAAAATAAAAGTATTTGAATAAAAAAAGACAATTCGAAAATAAACACACTAGAGAACTTCAATTCGAACTTTGCCAAAGCAACATATAATAAAATAAATTGCACTTTCTGGGGCTTTTCTTTTTTGGCGGCTTTTCAGTAGTTAACGTCTCTTGCAACATAGAATTTTATATATTCACTAATAATAGCAGCAAATATGACTTGATTTTCTATTATATAATTTACATTGCAAATCTCAGTATATAGATTTATATACGTGTAATTTCGTATGGGATTAGGGTTTTCTTCTATCACACTATATTTTCCATCTGGTAACCTTTTTTTTTTTTAAAGATTCTTTGAATTGGCTGGCTCATATAACTCTCACCTGGATCTAATTTTAAATTTATAGGGTCCGGGAATCCTAATTCATTCATGTTTTTAAACATTCCCAAAAACAAAAGTATATTCCCTCTTAACATTCATTCCCTAAAATTTTGTATGCCAATTTGATATGCGAAAATGGTAATTATATCATCTTTTGATCTGGAAATTAAAAAAAAAAAGACTACCACAACTAAAAGCAACAAACAAAATAGCACGACAGATCGTCTGCTACACACACACATATATATATATATATATATATACAGGCCACGCCACTTCGTCTCCCTCCGTCTCTGTTTCTCTCTCTAAACAAGTAGGACTTTTGATTGCGATCCCACCTGATCTTCCATGGCGACGATTTCCCGCCACTTAACCGCCGGTTTGACGGCGTCGACCAGTCCGCTCCAATTGCGAAATGCGAAGCCAGCTCAATCCGTTTCCCTAATCCGTCGAAACCACATCGATCGTCTTCCTCCGATCTCTCTGCGTTCTTCTCGGAGGTCGAAGCTATGGATGGTCGAGGCGATGCTGCCGGCGAGACCCTGGAACAACAGATCCGAAGGCGGGATCGGAGAGGCGGCAGAAATCAAGAGGCGAGGCGCGTGCGGTTACGCGATCGGCGATAAGGAAATCAGCGGGAGCGGCGGCCATGTGGTCGACACGAATTTCGACCGGGTCGTGGAGGTGGCGATTGCGGCTGCGGCCACGGCCGCCCTGGGCGTTGGGAACCGCGTGATGTATAAGCTCGCGCTTGTTCCTCTCAAGCACTACCCCTTCTTCCTCGCGCAGTTCTCCACCTTCGGGTAACTCTCCCCCTCTCTCTCCGATCTCCTTGTTTCTCGTGCAATTCCTAGAATTAGGTCTGTGTTTTTTTAGCAGTTAATTTTGTCATTGTGGTTTTAACCGTTAATTTGAAAAAAAAAAAACTATCGAAAGCTATTCGTCTAACAAACTATTTCGTTCGAGGAATACAATAATCATTTTTAATAAAAAAAATAATGCATCAATTTAAAAAGATCGTAGTGGGTATCATTTTCGTACGGTATTATGATTTCAAATTTAGTTTGAGCAATATATTGATTATGTATAAGATTGTTATGTACCAAACATACACGGGCTTTTATATTTGTGGGTTTTGGCTGGTTATTTTAACCCCCTCTTTTCAAATCGCGTGTCAAAAATATTTTGTGATTTCAAATTTCTCCATAGTTAAATTTATGGAAAGCGTAGGGGTCTATCTTGACCGTTTTGAAATTCCGAGTCTAAATTCCGAGTCTTTTTAAATATATGGGTCTACGATACAATTGGCCGAAATAAAGATTTCGGTCATACTTGATGTGTGGCCTTTTTTTTTGGTTAGCTTCTTCACCAACCATTTTTCTCACGTGCTCACCTATAATTTCCATGGCATTTTTCAGTCTCCATATAATATATATTGTAAGAAACTTATATTTATTGACAAATTTTCGAATTTAAAATGCTTTCTATAGACATTTAATTTAAGTTCGCGACCTTCTTCTTGCATAATCGCCCAGCACGTTTCCTTAGGCCATGAATCAATTCTTATTTTCACATAATTCACGTATATGTGATTGTATTTAAAGGGTAGTATGCAAGAACGCGCAATTTATATTAAATATAGATCAGAAAGGTATTCTTTTGATTTTTAGTTTCACATACATTTTTTATGTTGTATGTAATAATTTTTTTTCATCTGATATTTTTCATTATTAATGTTCATATCGACGATTTGAACATGGAAATCAATTGTGTAATATAACATGTAAAGAATTAGGTGAATTGCCAATTCTAGGGTTTAGTTTCAAATTTTGATCCGTTTTAATTCCATTTGATTGTCTTCTTTTTAATTATACGTGTGCTCTTTTTAAGTAACAAATGCATCTCTTTTATACGCCTTTTTCCTTTCTTCCATTGATTGAGTTTTAGACGTAGCTTTTGGAATATTGTGAAAGTGATTAGAATTTTGATCATTTAAAAAGGACCATTTGATTCTGCGTAAAGGAGGGAAAAAAAAAATATTATTTAGGGTCTAAATTAAAATCCCTGAATAGGCTAAGTGGAAAGCACTTTGTAAATTGGTGGGCCCATATTGATTAAAGTCCATTAATACCTTCGCTCAAAGTTAGCCACAAAAGTGCTAAAGCACAATCTTAGAGGTACTTGACATTTCCCATGGGCCCAATGGGTCACAGTTTTGGACTTCCACGATGGGCCTGCCTCTTTCTATTATCTGCACTCGTTTCTCTGGGTGTGCTGAGCATTGAAGAAGACGCCTAAAACTGAAAGTAGATAACTTGTATGGTTTTGGACTTTGTTAGTATATGAACTTGTGTTTAACGGCATATAAATGGTCTACGAATGGAAGAAGTCCATTGGCTTTTCACTGGGGGGAACCTAGGTTAAAGATACGAGGGATCGCAATGTTGTAAAACATAGACATGTTTTCCTTGTACTTGCTTGAGTTGGAATAGGATTCTGGTATTTGCATTTTGGACCATCAAGTAATCAAAAGTCACGTGAGGCATAAGTTTATCATGAAATTTCTGTTTTCTGCAGATTGTTTGGCCTCATAACAACTTGTCTTTTTGAGGGCTGAATTTCACATCACTAGTTACCGGGGTCTTTTGCTTAATAGGTTCAATGTATATGCATTTCTCTATATATTGTTTGGACCTTCTATGGTTTATCTTTTCTTCTTCTCATAGTCGAATGTGAAGGGCCGACCTGGCTCACCGGTAAACGCATTTACCGTGGGGTATGAGGTCGCGGGTTCGAATCAACCTCTCTACATAAATGTAGGGGTAAGGCTGCATAGTATATTCCCTTCCTAGCACCCCTGGGTATACAAACGGGATTGGTCCTTTATAGTCGAATGTATAAACATTCCCCTGTTATATTTTTATTTCTAATTGTGTACTACAATTCTTCAACTGTGAAAATAATGACTGCTACTTTCTTATATTATATGACTACTTGATGCCATTGTAATACTGGATGTTTGTTTAGAATTTGCATAGAGTTCTAATTTTTTGTTTTCTACTTTTTTCCTTCGTACAGGTATGTTGCTGTATATTTTGCTATCTTGTACCTTCGACACCGTTCTGGAACCGTTACAGATGAGATGCTCTCCGTGCCAAAAATGCCATTTTTAGTTGTTGGCGTCTTGGAGGCTCTAGCTGCAGCTGCTGGAATGGCTGCTGCAGGTAACATCGGCACATATTTTCTGTTAACCATACTTTTTTCTTTTTTCCCCTTTTTTTTTCCATCTGAATATTGTCTTCAGTAAGTTATATTCTTGATTTGTTTGATGAGCTTATCACTAAGATCGAATACTATGAAATTTGAAATGTAAGCATTGCATGAGACTCAGTTTATTCATCTTATTGTTTTTCCTTTCTTGACTCAGCAAATCTTTCGGGGCCATCCACTACAGTTTTATCTCAGGTAAGAAGCTCTGATTAAGTTTTTAGTCATTAATATGCCATATTATATTTTTACTTAAGGATAATGTAGTGAGAAACAAAAGCATGGAGGGCTCCTTTTATTGCTTATATGAGATCAAAGTACAAAATTAATTTGCCTGAAATTTTCTTCGGTCTGTCAGATTTTCTTTAAGTTGTGTTTTCTTAATATTCTTGCAAGGTGGTAACAGCAAAATTAAGGTTAAACATAATATGTTTTCTGTTTGTTTCCTTGCAGACATTTCTTGTCTGGCAAATACTCTTCTCTGTTATTTTTCTTGGGAGGAGATATAGCATAAATCAACTATTTGGATGTGCTCTTGTTGCTCTTGGTGTTATCGTAAGTGTAGCAAGGTTAGTCAGTCCAATCAGTCGGTTAGTTGGAGAAATATTCAATTTGTCAGTTGCACTTTATCTTTTTATTAATTGAACCTGGATCAGAATAGAAAAACACATTGTTCTTTCCTCTATCAGCCAATATTTGGCATCCACACAAGCATGGGGCCAGGTTGTTTCACCCCGATCTTTGGGATTCCGGAATTGAATGTTTCTTACAATTTTCATGCATCTGCAGTGGATCTGGTGCAGCTCATTCGTTAAAGGAAGCAGGGATATTTTGGAGTCTTCTGATGGTTCTTTCTTTTCTTCTTCAAGGAGCAGATACAGTATTGAAGGTTTGTTAAACAAATTTCCAGTTATAGAACCAGAATACAAGATTTTCCTCTATTGCTGCTCTTTTAACGGTAAATGTCTTTTTTTTTTTTTGTTGTAGGAAGTCATCTTCATAGATTACGCAAAGCGGTTAAAGGTACATAATGGTGTTGTGAAACTAAAACTCAATAGTTAAAAAAACTCAAAATGCTTTAACGAAATCTGCAGTTTGGAATACTGAAACACATATGCTCTTGTTATTACAGGGTGCTTCGCTTGATCTGTTTATCGTGAACTCGTATGGTTCAGCTTTCCAAGTAGGTATTCTTTATCAAGCCCCCTGTTCTTAGTGCCCAATCTTTTCTGTTCTTGGCAACTTATACCTTCAAACTACGGTTCTTTTCTTCAGTGAACTTTTATTTTCCAGCTCCTGAGCTCTTCTGTTTGGTTATGCCAGGCCATCTGCATCGCCTTGCTTCTTCCCTTTCTCTCAAAACTATGGGGCATTCCGTTTAACCAACTTTTCAGCTATCTCAGAGATGGTGCTGCTTGCTTTATGAACATTGGTACTATGACAATGGGTAAGTGCACGTTAGAATTTCCATTCCTTTACACACTTGTCCATCCGCGTGTATTGTTTCACATGCTTGCTCCCGAAATCGGTTTTGATGCAGGATGTGAAGGGGCACCGCTTCTTCCAGTGTTGTTTGTCATTGTCAACATAGCATATAACATCGCCCTCCTACGCCTCATCAAGATCTCATCCGCTGTTGTGTCTTGTCTGGCATCCACTGTTTCAGGTACACATTCCTTCTCTTCAGACTTATCACATGCCTTAATGGAGAAAAACAAAGACCCCTGTTCTCTGATCATTTTATGAATCACTTTTCCCTCTACCAATATCTTTGAAGATGATTGAAAATGCAGAGGTTTAGATTCTAGTTAAATTTTGCATCCTTTAAAGATTCGACCTCTATAGGTAATAAATATATACATTTCCATATGCCTCTTGGTCAGCACCCTTTTCCCAAATTTTTATTTGTTGATCTTGTCTATCTAAATGTTTCTGATCCAAAATTTCGTATCTTCCTTAAGTGATAGAGCTCGAACATTGTATGAATGATAGAATATGGTACTAACCCCAATGTCTTGTTTGCCATTTTTTTGCTGTGTACCAAAAACAAATTGCAGTGCCGATAGCTGTGTACATGTTTACACTTCCCCTACCATACCTTGGTGTTGCGTCATCACTTCCGACGGGATTTGTAGCCGGAACCTTCATACTTGTACTAGGAATGCTCATATACGCTTGGACACCATCCAACGATCCCAATTCCGTAATCCCTTCGGCACCTTCCACCTAGTTTCTCTCCACCACCATCTCCGAGCACACACCAGCATATATTCATCCTGGCTTGAATTCCATCACCTCGTAGGCTTGGTTTGATCTCTCCTCGCGTGGAAAAAAACCAGGAAATAAAAAGAAGAGAGCGAAAAAAAAAGAGAGCATTCATGTAGCAATTTTTGTATTCTCTTAGGCCTATTTTGTTTACTATCAATGGGAAGACGAATGCGTGGTTCAGACAAGAACTGGTTCCAAGTAGTGGCTGAGCCAACAAAGAGGTTGGTGTATTGTTGTAGCTTTGTTTGTCGATAGAAGAGTGACCAATCCAATACCATCCCCATTTGTGCTTTCTTTTGGTTAATAGCTCGATTCATCAGTGAGGTTTCTTGTCCATTGACGGGTTTATCGTAGACGAGAACCCCATCTTTGGGTTTGTATTCGGATTTCGGTTTTGGCTGGTCAGGTATCCGAAATCTCTCCTCCGCCTTCGTCTCTCTTCTCGCGGCTCGCCTATTTTCCTCGCGGGCTCATCTCTTTTCTCGTCGTTCATCGCTCTCTCCTCGGGTACCCAGTGGACGAGGAATCCTGATCGTTTGACAATCGAGAATACAAGTTTCTTGTGACTGAAGCAATCAAACGATGAATACAACAACCGGTTCTAGTATAATCATGCATCTCGCTCTCTATTTTTCTCGTGATAACTCCTGAATTCAAGCCCTTCCTTCAAAAAAAAAATTTATATGGGATTTTTTTAACTTTCTGTCCTGTTCAAATTCAATATAATTCTTTTATTTTATTTAAAAATTAGTTTTATTTTCATTGAATTTCTTTGGTTAAGTTAATATTTCTTTCATGTTTGACGAAAAATGGGCATCCAATCAGTTTAAACAAAAGGTCGTTCATATAGATGTGGTTTGGTTCAGTATGTTTCTACTTTCTATTAGGATTTATAAATCTTCTCATATGTAAAAGTACAGTTCCTCCCTCGAGGACGGAGTTATCAAAATTTCTCAATTAATTTTATATTCATTAATTATTAATTATAAAAAGACACCAACTTTAATATATTTGATATTTATGTTCATGTTCCTTTCATCTTTACTTCTTTAAATTTAGTGGTATTACAAATGTTTGACACGTGTCAAAGAATATGAATAATTTCTTCTATATTAATTTAACATTAATTTTAATCTACATTAATTTTTCCCATAGTTAATTTATACGTTTTCCATATAAACTAATAGAAGTTTCAAAATATATATTAATTTTATGAGTTAATTTCACTTCTATATTAATTTACTACATTAATTTTAATCTACATTATTTTTTTTTAATTTCTTAATTTATACATCGAGGAATATAAATTAATAAAAGTTTCTAAAGAATATATTAATTTTTTGTCACATGGTTAATATCACGTCAACTACCAAAATGATGCACCGTATGAGTGTATTATTATTAATATCATTTCAAAATGTTGCAACAATTCACCGTATGAGTGTATATATAATTCATTATATATAAGATTATTATTATTATTATTATTATTATTGCCGCCTTTTCGGTATAAATTATGTTTACCAAAAAAGCTTGCTAACCACTCCTCTCGGGCCATTGATTGAAGTGCTTTGGGGACTGGCAAGTCAGAAACATCTCCGCCTTCTCCGCTTCCATGAAAGTAGCGAAAGATAGCTCTATGGTCAGAGCAGAGTGGCCTTTTGCTCTCACACGACCGCCATGCGTGAAGCTTCATCGTCTTCCTCAGTCTTCATTTCTAGCTCCGGCAAAGCTCTTCTCACGAACCTGTTCACCTTCACCAATTTCGATTCGTTTCCCGAGAAAATCACCATTCGCAGTTTTTAAGGGCTCGAAACGCTTTATAGTATCTTCATCGCCGTCTCCCATGAACTCTCCTCCTCCTTCGTCTTCTTCTTCGAAGGTGAAGAAGTACGATGTGTTCATCAGCTTCCGAGGCGAGGACGTGCGCAACAGCTTCACGAGCCACCTATTTACGGCTCTTTGTCGCGAGAAGATCGAGACATATCTGGATAGCGAGAAGCTCCGACAAGGAAAAGATATCCCTCCGGCGCTCTTTGAAGCGATCGAGGAATCGAGGATCGCCGTCGTGATTTTCTCTCGGTGTTTTGCGTCCTCAAGATGGTGTTTAGATGAGCTTCTGAAGATTCTCGAGTGCAAGAAGAAAAATGGGCTGATCGTGTTACCTGTCTTCTTCGACATTACACCCACAATCGTACGGCGACAGACAGCGAGCTACGCGATGGCGTTCGCCGCACACGAGATATATTACGGAAGGAAGTCGGCGGCGGCGGCGGCGAAGGTGAAGCAGTGGAGAGCTGCTTTGACGGAGGCGGCGAATTTATCTGGATTCGATTCCGACGTCATAAGGTATGACTTGTTCTTCCGAAACCTAAAACGCTTGATTGTTCGGTAATCATGAAGAATCGATGCGCATAAAGAAATTTCATCATTGATCCAAATCATCGTCTGGGTTGAAGAATGTTCTGTTTGTTTGAATTGCTTGGAATTTTCTTGAGAGAGCCACTTTTGAAATTATAAGCATCTGAAACCAGAGCAGAAGACTGTTAAAATTACGATTTGTTTAAACTGCAATTTACTGGCAGGCCTGAATCCAAACTCACTGAGGAAATCGTGGCTTGCATCTTGAAGAGCCTTGGTGATTTATGGGTGAGTAGTCAAGATGACTTGGTTGGTGCAGAATCCAATATAAAAGCAGTGGAAAAGCTTCTCGGTACTGAGAAAGACAATTTTCGGTGTGTGGGAATATGGGGAATGGCTGGTATTGGAAAGACAACGATTGCTGGAGCTATCTTTAATCACATCTGTGGTCGATTCGAAGGATGCTGCTTCTTAGCGGATGTTAGAGAACAATCAAAACAACGACAGCTCTTTACGTTGAGAAACGAAATACTTCAACAGATTCTTGATAGGAAAGATATAAATATACAGACTCCTGACATAGGCCAAAGGTTTCTCAGAGACCGACTCCGAAGTACAAGAGCCCTTATAGTGCTTGACGATGTGAGTAGCTTGAGACAACTTGAGTTTTTGGTCAAGGACATTCGTTATTTTCGTCCTGGAAGTAGACTTATAGTTACATCTCGGGACAAGGATGTGCTTAAGCATGGGTTTGATGCGATTTATGAGGTAAAAGGATTAGCTGACAAGGATGCTCTTGAGCTTTTCTTTCGATGTGCCTTGAAGGAAAATCTTCCCTCTGAAGATCATCTGCGAATTGCTAAGAGGGTTTTACAATATGCAAACAAAAACCCATTAGCCCTTAAAGTCTTGGGTTCTTTTCTGTATCAGAAAACTCTGGAGGAATGGGAAAGTGCATGGGGTAGACTGCAGAATTTTCCTGACGCAGAAATTCAGCAAATATTGGAAATAAGTTGTGAAGATCTGCCAACGGAAGAGATGGATATTTTCCTTGATATAGCTTGTTTCTTCAACGGTGAAGATACAAGTTTTGTCACACGTATGCTTGATGGTTGTGGTTTTGATGCAATTATTGGAATAAGAGCACTCATAGATAAGTCGCTACTAACTATATCCAAAAATAGGCTGCAGATGCATAATTTGATCCAAGAAACGGGTAAAGAAATTGTTCGTAAAAAGGCCCCTCGAGTGCCTGGAAGACGCAGCAGATTGTGGGATCATGATGATATCTATGAAGTACTAACAACAAATGAGGTAAACCCTTGATGCAAGAACTTTCAATTGCACATAAGAAAGAAACGCCAATGGTTTTGAAATGTACATGTGTATTTCAATTACACCTGACACTTTTATGATTAGCAACAAAGTCACCAGTCATGTACTTCACATGCTTATCTTATGTTGAGGAGCTAGGATCCTTCAACCGAAAGGAATCACAAATGTTAATTGTAATACATTATATGTTCATGTATGTGTCCTTTCTTATGTCAGCCAGCTGATGCTGTCGAATGCATATCCTTGAACTTGTCTGAGGTGAAAGAGATGCAGTTAAGCGCCCGAGCATTTGAAAAGTTGTATAATCTCCGATTTCTCAAATTTTACACTACAGAAGGCTCTGATGAGAAATGTAAAGTGCATTTTCCTGAAGGCCTTAAATTTCTACCGAACAAGCTTAGATATCTCCACTGGCACAGCTATCCTCTAAATTCATTTCCACCAGACTTTTGTCCCGAGTTCCTTGTCAAACTCTCTATGAGATACAGTTCTCTTGAGCGACTGTGGGATGGATCCAAGGTACATACTTGACACGCTGAAAATTATATACCAGCTTTTGTGTATCGCCATATCGATAGGACATGTTTGACATGCTTGCGTAAATAAGCTTAACCATGTGTTCTTTCTTCGGATTACAGGATCTCAATAACCTAAGGTGGATTGATCTTTGCTATTCCATGAATCTGAAGCACATGCCTGACTTATCAGGAGCACCAAAGCTTGAGCATGTAACTCTGAGGGGCTGCAGAAAACTTGTGGGCCTGGTTAGTATCAGTTGTAAGCTAAAACATCTTGAGCTTTTGGATCTTTCAGGATGCTCAAATCTGAAAGAATTTCCCGAAATTTCGTGGGACATTAAGGAACTGCTCTTGGAAGAAACTGCCATAGAGGAGCTTCCTCCGACAATTAGAAACTTCCACCAACTTGTTAGATTAGACATGAGAAACTGCAAAATGCTCAAGAATGCTTCAACCACCGATTATGAGTTAGCATCTCTAGAATACCTCAGTCTCTCTGGCTGCTCAAAAGTCACAAAATTTCCAGAGATCTCAAGGAATTTGCAGAAGTTGCTCTTAAACGAGACCGAGATAGATGAGATTCCTTCATCAGTAATCTTTCTCGGAAAACTAATTCTTTTGGATCTGCAGAATTGCAAACGACTCGAGAGTCTTCCGAGCAGTATATGCAATTTGAAGTCTCTCCAAGAGCTTAATCTCTCTGGATGTTCAAGCTTTCATAGCTTCCCAGAAATCCTTGGAACAATGGATGCTTTAAGTTGTCTCAATTTGAATGGAGCAGCCATCAAGGAGCTACCTTCATCAGTTGAGCATTTAAGTGTGCTTTCTTCCTTGGACCTTGGGAACTGTAAAAATCTGGTCAGTCTTCCAGATGAAGTTTGCAAGTTGAAGTTCCTTAAAGATCTTAATCTCTCTGGATGCTTAGGGCTTGAGAACTTGCCGAAGTGCTCAGGTATTATGCCATTGAGGAAGTTGAGAGCAAATAGATGCAACAGTCAAGTTATTGGCTTTCTATCCGAGAACTTATTCTCATTAGAAACTCTGGATCTAAGTGAGTGTGGTTTGTTAGAGTTTCCAGACATCTTGACTCTTTTGACATCCTTGGTGGAAGTTGATATCAGCAAAAACGATTTTGAGAAAGTGCCTCCCAGCATTATTCGGCTCACTGTTCTACAAAATCTTGATATAAGCTATTGTGACAGGCTTCACTCCTTACCAGAGCTTCCAAGTTCAGTAAGTAAATTAGTTGCACATAACTGCTCATCACTCGAGGTAATATTGAGAAATAATGGTACTGAGAATCGGAAGGTTTACTATTCGTACCATCTGGAGACCTTTGTTTTCACAAACTGCTATAAACTCAATCAAGATGCAAAACATATGATCTTGCAATATGCGGAACGAAGAATCCATACTTTGACGTCATATGTGGGGTTGACGTTGAATCTATTAGGCTGTACATCAGACTATGCATGGATGCCTGATGAAAAAATAAGATGCATTTTATCTACAAGGCACGAATGCAAAGACTTTGGCGAAGCATTGGGAGGACTTTACCAAGTTCTCTTTAATGAAGATCCTTTGGCAGTGGAAAGTCGTTTAACGATACTGATCCAAGTTGTATTTACCATTCTTAGTCGGTGTGAGCTTGACTTTCAAGGACAATTACGGTTTGTTACGTGGCTTGCAGCTCTCTTTCTGTCTTACCTTGATAAGCCTTCAACCAACTTCTGTTTTCCAGGATCCAATCTCCCAGAATGGTTGAAGTTTCAAAATGTCGGTTCCCATATTACCATGACTTTTGAACCTAGTAAACCGTCAGATGTTCATAGTCAGTTTGTGGGGTTTGCTGTTTGTGTTGCCATTGAATTTGGAAATTACAATGAAGACAATGGTTTCAGTGTCAAATGCAAATATCATCTCCAGACTGAAGAACTTGGTTCATATGATGGAGTTTTCTACTTGAGGGGCTGGGGTGGTCAACAGAGTAAACCCATACGGGTAGAAGGGGATCATCTGTTCTTGGGTTGTGACTTTTCTCTAATCTTTGAAGCATCTAGAGGAATGCTAAGATATTCTAACAATCTTCGTGAAGTTTCATTTGAGTTCTTTGCGGTTGATGGGGATGACAATCCATTAAAGTGCTGCAGCGTGACAAAGTGCGGAATGCTCCCTCTCTATTTCCGTGACATGGTTCGTTGTCCACCTAATGTTTTCTTTTGATAGGTTCTATATTTTCAGTTTATGATTTATTTGGTAGATTATAGATCTTTAGCCAGTTCTTCTACTGAAACAACTCATAACCTTGTCCTTGTCATGGCTAAATTGCTCACCAAGGCAAAATTCTCTTTTAGAGCCAGTTTGTTAATTGTTCTAACTTCTAAGTCTAGGCAGATCGTTATGTCTGGCCTAGCGCGTATATTTTTCTTATGGAAGGCTCCTGATCGTGTCTTTTATCACATACTAGATTCCATCAGAAAAGGAAACCTTGGACAGAGATGACAATAGCAAGGGACGCGAGGTTAGCATCAATCTTCATTACTCTTTAGCGTCTGCTTGCTGAAACCATGCCAGAGGTTTTAAGTTCCTATTCTTTTGGAATTTCTCGTATGATTACATTACGACCACTACCGCTCCTACATTTATCTGTTCAGTATGGAAGCTGCGTCATGACAAAACTGGAGAGAAACGATGCTTGTTCTCCTCGTGTTCCTATATTTCATTCTTTATTCATATTGGATGCCATCCTTTTGGTGTCAGGACTCCAGAGGTTATGATACTTTACTGCTGAGCATTCTCAAGCGCTACCTTTATTCTTCATATGAATTTGTTCACGATCAAAAGGTACTGTATATCTCTCTCAGGTATATACAATTCATGCCCTATATATCTAGAATAACTTATTTGATGTTGGTGCTGTAGTAGTTCCAAATTTAATTGGTTTGACAACTTATTTTCTTGCATCCTTAGTTTTTTTCTTCTTTTTAAGAATTGGTTGGTAACTTCACATTGAGCCGCATTACCACTTCTTGCTACAAAAAGTTGGTTATCTAGTTGAAATCCTTAATGATCTGAGTTTCAGTTGCTTATTACTGTCAAATTTAGAGAAACTTTGAAATTATAACATTAGCATGAATGATTTGCTTAAGTACAAGATTCATAGTTGTAATGCTAACACAATCATACAAGAAATTTCGTGTCGCTGGCATTTTAAATGGTTTGCCCGCAAAAGGAGGTTCATAATCTCACTTCTTAGTCTTTCTTTTTCGAGTTTGTGACTGAGGAAAATTCTGTACGCTAGAGGAAACAGGGAACAGTAGTGTCTTCCATTTGATATTAGATAGACAAAAGCTTTGATGCTTAGTCATGTTTCTGTGAAACATTGCCTGCAGAATGGGAGTATTTATCTTGCGCATATGCACTATTTTGTGGGTGAAAAAATATTTGCCCGCTCAATCGGACCCGCCGTTTCAGGTTTACCACTTCTCTTTCCAGTAGTCGGGTTTCTTGGGATTTGTTTGTCTTTGCGCAGACAGTTTCTTCCTCTTCTGACCATTGCATTTTTTTTCCTTCCAAAGACAGAGAACATTTCTCACGTGCTGAGTACATGGAGAAGTTTTTGACTTCCCTGCACGCGTCGGACAGGATCGACCAATTCAAGGATCAAAGGGTGAGGGACACGCACGGTGTCGTGGTAAGCTTCTTTTATTGTCTGCTTTCTTTGGGGCCTTTTCAAACTGAATACCAACCATTGGTTTTGGTTCATTGACAGGATAAAGATGTGAAAACTATAAACTGGTGGATGCTCCTATTATGTGTGAGTTTTGCTGTTTCCCTACTCTCTGCAACTCCATCTGTAACTTACAGTACGATTCATTCTACTCCAGAATATGAATATGCACTCCTCACCTGTACAAGTTGTGCAATGGATCCTCAATAAGCGGTTTACTTGTGTTTTGTCTCTGAACTTGATGGCATACCAATTTCACAGGTTATTGGCATTTTTGGACTTTCATGGTGTTTCATCCACGGTTGGACGGACCTTCTACTCGAACAGTAAGCTGTTGTGAACTGATGAAACAGCTTCAAATCTCCATCCAGGTACCCCTTTGGTCGTCCTTGTTCGCCGTATTGAACCAGAGAAGAAGATTTATTACCGTACCTAGAAGAACATGGTCGCGCCACAGATTTGTTACTGAATCATAGATAAATGCAATGTGTTGAAGCATGATATATGAAATGACTAATGAATATATAAGAACAAACTTTGTTCTTCAACTTTGTTTCTGCCTCTTTTGGACTGCGTGGTCGCAAATCCATGTTCAGATGGTCAACTCGGTCAGAATCAACCTTTACTCGATCGAGTTGTGAAACTGCTTGGGCTCAAGCGACACCTTACTCGGCCGAGTGATTTCTGTGCAGATATCTTACTCTACCCGAGAAGACACGTTCTGCTTGATCAAGTAAGTTTTGTCCTAAATGCTAGCTCGGCCCGAGCAGACAAGCTGTTCGGCCGAGCAAGTCTAAAGGGGAGATCCATAACTTTAATAGCCAAAGGGATCCCTGTTCCCCACACTAACCTCCTTGACAGCTGCAAAAAATCTCCTGCACTCCATCATATTTGTCAAACGCCACGAGGAAGATGCGTACTTGTTAGAAAAAACCGCCAGTGAGATCATCGATCACGCATCCATCAGCCCCCGAGGACTCTCCTCGCCCTGGCCTGAGCCTGTCGCTATCAATGTAAACTTCAATTCCTTTCCTACCCCGGACATCGTAGAGAGGCCCTTTGTGCTTGGAAACTGACGAACACATCGTGTTTCGACCCAAGTCGACTGACGGCAATGCAGAGGACGATCGATAATCAGCCGCGACGCCACTGGTAGGAGACGATGAGGGAGAAGAACACGACAATGATCGATGATCTACATGGGCTTTAATGATATGTCAAGAAACCTCGTCAAATAGATGTGATTTGGTTTAGTACGTATGTTTCTGTTACACGTGGATGGAGAGTATAATTAGGATTTATAAATGAAATTACAACTATTATTATTTATTATTCCAAAAGAGCTTGCGAGCCACTCCACTCTATTGAATGAAGTGCTCTTGGGGGTGGCAAGTCAAAAACCTTTCCGCCTTCTCCTTTAGCTTCCATGAGAGCAGCGAAATAGAGATCTATGTTCGGAGCAGAATGGCCTTTTACTCTCACGCGACCGCCATGCCCGAAGCTTCTTCGTCTTCCTCCACAATCTCCGTCTCTAGCTCCTACAATGCTCTTCTCACGAACCTCTTCACTTGCACCAATCCCCACTCGCTTCGCTTCCACATTCCCGAGAAAACCATCATTCACTGGTTTTAAGGGCTCGAAACGCTTTACTGGAGCTTCGTCGTCGTCTCCCTTGACCTCTCCTCCTTCTTCGAAGCCTTCCAAGTACGATGTGTTCATCAGTTTCCGCGGCGAGGACACGCGCAACAGCTTCACGAGCCACCTGTTTACGGCTCTTCGTCGCGAGAAGATCGAGACATACCTGGATAGCGAGAAGCTCCGACAAGGCGAAGAGATCTCCCCGGCGCTCTTGGAAGCGATCGAGGGATCGAGAATCGCCGTCGTGGTTTTCTCTAGGGATTACGCGTCTTCGAGGTGGTGTTTAGACGAGCTTCTGAAGATTCTGGAATGCAAGAAGAAAAATGGGTTGATGGTGTTGCCTGTCTTCTTCGACATTGAACCCACAGATATTCGACGACAGACAGGGAGCTACGCGCCGGCGTTCGCCGCACACGAGAAGTATTACCAGAGGAAGTCGCCCGCGGCGTCGGCAAAGGTGAAGCAGTGGAGAGCTGCTTTGACGGAGGCGGCGAATTTATCTGGATTCGATTCCAAGGTCGTAAGGTATGATTGGTTCTTCCGAAACCCATAACTTAGCGGATACTTGTTTTTTTCTCTGCAACACTTGATAGATTGATAGACATGAAAATTCAATGTGCATTAAGAAATTTCGTTATTGATCCAAATCATCTTCTGGGTTGAATAAGTTTCTCAGTCTGAATTGCTTGGCATTTTCTGGAGAGACATTTTTGAGATTATGAGCATCTGTAACCAGAGCTAAGATTCTTTAATGATCGAGATTTGTCTATCGTTTCTCTTGAAGAAAGCTCATCGGACCCGTTTACTTAAACTGCAATTTATTGGCAGGACCGAATCCAAACTTATTGAGGAAATCGTGGCTTGCATCTTGAAGAGCCTTGGTGATTTATGGATGAGTAGTCAAGATGACTTGGTTGGTGCAGAGTCTCAGATAGAAGCAGTGAAAAAGCTACTCGGTGATGAGAAAGACGATTTTCGGTGTGTGGGAATATGGGGAATGGCTGGTATTGGAAAGACAACAACTGCTGGAGCTATCTTTAACCACATATGTGGTCGATTTGAAGGATGCTGCTTCTTACCAGGTGTTAGAGAACAATCTAAACATCGGGGCCTTTATAGCTTGAGAAACGAAATGCTTCAACAGATTCTTGATAGGAAGGATATAAATATAGAGACTCCTGATATTAGCCAAAGGTTTCTGAGAGACCAACTCCGACGCACAAGAGTCCTTATAGTGCTTGATGATGTGAGTAGCTTGAGACAACTAGAGTTTTTGATCAAGGACATTCGTTATTTTCGTCCTGGAAGTAGACTTATCATTACATCTCGAGACAAGGATGTACTTAAGCATGGTGTTGATGTGATTTATGAGGTAAAAGGATTAGCTGATAATGATGCTCTTGAGCTATTCTTTCGATGTGCCTTGAAGGAAAATCATCCCTCCGAAGATCATTTTCGAATTGCTAAGAGGGTTTTACGATATGCAAGCCAAAATCCATTAGCTCTTAAAGTCTTGGGATCTTTTCTGTATCAGAAAAATCTGAAGGAGTGGGAAAGTGCATGTGATAGACTCCAGAAATACCCTGACGCAGAAATTCAACAAATATTGGAAATAAGTTATGAAGATCTGAATGAGGAAGAGAGGGAGATTTTCCTTGATATTGCTTGTTTCTTCAACGGTGAAGATACAAATTTCGTCATAAGTATGCTTGATGGTTGTGGTTTTGCTGCAATTATTGGAATAAGAGCACTCATAGATAAGTCACTGGTAACTATATCCAAAAATAGGCTGCAGATGCATGATTTGATCCAAGACATGGGTAAAGAAATTGTTCGTCGAGAGGCACCTAGAGAGCCTGGAAGACGCAGCAGATTGTGGAATCATGATGAAATCTATGAAGTACTGACAAACGATAAGGTAAAAGCTTTTGCAAGAACTTTCAACTGCAATGAATCACACGTGTCAATAGTTATACGTTATGTACTCATGTATGTGTCTCTTTTGATGTCAGGCAACTGATGCTGTTGAATGCATATTCTTGAACTTATCCGAAGTGAAGGAGATGCAGTTAAGCCCCCGAGCATTTGAAAATATGTCTCATCTCCGATTTCTAAAACTTTACACTACAGAAGGCTCTGAAGAGAAATGTAAAGTGCATTTTCCTGAAGGTCTTAAATTTCTATCCAACAAGCTTAGATATCTCCACTGGCACAGCTATCCTCTAAATTCATTTCCACCAAACTTTTATCCCGAGGACCTTGTAAAACTCTCTATGAACTACAGTTCTCTTGAGCGACTGTGGGATGGATCCAAGGTACATACTTGACTTGCTGAAAACTATAGACCAGCTTTTGTGTATGGTAGGACATGTCTTACATGCTTGCATAAATAAGCATAACCATGTGTTCTTTTCTTCGGATTTCAGGGTCTCCAGAACCTAAGGTGGATTGATCTTTGCCATTCCATGAATCTGAAGCACATGCCTGACTTATCGGGAGCACCAAAGCTTGAGCATGTGTTTCTGAGGGGCTGCAGAAAACTTGTGGGCCTGTCTAGTATCAGATTTAAGCTAAAACATCTTGAGGTTTTAGTACTTTCTGGATGCTCGAGTCTGAAAGAATTTCCAGAGATTTCGTGGGACATAAAGGAATTGCTTTTGGAAGAAACTGCAATAGAGGAGTTTCCACCGACTATTAGATACTCCACCAACTTGTTAGATTAGACATGAGTAATTGCAAAATGCTCAAGAATATTTCCAGCGCTGATTATGAGTTAGCATCGCTGGAGTACCTCAGTCTCTCCGGCTGCTCAAAAGTCACAAAATTTCCAGAGATCTCAAGGAATTTGCACAAGTTGATCTTAAATGAGACCGAGATAGATGAGATTCCTCCATCAGTCATCTTTCCTGAAAAACTTATTCTTATGGATCTGCAGAACTGCAAACAGCTCAAGAGTCTTCCGAGCAGTATATGCAATTTAAAGATTCTCCAAAAGCTCAATCTCTCTGGATGTTCAAGCTTTCATAGCTTCCCAGAAATCCATGAAACAATGGATGCTTTAAGTTGTCTCAATTTAAATGGAACAGCCATTAAGGAGCTCCCTTCATCAATTGAGCATTTGAGTGTGCTTTCTTCATTGGACCTTGGGAACTGCAAAAATCTGGTCAGTCTTCCTGATGAAGTTTGCAAGTTGAAGTTCCTTAAAGATCTTAATCTCTCCGGATGCCTTGGGCTCGAGAATTTTCCCAAGTGCTCAGGTTATTATATGCCGTTGAGGAAGTTGAGAGCAAATAGATGTAATGGTCAAGTTATAGACTTGCTATCGGAGAACTTATTCTCATTGGAAACTCTCCATCTAAGTGAGTGTGGCTTGTTAGAGTTTCCGGACATCTTGACTCTCTTGACATCCTTGGTGGAGGTTGATATCAGCAAGAACAATTTTGAGAAAGTTCCTCCCAGCATTAAGCAACTTACTGATCTACAAAGTCTTGATATAAGCTATTGTGAGAGGCTTCTCTCCTTACCTGAGCTTCCAAGTTCGTTAAGAAAATTAGTTGCACATAACTGCTCATCACTCGAAATGCTGATGAGCAATAGCCATTCTGTGACTGAGAATGTTTACCCTTCATACCATCTGGAGACCTTTCTGTTTACACACTGCCATAAACTCAATCAAGACGCACAGAACACTATCTTGCTATATGCTGAACGAAGAATCCATTCTTTGACGTCACATGTGGGGTTGACGCTGAATCTTTTAGACTGTTCATCAGACTGTACGTGGATGCCTGAGGAAAAGATAAGATTCATTTTTTCTACAAGGCATGAATGCAAGAACTTTGATGAAGCATTGTGCAGACTTTATCAAGGTCTACTCAATGAAGAACCTTCTCCAGCTGAAAGTCGTTTTAATATACTGTATCTCATTATAGTTGCCGTCCATAAACGCTCTAGGCTTGACTTTCACGGATGGGTTGGGTTTTTTACGTGGATTGCCATCCTCTTTCTTTCTTACCTGGACAAGCCTTCAACCAACTTCTGTTTTCCAGGATCCAATCTCCCAGAATGGTTTAAGCTTCAAAATGTCGGTTCATTTATTACCATGACTTTTGAACCTGGTAAGCCATCAGATGCTCATAGTCTGTGTGTGGGATTTGCTGTTTGTGCTGCTGTTGAATTTGAAAATTACAATGAAGACAACGGTTGCAGTGTCAAATGCAAGTATCATCTCCAGACTGAAGAACTTGGTTCATATGATGGAGTTTGCTATTTGAGGGGCTGGGATGGTCAACAGGGTAAAGCCATGCTGGTAGAAGGGGATCATCTGTTCTTGGGTTGTGACTTTTCTTTAATCTTTGAAGCCTCTAGAGGAACTAGAGGGATGCTAAAATATTCTCAGAATCTCCGTGAAGTTTCGTTTGAATTCTTTGCGGTTGATGGGGATGGCAATTCATTAAACTGCTGCAGGGTGACAAAGTGCGGAATGCTCCCTCTCTATTTCCATGACATGGTTTGTTGTCCACCCAATGTTTTCTTTTGATACATGTTTTATTTTCATTTAATAGTTCATTTGGTACATTATAAATTTTTACTCAGTTCTTCTGGTGAAACAACTCATAACTTTCGCTTTGTCATGGCTAAATCGATCACCGTGACCAAGTTCTCTTTTAAATCCAGTTTATCAATTGTTCTGAGTCCGCCCAAGTAATTATGTTAGGCCTGATAGTCATCTGCGGAAAAGTTTGGTGTGTATATTTTTCTCACGCAGCTTGTTGGTCATCTCTTTTATCGCATACTAGATTCAATCAGAGAAGGAAACCTTGGACAGAGATGACAAACGCAGGAGACTTGAGGTTAGCATCAGTATGCATCACTCTTTAGCTTCAGCTTGCTGAAACAACTTCAGAGGTTAAAAATTCCTATTCTTTTGGAATTTCTCTTATGATTACATGACTGCTGCTGCTACTACTACTACTACTACATTGATCAATTTGATCTAATTCGGAATAAAAGCTACATCTTGGCATAATTGGAGAGAAATGATGTGTAAAAGTCTTTCTCCTTGCGTTTCTATATTTCATTCTTTTTTCATACTCGATGCGATCTTTTTGGTATCAGGACTTCAGAGGTGGTATTTTACTGCTGAGCATTCTCAAGCACTACGTTTATATTTCATTTGAATTTGTTCATGATCAAAAGGTACAGGACAACATATCTGTCTCAGATATATTATTCATGCCCTTGCAGCATACATGTTGCTGCTGCAGTAGTTCCAAATTTAATTGGTTTGACAACATTATTTGTTGCATACATATCTTTTTCTTTTCTTTTTTAAAAATTGGTTTGTAACTTCACATTGAGCCAGATTAACACTTCTTACTAAAAAGAAATTCTGTACTTCTTCCCTTAGTTTTCTAATTGAACTCCTTAACTAGTTTCGGTTGTTTATTACGTCAAATTCAGAGAAACAATGAAACTATAACGTGAATGATTTACTCAAGTCCAGGTTTGTAGTCCTAATGCTAACATAATCCTATCCAATTACCTTATCTTTGGATTATATCAACATCTATTTTTACTGGCATGTTTTAAATAGTTTGCTCGCAAAGGAGGTCCAAATTCTCACATCGTAATCTGTTTGTGGAGCATGGTCGCAGAATGGGAGTATCTTTCTTGCCGCTGCGTACAATTTCGCGGGTCATAAAATAGTTTGCTTCCCCATAGGATTCGGTGTCTCAGGTTTATCACTTGTCTCTGCAGCCTGTTTTCAGTACTTTGAGTTTCTTGGAATTTGGTTGTCTTTGCCCAGAAAATCACTTCGTCTGACAGTGACATTTTTCTTCCTTCCAAAGACGAAGAACATTTCTCACGATCCAAATACATCGAGAAGCTTCGGATTGCGATACGTGCATCAGGTGGAATCGACCAATTCATGGATCAAAGGGTGAGGGACATACTCGGTCTCGGGGTAAGGTTTCTTTTACCCTTTCATTTGCTAATCCCATATTCTGTCTATCTTCTTTAGGTCAATTTCAAACTGCGTACCAACTATTGGTTTTGGTTAATCGACAGGACAAAGGTGGAAAAGCAATAAACTGGTGGATGCTCCTACTATGTGTGAGTTTTTTGCATTTTCCCTATTCTCTGCAATTCCATCTTGAACTTATGGTACGATCTTTTCTGCGTCAATGATTCATCGTACTCCTAATTTGAGGTCATTCTGTCCGAATTTGCACTCATCTGGACGAATTCAGAAATGGATCCTCACCAGCAGTTACTTGAATTTTGTCTCTGAGATTGATGACATCCCAATTTCACAGGCCATCAGCTTTTTTGGACTTTCATGGTGTTTCATACATGGCTGGACCTTGTAACCTGACAGTAAGCTGTTGTGAATTGACAAAACAGCTTCGTATCTCCATCCAGGTACCCTTTGGTCCTTGTTCACTGTATTGAACCATAAAACAAGATTTACTACCATACTGAAGAACCACATGGTCGCAAAATTTGATGAAGCATGCGATATGAAATGACTTATGAAAATAAGAACAAACTTTGTTCTTCAACTTCTTTCGGACTGTGAGGTTCCTTTGTGGAGGTGATCATCTTCAGGGTGCTATACTTTTGGTGCGCTGTGTTTTTCTTTTAATGAACTCAGGGCAGACGCTCCCTGTGCTTGTTTAATTAGTTTTATCCCATAGCATTTATTTTAAAATTTTATTCTTAAAATAGATAAAAAGCAAATAGTATTTTACATTTGCCCAAATTGATAAAATAAAAAAAAATATAGCTAAGCGCACATATTCTTTTGTATGAATTTAGTAAACTAACATTTTCTGTTTCTTAATTTTGTTAATCTAAGCTTTTTTGTTCAAGTTAATAAAAGTTATGTTTGCCACATTCGGATTTCTGCTTCAGAACTATTTTTTTTTTTTACAGATTTCTGCCTACAAAAAGTAAAGTTTTTCCAAAGATTATTAAATAAACTGTTGAATCACTCTCAGATTGCTGACTTATTATTCGTCTGGCATGGAAGGGCTTTGTGACTTGCAGGTCAAAAACCTTTCCTCTGCAACTTCCACGAGATCAGCGAAACAGAGCTCACGATATTAAAGAGCAGAGTGGTATTGTGCTCTCACCCAGGCGGCCATGCCCGTTGCCTGATGCTTCTTATTCCTCCGCAACCTCCATTTCCATTTTCAAAGCTCTTTTCGCGAATTTCTTCTCCTTCTGCAGTGCCTTCTCGCTTCACTTCAGGATTTCAAAATTTCAGATAGGAATCTAAAAGAATCGAAGAAGTACATATGATATAATTTCTGTAGAATGCGTATCCACGTACAGGTTTTAACTCAAACTAGCAGGGAAACAGAACAAGATCAGATGGAGAATTTTCTGTATAGTTTCTTGAATTCCGCTTCAATCATGAAGAAATACGTAATTATATAACAAGTAAATGACATGACAGCTACTTAAATTCCATAACTGCTGAGCTTCACATGCTTTTTTCGCTCCAGAGATTTAAGTTGTTAACTAGTCACCATTTCCTATGTGCACGTGTGTCGTCTGCACATGTGAAATATGTCGGGATTTACCTGTAAATGCAAAGTTTTTACGGTGGTTACATTTTTTTTTACTGCCAGGATGCCAAACTTATAACTTTTAGATCACTTACCAGAGATTTCACTGACCCAAAAAAAGGAGTTTGTAGAATGTCGCTCATGGCAAAATCGATCTGTCTCCATGGCAATTAGTGATAGTGATGGGGAACATAAGGATCGAAACTCATATTCATCTTGGCCACTTCACGTGACGCCACACCTGTCGATCAACTGTAAGGGACTCAGATCTATGATTGAGAAGTAGGTAAGTTAGTGATTCACAAAAAAAAAAACAGCTAAAAAGCTTTCTTTGAGGATTTGCAAATGGGCTACTATGATTAATAAAGACCTATAAAAAGAAAGAAAGAAACAATAGCAAGTCTGATTGCTTACCATGACATGGTTTTCCAACGGACGGATATTGCATTTCTTGACTTTGTATCTGTGACAGCTACCTTCGCCATCCACATGCGAGTACTCAAATGAGACTGCCCTCTGATCTTGAGAATGCTGAGGCTGTTCAATCAGCTTGACTGTACAAAACAATGGAGAAGAATCACATCCTCCAGAAACATGTACGAGGTAAAGGGCATTTAGATGGCAAAACTCATAACACTCACTATCAGCCAATATATGCAGCCCTGCAGCATAAACTTTATGGAGCACATTAAATTGGCAAACAAATGCAAATGCCCAACTATTAAGGTACATTTCAACAGTGCATAAAAATGATAACTGAGTATTCCTACTGCCAAATATGTCATCTTCTTTTTGAAGGAATCCAGAAAAATATCGATTATTAAAGCATAAAATGGATCTATGTGTTTGACCTGAGAGTGGTACTGTCCCGAGATGCATGTTGAATATTTGAAGTCCAACAGGCAGACCTGCATTTTCGCATTTTATGACGATACAGACATACCCTCCCTGCACCCAAATTAAGTACCATTTATGTGACGAGGCAATCCAGCAAATTTTATAAACAGCATACATAAACATGCATTTTCATAGACAATCTTCTGTAAACCTGTTGCATAAGCATACACGGGCCAGCAATGACTATGATATAACTTAGACGGCTACTCAAATGAAACGTATGCTTGTATGGATTGTAAATCTTTCTAAGAACGTACCTGATGGACAACATCCACTGATAAATCACCAAGAACGTTCAAGATGCCTAATGAGATTGCACAGAATAAGTCCAAGTTGCTAAACACCTGAAACCATGAAGTACTCAAGTTGGAACAGCCTCACTCCTGTAGCAACTGACTTATTACTAGGCATGAACGAATCAAAATAGCAGTTATCAATGAAGATTGCATAGTCTAGAGAGAGAAAATAATTGGAAAAACATCAAGCCAGAGAATGTATCACTACTTAGCCCCAGCAATCCAGGTTTAGGAGAAACTTGAATTTCAGTAACTCAACAAACGTAGAAGGGTATCACTGATACATTTAGTGTATGAAGTAGACACAAACCTCTCCGAGATATCCTGAAAAAGTTTTGTTCAATCTTTTGGTTATGCCCTGTCTGCACAAGAGTTCCTCACTGGACTTGGCCTGTCAATCAACAAAAAACAAGTCAAAATGGTAACCATAAATTATCTATGCTATGCTCAGATGGAAAAACGAAGCACCAGTTTGATAATTTGTATCTGTAGAATAAGAAGCCTACATCATAAGACAGCTTTCGCATGATTTGAAAAGGGAAAAAGGGAAAACCCCAAAAACAAAAAAGTTGACAGACAAACTATGAAACAGAAACCTATATATTTATACTACTAGAGTCGTGAATATACATGTATCACATAAACATATTAGACATCGGGGTATATAAATCATATAAATCAGAAGACGAACTAGATACCGTGTCATTGATGTAGAGTGGTTGGATCGCACACTTCTTCACCGTGCAAGAGTCAATGGGATTACCATCCTCATCCACCACATGAAAATTAAAGGCGACTTCAACAAGATCTTGAGAATAACCAACAAACTCTTTGATTCCTTTGGCAGCATTAAACAAAAGAGAGGAGTCATAGCCCAAGAATAAATGGTCCCCTTCAACTAACAAGGATTTATCCTTTTGTCTATCCCAGCCCCTCAAATATGTAGCTCCATCACGTGCGCCAAGATGGTTGGAATAGAAATAATATTCACATTTAATACTGATACCCTTATCATCACTGTAGTCATCGAAGGCAACAAGAACAGACATAGCAAAACCTGCCAAAGTAGAACAGTCATTTGTTTGCTCAGGGGGTTGAACCAATGTGGCGATATATGATCCATCATTTTGATAGCAAAACCATTCAGGAATCTCGGTCGCAGGTAAGCAGAAATTGGTGGAAGGCTTTCCTTGGTAGTACAAGTAAAGATGTGCAACCAAGGAGAAAAAGCCTAGTAAACCTTGAATATCTAGCATAAACCGGTCCTGGAAGTCGTGGAGTATGCGACCAAGTAGGCTATATTGAGGTACCTCAGTAATGAGCTCATCGCTGAAAAATGCTTTGTGTAATCCTCTCAATGCTTCGTAGAAATTCCCATAGCCATACATGCTAGAGAGCAAGTACCCCACTTGTTGTGGTGTGATCCATCCACTACGAGAGAGGCAATCTCTAAAATTTAAGACAACAGCCAGATGAGATGCCAGGACATGGACTCTTCGTTTTGCAAATGCCTTGATGTTGTCTAGTGCATGTTGGCTTAGGTTTGGACAATTTGCAAACACATAGGTTTCGACGTTTTCCAATGGATAAAGTCGAAGTTCAGAAGATTCACTGAAGGCAACCATCTCCAAAGATCTGCAGTTGAGTACAATTAGCCTTGTTAGGCCAGCTGGAAGCCCCGATAAACACTGCAGTTCCTGGGAATGGCTTAAATCGAGACTTTGGAGTGCATGAAGCCGCTTAATGCTTGAGGGAATTCTCCTAATAAAATTATGGCTCAAATCTAGCTCTGTCAGTGAAGGTAAGTGCGTTAAAGCATCAGGAAACTCCATGATTCCACATTTACTCAAGTGTAGAATTTCTACTGAGCGCAAGTTACCCACTAGAAAATCAACAACTTGACTTTTACAACCACATGCTCTGACCCTCCGCAAATATTCAAGATTCCCGAGGCTCAGTGGCAAACTCTCAAGGTTTGAGCAGCCAGAGAGATTAAGATCTTCGAGGAACTTTAACCCACATAAACCATGTGGAAGACTGACAAGACTCTCGCAGTTTTCGAGATCAAGAGAATAAAGGCCAGTCAGGTTCTCAATCAAAGAAGGTAGCTCAATTATGCCCGTTCCATCTAAAGAAAGATAATTTAGCATGCCCATGGTCTCGAGGATTTCTGGAAAGCAGCTGAAGTTTGAAGATCCAGAAAGATTAAGCTCCACCAGAGATTTTAACTTACAAATACTACTTGGAAGACTCTTCAGATTAGGGCAGTTCTTTAGTTCCAGTAACTCTAGTTTTTCCATGCACTTGATGGATGAGGTGATCTCTTCTACAGAAGTCTCATTGAGAAGTAAAACTTCTAACTCTGAAGAGATTAGGGGAAAACTTGTCACATTAGAGCAACCAGATAGATCAAGAAATTCCAACTTTTCCACCTTCTGAATCGCGTTAGGAACACACTTAAGCATTTTACAGTTCTTCATATCAAGGACAGCAAGCCGATGGAAATTCTCAATTGACGGTGGGATTTCCTCTATTCCACTATCAGCCAAACGCAAAACTTTTACATTCCATGAGATCTCTGGGAATTCCTTTAACTTTGAGCATCCAGAGAGATCGACCAGCTCAAGTGATTCCAATTTTTTTTCAACAGACGGGACGCTTATTAGATCTGTACAATCTCTGGCAATAACACACTCGAGTCTATGAGCATTTGACATGTCTGGAAGTACCCTCAGAGATGTGGAATAGCTGAGATCAAGCCGTTTTAAGTTACCAAGAGGCTGCAAAGGAACCGGGATTAGTACAAGAATCAATTCTCATAAAAAAAATCTCATGTTAGAGACTATGAAACAAAATGCATTGCTTTGCATATGAAACTGTACCCTGTTTCCTTCCCACAATTGTTCGAGGCAGGTATAACGCATACAAATTTCGACAAGGTTGTCTGGCCGAAATTCTTCTGGCAAAGTTCTCAAAGGATAGGTGTCCCAGTGAAGGAGCCTCAGCTTCCTAGGAAGAAACTGAAGGCCTTCCGGAAGGTGGACTTTGCCGTTTTTTTCATTAGACCAACTGTTCTTGATTCTCAGATATCTCAGGTTCCGCATCCCCATGAAAACTTGAGGACTTAGCTGAACAGATTCCTCTTCTGACAGGTCAAGGGATATACCTTCAATGTATTCAGTTCCCTGATGAAAAGAAACAAGAGAAAAGTTATAATGGTATGTGTCGCCTAAATACAATGTTCACCATTCTCTCTTTGTAACCACGTGGATAGCTCTTATAACAGTATGCTTCTATCTGATTTGTAGTATAGCTCTTCAATATTCAGGTGAAATATATAAGATCTGGACATTACCGTATTTTCTGTTAAGACTTCCTGGACTTCATCATTAGACCACAGCCTGCTGCGCCTGCTGGGATCCCGAGTTGATTCTTGTAAAACAATTTGTCTTGCCATGTTCTGTAACAACTCATGAATTTGCAGCTTATCTCCAGAACAGGTGATCAGAGACTTCTCAACAAGTGACTGTATTCCAATTTCGCCAGAGAAGCCACAACCATTAAGAAGATTTGTTACAGAACTCCGATCTTCCCCTTTGAAAAAACAAGCCACATCAAGAAATATCTGCTTATCTTCATCATTAAGTCTATCATAACTTACACGGAGTATATCATAGACTCCCTCATCAAGGGACTTTTGAAATCTCTTCAGTGCGCTTTCCCACTCTATTACAGTTCTCTTACAGAGAAAAGATCCCATAACTTTAATAGCCAAAGGGATCCCTTTTGCGTAATCCAGTAACTTCCTTGACAACTGCAAATAATCTTCAGGAGGGATGTTCTGTTTGAATGCACAATGAGAAAATAGTTCAAGAGCATCAACTTCAGTTAGCCCCTTTACAGAATATATTTCATCAAGGTTCTTGATTACATTTCTGTCTCGTGTAGTAACAATGATTCTGCTTCCAGGACCAAAGTAAGCTGGTTCTTTGATTAAAAATTCCAGTTGACTAATACTGCTCACGTCATCAAGAACTATAAGAACCCTTCTGCGACGTAGACGATCTATTAAAATACTGGACCTGATTTCAGGAGTAGCTATGTTAATATCTGTCTGAAAAAGGATTTGACGAAGAAGTGCATTCCTTAAACTAGTAAGTCCATGTCTTCCAGATTCTTCTCTGACATTGGCAAGGAAGCAATAGCTATCAAATTGACGGTATAGACGATTGAAGATAGCTTCTGCAATAGCAGTCTTCCCAATACCACCAATTCCCCATATCCCTACGCTATGAACATGATCAGGCCGATTTTCCAGCAGTTCTTCTACTGTTTTCACTTGAGAATATGCTCCAACCAACCCCTCCTCTTCATGCAAGCTCATGCTTTCTAGCTTCTCCAAGATGCAGGTAACAATTTGATCAATCAGCTTTGTTTCAGACCTAGAAGATGTTTTTTAATAAGAAACAGGGAAAACAATATAAGACGCCCATGTTTGGTTCTTTTTTTTTTTTTTTTGTGGAAGCAAAGACAAAAATTAAACAACTCTATTGCAGTAAGAACATTAAAAACATCGAAAAACTTCTCATGAACCTTCTAGGACCCAGAGCTCAAATTTATTGCACTCCTTATAGCACTTTACTTCTGATCGCAATACCAAACAACACAAGCCGTCTTCTGAATTGAACTAAGCACAGATTAGTTCCCCTTGAAATGGCCATGTTCTCTAAGCTTTTCAGACAAACTATAAACAATGCCGGTGGTGAATTCTTCTCGAAATGGTATTCACTCTAGAGAACAAAGCAAAATCAACAAAAGAAAGAATCTAAGCAAAACAAAAACTAAAAACATGTGACGAATTCAACTCACTCCACAGCAGAGGAAACAAATCCGGAGAGATTGGATGCTTCCGTCAAGGATTTTTTCCACCCCTTCACTTTCTCAGCCCTTTCTGACCCCTCAGGAGCCTTCTCATGCCTAGCAAATGCCACGCCGTAGCTACCGGTCTGCCTCCGAACCTCCGTGGGCTCAACCCCAAGGAAGACTGGCAACACGGTTTGGCTTTTGGTTCTCCTGCACTCCATTATCGTTGACAGCTCGTCCAAACACCACGAGGAAGACGCGTAATTCTTAGAAAAAACCGTCAGTGAGATCCTCGATTGCTCGATCGCATCCTTCAGCGCCCGAGGATTCTCCTCGCCTGCCCTGAGCTTTTCGCTATCCATGAAAGCTTCAATTCCTTTCTTACGCAGAGCGTGATAGAGGTGGCTCGTAAAACCTTTGCGCGTGTCCTCTCCTCGGAAACTGATGAACACATCGTATTTCGACCGGGATTCAGAAGAAGACGACGACGATGACGATCGATAATCAGCCGCGACGCCGACGGTAGAAGAAGAAGAAGAAGAAGATGATGATGATGATGATGACGACGGAGAAGAATACGACAACGATCGATAATCTACATTCAACGCAGTAGAAGGAGGAGCTGGAGAGGAAGAGCATTTGAGAGGGCGTGGGAACCTGACAAAGGAAGGGGTTTCATCGCCATTGAACCGCCGCGGAGAGAGATATGAGGGACGTAGCCGCCGTGTCGGAGCGGAATAAGGCGGCGGACATGGATGACTCATCGAGGGGACGTTCGGTCTGTTCATCGCCTCCCTTCCTCTCGATTTCTTCCTCTTCTTCTTCTTCTTCTTCTCTTCTTCTTCTTCCTTTACATATAACTTGGTTTCCCTTCGAAGGAAGGGGCTGGATACAATATTTTTTTTTTTTTGGAAATTCTAAAATTTTAAATGGAAAATTTTACAATTATGCAACACAATAAGTTTCTATTTTATTATAAATATCGACCGAAAGATTTAATTTTTTGCCTTACGACAAGGATGGAAAATTGAAATGATTGATATTGGACTTTTTTGTTTTCCTTTCTCCAATTTTTTAATGTGTTCTTACTTTCTTCATTTTGTGAATTTATTGCGTCAATGTATGTATGTATGTACGTATGTGTGTGTATGTATGTATGTATGTATGTATGTATGTATGTATGTATGTATGTATGTATGTATGTATGTATGTATGTATGTATGTATGTATGTATGTATTAACTAGTATGATAATTATGTAGTTGTGAACTTCAAAATTTCCTAAACTTTAAAAGCTTTATAGTTATCCATTGAAATGTTTCATATGCAATATTAGGAGAGTAATACATTTACACACGCAAAAAGTGATGAATTAAAATATATGTAATAAAGAGTTTTTTTTTAAAAAAAAAAAGGAATTCTTAATGTATTATATAAAGAGTGCTTTCGACGACCATATATCATAACATGGAAAATAAATGAATGATGTAAGACTGACTCAGAACCTTCGTGTTCAGTTTACCCTTTCAATTTTGTTTAGAGGTTCATTGTTTGTTTGGTGCACATAATTTGGATTTTAGATTTTAATATTAAACTAGATATCGTGGTTGATAAATACTTATTGTTTGGTCTACACAAGTTTGCAAATTAAAACTTAAATGATCTTTCTTATTCAAATGGAATTCGGTTTTTCCAAGAATCATACAAAACAATGTTATGGAATGTCAAACAAAATATTTAGAAAGGGAAAAAACTAGAAATGCCTCATTTTCACTTTTTCAAAATGATTACACCTCCCACCGCTACAAAAAATCGAAACTGCTCTCATAAACTTTCAGCGTGTTTTGTCATTCACTTGCACATACACTTATATCAAGACATTTTCCAGTAGGTCAGATTCTTCCAAAATCATCACGCTTAACTTTAGAGTTCTAGTCGTCAACCGAAAAAATATATGCACTTTATTGATATGAGTAGTCCAACTAATTCTTTTATGTTATATTAGATCATAAAAACTATATAACAATTGTATCTCTCTCGTTCCAGTGTGTTCGATTCATTCCTATATCTTCTTTTCTAGCGGTACTCGGAGAACTACTCTTTATATATGTCTTCCGCACCGGCGATCACTCCCCATTATCCTACCTCGGAATTCCTCTAGAAAACATGGATGATGCAAGTTTCCAAATATACATTGGTTCTTTATTTTGCATGAGCCATGAAAAGTTGTATCTTTTGAGAAAAAAATAATAATAATTCGATATAACAATTAATGTCGAAATCTAGCTATCTGGTATAATATCTTAAAATAAAATGTGATACGAGACATATCATAGGGCATATAACTAATTGATGGTTTTTACCATTTCACAGTTGTCGATACATGCATCGATTCCTAGCAAATGATTGAATTGGTAAATTTTTATTTATCATAACTCGTTCTCTTGGTTACACCAAAGCAAGATTATCATAACATATGTGTTATTACATTACGTCACAAGATAAAAATTTCGACAGCAATCAGATTACTCGGACACGACACGGTTTCACAACAGAAGAATATCTTAAAATCCCCCATGAAATGCTCTCAGCCATTCTCCTAAATCCCTTTGAATAAATTTCTTTTTTCTTTTTTCTTTTTTTCTTTAAATAACAAAATTGCATATAAAGCTTTGGCCCTAAACTCCCTCCCTATCAGAAAACCCTATATTCCCTTAAACCGAAAGGACAGAACAAAAAAAAAAAAACCAACAACCAAACTGTAACATTCTATTCATAGCCCATTCACAAACCTAATTCCTAAAGATTTCTTGCTAAAGAAGAAACCAATAAGACGAAAACAGAGGAAGAAAAAAGAAAGGAAAAAAAAACCATCTCTTTCTCTTCCTCCTCCTCCTCCCCTCTCGCCTTACTGCAACAATGGGGAATTGTTGCTCTCATGGACGAGAATCACCAGAAGACACGGACGAACCCACACCCGGAAATGGAGCCACGGCTCAGAGCAATCCAGCCGCTGAAACCTCAGCTGCACCTGCGTCCAAACACGCCCCTCCCTCTCCTCCACCTGCAACCAAACAAGGCCCTATCGGACCTGTCTTGGGCCGACCCATGGAAGATGTCAAGGCCTCGTACTCGTTGGGCAAAGAGCTCGGTCGCGGCCAATTCGGGGTCACCCACCTTTGCACACATAAGGCCACGGGCCATCAGTTCGCCTGCAAGACCATAGCAAAGAGGAAGCTCGTGAACAAGGAAGATATCGAGGATGTGAGAAGGGAGGTTCAGATAATGCATCACCTGACAGGTCAGCCAAATATCGTGGAGCTTAAAGGAGCGTATGAGGATAAGCACTCAGTGCATCTGGTTATGGAGCTTTGTGCCGGTGGAGAGCTTTTCGATAGGATCATTGCCAAAGGCCATTACTCCGAGAGAGCGGCTGCTTCATTGCTAAGGACGATTGTTCAGATCGTGCATACCTGCCATTCCATGGGGGTTATTCACAGGGACCTGAAGCCCGAAAACTTTCTGTTGCTCAACAAGGACGAGGATTCTCCTCTCAAAGCCACCGACTTTGGGCTATCGGTGTTCTACAAGCCAGGTTAAGCTAGAATTGCAATCATAGTTCTGTCCCTGCATCTGAATCACCATCAAATCGAGCAACAAAAATAACGCACATAAGGTTAATTATTCACAGAATCTTTTCTCTGTCTTGCCTTGCTACAGGAGAGGTGTTCAAGGACATCGTGGGCAGTGCTTATTACATAGCACCGGAAGTCCTGAGGAGGAAGTACGGACCAGAGGCCGATATTTGGAGCATTGGAGTCATGTTGTATATCCTCCTATGTGGTGTTCCACCCTTCTGGGCAGGTAAAGATTCTTCTGTATTCCTGTCTCTTGTTAAAAACAATGCGAATATGCAAGATTACACACGCGGAGAGAGACTTGCATTTATTTTACTTGGTAACCTGTTGACAGAATCGGAGAATGGGATATTCAATGCCATCCTAAAAGGACAGGTTGATTTTTCAAGTGATCCATGGCCAGTCATCTCACCTCAGGCAAAGGATCTCGTTAGGAAGATGCTGAACTCGGATCCCAAGCAAAGATTGACAGCCGCACAAGTTCTCAGTAAGTATCTGCGAAAGCACAAAACCCTCAGACACAACAATTTCTCCGGCAAATCCTTTGCCCTAATAATTTCTCTCTTTTTTTTAATCCTTTGTGAAAGATCATCCATGGATCAAGGAGGATGGAGAGGCACCAGATGTTCCTCTCGACAATGCAGTGATGTCCAGGCTCAAACAATTCAAAGCAATGAACCAGTTCAAGAAAGTTGCTTTACGGGTAACAATCAAATTCTCACACACCTGAAATATATATATGGTGCAATGAGATACCTACAGCAAAATAACATTTCGGCATGTACTGACCTTAATCTGATATGAATGGACAGGTGATAGCAGGCTGCTTATCCGAGGAAGAGATCCAGGGATTGAAGGAGATGTTCAAAGGCATGGACACCGACAACAGCGGAACAATAACACTTGAGGAGCTAAGGCAGGGACTTGCTAAGCAAGGCACCAGGTTGTCTGAGTACGAAGTCCAGCAGCTAATGGAAGCCGTAAGTCTTACAATTTTTTGTAATATCACCGCTCATTTTCTGATTCATGAATCATGATAGTGTGTGCATGTGATTCGTGGGTTTCCATAGGCCGATGCAGATGGTAATGGAACAATAGACTACGGTGAGTTTATCGCAGCCACAATGCACATCAACAGACTTGACAGAGAAGAACATCTTTACTCAGCCTTCCAACACTTTGACAAAGACAACAGTGGGTAAGCAATTAGCAATTTCTGTTCTGGTTCTTACTTTCCCAAATCTAACACAAAGAGAAGCAAAATGATTTAAGAACAATAGAAAACTTACCCGATGATGCTGTCACTCCCAGATATATCACAATGGAAGAGCTGGAGCAGGCCCTTCGGGAGTTTGGCATGAGTGATGGTAGGGACATTAAGGAAATAATCTCTGAAGTTGACTCTGACAATGTAAGCAACAAAGAATAGTCCCTTCTAATGTCACATGTAGCAAATAGTTTAAGTTTGCCATCACTACATGCAACTTATGATCATGGAACAACACTAAATGATCTGCTAAAACACTTGCAGGATGGGCGGATAAACTACGATGAGTTTGTGGCAATGATGAGAAAAGGAAACCCAGATCCTAATCCAAAGAAGCGACGCGAACTGTCATTCAAATGACCCCATTGTTGAGGTAGAGGAAGAGAGAAGATAGAAAAGAAAAAAAAAGAGCAGCACATGCAATGAGAAACTTCATCTTCCTTTTGATGCCAAATGCAAATTTCAGAAGCAAACAGATCCTACATATGCTCAGAATGCTCGTGACTGAACTGGAAGAGAACTTCAAGAGAGGAGATGGCTCATGAAGGAAAAATCATTAACTGGGATTAGGGAATGTAAGTGTCTGATGTTCGTACATATTTTTTCTGGTTGTTCTACTGACTAAAAATGCTGGGGTTTCTCAATGTACCTAATTCTTTTCAATTCTTACTATGGGCATTAGTGTTGTCTGTCAATACCGGCCATAATCCATTGTACACCACTAAACCACGACACAGAGCTGAACACAACCAGAATGCTTAAATGGTTAAAGATCAATCGCGAAAAACCCTAAAACACGCTAACCTCAATGGTTTCTCTCAGAAATATCCTACGGAAGCAACAATGGAGACCTTAAAATCTAGGGCAAATAATACAAAGATTCACCCATTATTCCAAGAACAACATTTCTCGGCTATATTCTTCAAATGTTCTTATCCCACAAATTACCAAACAAGAACATCCTACAATAAGAAGACGAGAATTTAAACAGATTGAACATAGCTGCCCATCTTCAGCAATTCGGTCCCAAACTAGATAATTTCGTAAAAAGAACACAATAGCGAATCACTATTTAGAGTTGAAAATCGTACTTCATTCATTGGTAGATATAAAGGGCACATGGCCAACAAGTTTAACAACACTACCAAGCACATACGGATACAAACTGCACATCCCCAAATTAAACCCTAATTCGCAGCGGTAACAGGAACACCATTGACACTCGAATCAAACATGATTTTTTGTTTTTCTCTTACTTGTCTTTGGTAGAGACTCCATACTTCTCCTGCATCTTCGCAATCTCGTCCTCCTTCTTCTTCTGGTCGAACTTTTTGCTCATCTTCGCCTGCTGGTAATACAACACGATGAGGTACCGATTCGCGACGTTGAAACCGGATAGATGGTCGACAGCGGTCTTGGCGTCGTAGATATCCTCATAGACAACGAAAGCAGAGCCGCGAGTGTCCTTGTTGCAACCGATCCGAATCTGACGAATCGCACCGTACTTGCCGAAGATGTCGTACATCTCCTCGCTCGTGATGTTGAATGGAAGGTTGCGCACGTAGAGCACGCGATTCACCTCCGGTGGAAGTCTGGTGTTACCCTTGCGAAGGCTGATTGTCGTCATGGTTCACGATATTCTCCTCGCGGGGGTGTTTGGTTGCTGAGAAATCTAGGGAAAATTTATATGAGGGGAGAGAATTTCTAACCCGCTGCGCATCTTTTGGCGGTGATAGAAGGAAGGGCAAAATCGTCTTTCTATACAAATGACGGTGTTTAAGACTTTAAGTGAACAGCGGTATCGGGCCTAACGCAGCTACTAAACCGGGTTGCGTCGGTATATTAACCGGTCTGATGGTTGATCCTAGGACTAGGCATTTTTACCCGAGATCCACAGGTTTCTGGATATTCTATCTCGCGGATATCCGAGGACTCATTATCCGTGAGTCAATGAGATAGAGATCGGGTCTGGTGAGACGGAAAATCCGAGTTTCGGATTCGGAATCGAGTTTGAAAATTTTGTTACGGTTATCTTGTGGGTACCCGATACATTAAAAACATTACAAAAATGCCATTAATATTTAATAAACTTAAAAAAATAATCTTAACAATCGGTCTGTGGGCCTCGACCCATTTAGATACGGTCCATATTACAATTGAGTTTTGCTCCTATTCGTCCTACATCGGAAGATGGAACCGAGGGTAACAGGCGATGTGGAGCATAAAATGCGATGGCCAATATTTCGAACAACAGAATAAATTGGATTATATGGACTCGGGTTTCACGGGTATCCGGCCTCGTGTCACGAGTACCCGAAATTCGGGTACCCGGATTTTGTGAGATAGAGACGGAGACATTGCAATTGAAAAACCGACGAGACCGAGACCGAGATAAGGGTATTCTAAAAGGTCCGGGTACCCGTCCGTGCCCACCCCTAATTGGTCCCATAGACGGTTTTATTTCGTTTCCGTTATTGCTCAAACTTTTAGTTAGCGTCATGTCATGTCTAATGATCTTACTAATTATTATTAAGAACCATAACGTATGAAATTATCCAAATCTTTACACATGGATAATCCATGACTAAACCGTGTGTGTATATATATATATTACTACAAGAAAGAATGCATAAAAGACAAATTGAAAAGGTGTGAATGACGTTACATGTTCTACAAGTGTATAAAATTTTGAGAATGGTGTCGAATAAGTCTAGCAATCTAACCAGAACCTATTCGAGGCTTACAAGTTACAAGGAAAATACTTTTATATGTTTCATGTGTTGGCGAATGTATTGCTAATATAAAAAAAAAGAATCACAAAAAAAAGATCCTAAATTAAGTAGAAGACGACATAACTACGGTTCCAAATTTATGGGAATATCTCAATCACACCTCAAATTCTGCATCAGATTCTCTGTAACTTTCCTCTCCATAACCATTCAGACAGGACATTGCAGTTTTGTTCCCTCCACATTGTTGGGAGCACCATTGCTTTTCTCACATTTACTAAGTTTAGCAAAAGCTCCCAAAAAAACCCCTCCCAACACCAAATCTCTCTCTTTCTCAATATAAAACCCTCTTGAAGAATACATAGATCTATGAGTTGAGGGAAGGTGCAGCTTTAGGTTTCACCAAATCCAACCCCCTCTTCTCCTAAAGAGGCGAATATGGACAAGAAGAGGGAGGCATGTATTATTATTCTCTCCAATCTCCTTCTCCCGAACCCCTTCTTCTTTCGCCTTATTGCGAACGCAATGTGCGGATGTATATCTGCGTTGTTATCTTATATGTGTGTTTGGTTTTTATGTGTTGATGATGATTTGGCCTGCTTAGACTCCTTGGGTCTCGGACTCAGGTGAGTGACCGTTTTTGGTTGCTCCAAGTTTCATTGTAGGGAGGAATGCAGTTTCTGATGGAAACATCGACTAGTATGTGATTGGTCGATGTTGTACCTAATATGCCGGGAGATTCTACCAGAATCCTACCGATTGATAGACCAAGACATCCCCCGTGGATGACGGAACACTTGAGCAGACTCTGTTTGTGGTTTCAAATCATTGAAACACATGACCCTTTTGTCATTTCAGGCAGGCCAAGAAAAGCCTTGATTGAAAAAAATAATACCTTACGGATTCTCTTGTTGCGTCGATTAATGAACATAGTCTGATGGGGAAATTAACGGATGCAACGAGTCAAAAATCCCTTGTCTCTTCTCCCTGAACTCTAAAAACGAGATCATAGGCCTTATCTGCTTAGATTAGTCTAATGTTTATCTCCATGCCTAACAGAGTGTTAGGTGGGCTCCGGTTCCACAGTTCGGAGCTTGGGACCAAAACTCGGCGGTAGCCACTGACTACTCAGTGGTGTTCTCCCAAGCTCGTGCCAACAGAAAGCAGCACAAGGCCAATGTTAGGCACACTAGCCTGGGAAGCGAACGGGAACTGATGAACAATGTCCATGCCCGTCGCCATCACCACCACCACCAGCAGCACCTCCATCACCAACATCAGCACCACCAGGAATCCCAAGATGACGAACCTGTCATGGTAAGAAGACTTCCTGCCCCCTTTTTCGCCAAAATCCCTATTCATGTTTCCCATAAGACTATATGATAAGGAATTCATGATGTCTGCAAGTGAACACACTTCCTTGGTTCGCTAAAATAACCCTAAATGATTCATGTTCTCCTTAAGGCTATATGATTTGGGTACCTGTAAGTGTAAGCTTCCTTGGTTGATCAGCCATATGCACCTCGTGGATGATCCATTTCCCCTTAGACAAGGCGCATGGATCATCGCACAGTGGCATAGAAACATAAGGAATGATTTCTTAAAGCTTTATTGGGTTACTTGTGTTCTTGCATCCATGCTGGAGACTTGAATTGCAAATCTGTTCAACATGGAGAGGGAAGCGAGTAATGATTTCTTTCTAATGCATGAGTCGGGCCTACTAGAATGAGGCAAACCTGAAATCTTTTAGGAAACAGACAATACATGTATCCAGTTATTTATTAGACAGAAAAGCAACAATAAACATAAAAGATAAGCTTTGGAAACTAAAAGATAAAGGTTATGTGTTTATGCAAGTACGTGAGCTACATATTTACACTTGATTCTCAGTTAAGGTCAATGATGTCTACTCTTAATATTAGATTTGGCATAGCTCCCGTAATTAAATGGATGATTAAAACCAGATGATCGGGCTTTCCATCGACGTAGATGCGTACAAAGCGAAAAAGGAAACGGATAAGAGTAGAAATGACAGAATGCAAAAAAAAAAAGAATACATGAAATGCGCCAAATAGCATAATGTTTTTTTCATCAGAAGTTCATAGTATGGTGTTAGTCTCTTATACTCCTATTTTGATTCCCATGCAGAAGAAAAAGAGGATCTTGACCTACATCAATTGCTGTATCAGGCCGTACTAGACCTTGTTCTCGAAGGTCAAGCTTTCTTGAAGGCAAAGTGTAAAGGGGAAGAATGTAACACAGACATGTCTCAATGCGTAAAGGCAAAGTGTAAAGTTTCTGTAACCTTTGAGCATGCTGTGCAAAGAATTTCCTGGTATATACATTTGACGTCCACCTTTTTTTTTCCGCCAACTTTATTCTGAGATAAAGAAGAAAAAACAAGTTACATAAAAAGAATCATAATTCAGATGACAAATTTTATAATCACAAGTTAATTTGAGGTCAAATCTGCAGATATATACATTATTCACCACGTTTCTGGACCCATCTTGGATTCAAATAATGAATATGTGCAATTTTTGTGGTATAAAATGAGAGAATGCAAGTACCCGCACCTTAAACTTCAGATCTCGAGCACTTAACTGGGGCTCGAAGAGAAGATAGATAATTAGCATCTGACTTGTCAATTCCATGGAAAAGGTAACTGAAAGGTGGCATTTCTATGTACTTCCCAGTGCCAGAAACAACCTTAAACTCATCGTTTTCTCACACAACTCTTCCCCTGGCTACTGTCACTTCGACCTTCCCCTGAGATTAACGATATTTTTGCCAAGAAAGAGGTTATTGAGAATGAAAAAGCTTTGCTCTTCATAGGGATAATTGCTATAGCAAACTAAATAATGGGAGGCTCTCTCGAATTATTTGACTAACTGAACCTCAATCACATAAATTGGTAACGAGGACTATCTTTCCACTTGTACCCTCATAGACATTGGTGTCTGTCCTTGAATGATGAGACTTTGAACTGATCTCAAAGCTTGAGTTTGGATTCAGTATGATCATGCCTGCATCTGAGCCAGGAAGAACAGCTCCTTTCCTTGGATAAATATTGAAAATTCTAGCACTGAAATCATTTGGAATCCCCTCAGTTTTAGACATTCTAGGGCTCTGCTAGCAAATGGGAGTATAAAACTTATATCCTAACCACTCAAGTCATAGTGTATACACAACCACATATGGCAGAAGCAGATTTAAATATCAAATGAATCTGCGGCAGATCATATACCATTCGGTGCTTGTTATTCGAACAAAATCTGTAACGGATATTTGGCCAGATCCCTGGATCATGAGGCAAAACCAATTAGAAAGCTTCATAACGAAACGAGTCTAAGTCCAATGGGACTTACCACCATGGTGTCCCATATCAGGTGCATCCGTTCTTCGAGGCCTATAAATGGACATGTTAAGAGAGTTTACTAAACCAGAATACCACCCGCATATCGTAAGCACAAAAAGCAAGAACTGGTCTCCCATTACCATTAACACCATTAGGAATTTTCCGGAAGTCGTATCAATGCCAAGAGCTTTTTGCGTAGAATTGAAGGTACAGTGATCAGTACTTACGAGCTACAAACCAAATGAAAACACAGTGTCAAAGTTCAAACTTTGCTTTTGCGTGAGAATCTAAAGAAATGCAAAGAACAAAGATCTCTGATATTGTCTACTATGTGTCAAAGTTCTCTTTTTCATTTTTGATGGAAAGAGATCACCCCAGATGCTTAAAAAGTTACCTGAAGGACTCCTGTTGAAAAGGCAGCCTGTAAGGCCGTCCCATGTCCTACTGGCCTAATAGGTAGACTCATCACGTACCTAAATATTGACATTACTAAAAAACATCAAAAACCAAAAGGAAATGGTTGACATTACTTGATAACAAAATTCAAGATGATGTTTCTTCTTACTTGGCTGCAGTTATGAAACCAGGATGTGAAAGCCAATGATCATCAAGGAATAATCCAGAACCAACAGGCTCTCCAATAACCTTCTGCCCTGAAATTCATTCATAGCATGCATATAGGTGAGGAACATTTATCATAATAATTCAATCAAAGAACAAAAAATAGTTCTATCAGTGTTGTATTCCAAAACCTGCTTTCCGAGCTTTTGCAACCTCTTCCATTGCATCGATACTCATTACATGGACAACATAGAGAGGCGTATTCACAAAATGAGCCAAACGAATTGCTTGAGCAGTGGCTTCTCCTTCAAGCTGCAATTATCAAACAAGAATCTTGTTTTAGAATTAACAAAGGTGTCAATATGGGTGAAAGTAAAACCATATTTTCCAGTAACCTAAAATGAAACATATGTTTCAATTACCACTGAAGGACGCAGAGATGGGCACTATATATATTGGCTTTCTAGCTGTTTACTGGGTCTTCTGTGAAGATTAAATCAAGTACATCTATCTCTAAATTCACAGGTGTCAACTCTTTCAAGTTCTTCTTAGCTTACAAAGGATCCTTTATGGTTGGAAACATTTTCATCCCACTTGATAATTGCCACATGAAAACCATGACGATGCAAACTGCACAAGACACCAAATCCATCAGAATAGTTCATAACCCTCATAAAAAATTAGATACAAGTGAACAAACTTGATTTTTAATCTTCCAAAAATCAAATGATGCTTGAATTATTCTCTTTGCTGGGTGAGATTCCAAATCATGATCATCTTGGCAGTTAGTTTCCAGAACAAGCTAATAACATAGCTTGTCTTTACTATGGCATATATTCATCCATATGAAGATGCGATTCAGAAACTATGCACTTCTCCTATCTTTGACATTTTTTCTTGAGAAACAAACAGAAGAAACATTTACAAATTGGAGAAAAGACATGATCAAGCGTAAACTCATACAAACGACACTTGAAATCGGAATTTACAAAGGAATATTAAACTCCAAAAATTTCAACACACTTGTCTTTTCCTCAAGCTCACTTTCTCGAGGAAAAAAAACATAAAATAGCCACCAAGCCACTTCAACTACCGGAAAGAGAACCACGAAATGGAGAAGACCAAACACGGACCTGTTCAGCAGAGTCGGGAATTGAAAAAGACGGAAGCAGAAGACAGAATGAGAAGACAAAGAAGAATCCATCCACAAGTCGAAACGCCATTGATGAGGCGATGAAGCTCCCCACAATGATTCCGAAGGTATATCCTCGCCTTCTTCGATCAAAATGATTAGTGTTGCTTTTGTTTTATTTTTTATATCTGCACCGGAGTAAACCGGAATATCTTGGTTGACTCGTTGAACTGGTTGGTACTTGGTACGCTGAAAGACAGTTGAAAAACCGGAGTAAACCGGAATGTCTTGGTTAAGCCGTTGAACCAGCTGGTACGCTCCTACTAATTAGTCTCAAGCCCAAGAAGTAAAAAAAATTAATGCCCCGCAAAATCTCCCAAAAAAAAAAAAAAAACTTGCAGAAAAAAGGATTCAACGATTTAGAGACAAGCTTTAATTCGTAGTCGAGTTTCATTGTCATTCCAAATTGGCTCTCGGGCTCTGCATCATACCGTTCTGAGCTCTCTGTCAAGAAGAAGAAGAAGACAGCGACTTGAATTCGAGGTTTCTCTGGCCAATTTCAGTTTTTTCTCCAAAAGCCGGAAATCAAAACTATCGGTCCCGCCTATGCTCTGCCCGTGGATGTCATCAACAGGATCTTCTTTGGCAAATGATTTCGCCTCTACGTATCGGTCTGGATCCGATGCGTTGGATCTAGACAAGGCAGGGCACTGGGGAGATAGACCAGAGACCGTCATTTTCAGTATTCTCTTCTTTTGGACCGTTCTTGTGGAACTTCCCACAGAAAATTAAATTTGGGTTAGAATTATTTAATGGGTTCAGTGGGTTTTAACCCAATAAACCCAATTAACCCAAAACACAAATTTAATCCCTCAAAACTCAAATCTACAAACACAAATTTACGAAAACTCTAAATCTGCAAAACGAAACTTTCGAATAAACCTAAATCCCAGATAAACCCGAAATCGATTTGTTCTTCGCTCAAGATTGCTTTCTCTATCTAAGCCTCATCCTCTAATAGCACCGTTGGTTATTGTCCTTCCAGCAACGAAGACCGATTTCCAGGGGTAGGATTTCTGTTCTATTTTGGCTTGATTTTCTTGGATTTCGAGGTCGGTTTTGCCTTTAGTGCTTAGTGTTTCTCTTTTGTTTGCTCCTTGGATTTGTTTGGTTGCTTTGCCTCTTTAACCCAAATTTTAAGTTTGTTCAGAAGCTGTTCGATGAAATTTCACAGAGAACGTCTATATTAACTATGTGGTTTTTGGTTTGTTTTAATTAATTTTTGGGTTTTGTTTGTTTATAGAGTTCAAGTTTTATAATGCATTTACATTTCTATTTGCTTTCTTCTCAGACATTCTTGATTGTTTTCTTTCACGTTAGGGATTTGTGTTATTTTGTTGCAACTTTTGATTTCCTGTTCCAGAAGTTCTAATACATATTTTCTTTGTTTTGTGTTGAATATGTCTTCTACATATTGTATATATGTGTATGTGTAGGTAGAGCTTTCACATAGTATTCTTTCTTTTTATTTATATATTATTTAGTTTATATTTTCTGTAAGTAACACGATCAAAACATGAAGTCACAAAAAATGTTTCTAAACCTAAATGGTTTTGTTGGGTTTGTATGGGTTGATCAACCCATTTAGTTATCAATATTGGGTTAACCGAACCCAAAGAAACCAACAATTCATCTAATAACCCAAATGGGCTGGTCAACCCAACTTGACATTACTTAGTCCTGCTTGTTTTGGAATTGAAATATTCAGACCCTAAAGCTTCGCAGCAGCTCTTCTGCGGATCCGCTTGCAGGAATCGAAGCCGAACTCTTTTCGCGTTTCGAAGATCAGGATCCACAGCAAACGTCATCGGATGGTTGCAAACCGGTTCCATGTCTGAGCTGGGACGAGTGGGACTCTGTGAGGGACTCGCTGTTCTCGTCTTCTTCTGATAGAATTGCTTCTGCTTTAGAAAGGGTAAGCCTTTTTACTGCATCATTCCCTTGTTTACTGTTCGCTGCAGAACAAAAATTTCCAGGAAACCATGCTGGATTCTCTTTTGGGTTTACGATCGGTTTCTCTTTTCCGTTAAGGAAAATAATTTTCCAGGAAAGTCATGGACCCTGTGAGTTTAGGTAACGAACCTTGTTTAGTTTCAAAACGGATTCAAAGGATCGTGGTTCCTGGGGGGTCAAATGCTTTACAAAAGTTATTGAATCAAATTAAGGAAAGGGAAGAATCAATACTCCACAAAAAAAAATCCCTTGAGTTCTTTAAGTTGATTGAATTAACTTCTCTTATAAGTAGAAGGTAAGAATGGAAGCAGTCTGTTCATGGAAATCCGTAGCAGGTGATTCTTTAGAGGCTTTAGCAATTAGCACCGTGTGAATGAATGATCTTTGCCCAAGAATTAGAACTTATTGATGAGATCTAAGCTTGGTATCATTCTTGTTCTGTTTGTACAAAAGTACTGAATCAATTATCAACAATGGATTGCAGATGGGAGCGCTCGTAGCCGACAAGCATGTTCGTTACATTCTGATGGCAGAAAAGGTAGTACAATTTATATCTTCGTTTCAACTATTACCATTGTTTGTCCTTTTTTTTTTGTGTTAATTTTGATCAAATTACCAGAATAAGGATGATAGCTTTGAGTCTGTGGTGATGGACCATCTGAGAATGAATGGTGCATATTGGGGACTGACCACTCTAGACTTACTCGGAAAGCTAGATTCTGTTTCTCAAGACGAAGTTGTATCGTGGGTCATGGAGTGCCAGCATGAGTCCGGTATGTGGAATGCATATCATATTGCCATGCTTCTCTTCTGTATAGCTTCCATGTTTTGCCCATTTTCAATTGTCAGAAAGAACAATGGAAATGATGATATATGGGTTGGGCAATGGGAATTGAGTGTTTTAGAATATGTATACACAATGTAACAGAATGGATTTAAAATATGGTTATCACTTCACCAGAATTTGAGATGAGGGATATCTTTTCGTGCAGGTGGGTTTGCTGGTAATACTGGACATGATCCACATATTTTATATACACTTAGTGCTGTTCAAATCCTGGCCCTCTTTGACAAGCTAGATATACTTGATGTTGAGAAAGTATCAAGCTGTATCCTTTGGCATTTAATGTTCTGTTACTGTTAACTTCTGTATTTTGTGGGACTTGTTTATTGCATCCAAAACTTTTGTTCTTCACGAGACAGTAATGGTACAGTTTTCAAGTAGTGTGAAGAATTGTCGTAGTAAAATGCAGAAAAGGAAAAAAAACACTTGGCATATTACTTACATTAGATATTATTAGGTTTTGCCTTGACCCGAAGTTAGATGTTACTGGATTGCAGAACGAAGATGGCTCCTTTTCAGGAGATATGTGGGGTGAAGTTGATACACGGTATTCTTCCTTATCATGCACTGTCGAGGCATTTTTTTTCTTTAACAGTGGGTGTTTTGACTGTGGGAAATCTCATTCACTTGCTGTAGGTTCTCATACATAGCTATATGTTGTCTTGCCATATTGAAATGCCTTGATAAGATCAATGTGGAGAAGGCAGTTGATTATATTGTGAGCTGCAAAAATCTAGATGGTGGTTTTGGGTGCACCCCTGGGGCAGAGTCGCATGCAGGACAAAGTATGTTCTATGTCCTATATGATTCTGGTCGGCAATATGCTTAAACCACGGGTTTGTTGCTTTCGCACTCGAATGATTGTCCCGAGTCTAAAGAGAGTGACTCCGCCCTCAACATATGATTATCACATTACTGGGTATTTAATTGAACGTCTTTATAATCGAGATGCTGCTGCTATTATACCCCTAGGTGATAGTTTCTGCAATTGAACGTATTCTCAGTGGCTTTATTACATTCATTTATGTCAGTTTCATACGTAAAATCCGATGCTAAAGAACTGTGATTGTTTATTCGATCTTCGATAACTGCAGTTTTCTGTTGCCTGGGTGCTCTTGCCATAACCGGGAATCTTCATCATGTTGATAAGGACCTACTCGGATGGTGGCTATGTGAACGGCAAGTCAAGTCTGGGGGTCTAAATGGACGACCCGAGAAACTCCCTGATGTGGGTGTTGGAATGAACGCATCCAAAAGAAGATTCCTTAAAACAGAAATCTCGCTTCCCCTCATTCTAACGCAGACTAATCGTTCTTAACAGGTTTGCTATTCTTGGTGGGTGCTATCGAGCTTGATCATGATCGATAGAGTTCACTGGATCAACAAAGAAAAGCTTGTCAAGTTCATCTTGGACTGCCAGGTCAATCTCTTACAAGGCAAACCCTTAGTTGCCATGGTTTAAATGTTTATAGCCTTTCCCCAAGTTTCAGATGGATTGACTCGGTGTATGTGGAATTTTGACAGGACATGGAAAATGGAGGCATTTCAGACAGACCCGACGACGCAGTTGACGTCTTCCATACATACTTTGGAGTTGCGGGTATCAACTGTTTAACATGTCCATTCCTTGTAAGCATGTTTTATACATAAGCCGGGGGTGAATTCATGATGTTTTTGTGCAGGGCTTTCACTCCTTGAATACCCGGGAATCAAAACTATCGATCCCGCCTATGCTCTGCCCGTCGATGTCATCAACAGAATCTTCTTTGGCAAATGATTTCGCCTCGACGTATCGGTCTGGATCCGATGCGTTTGACCTAGATGTCCTGCCAGTGAGGCAGGGCACAGGGGAGATAGACCAGAGACCATCATTTTGAATGTTCTCTTCTCTTAGACTGTTCTTGTAGGAAGTTCTGAATTTTCGTATGCCCTTTCCTTTTGTGGAAGAGTGCAAATTCGCAATACGGTAATATTTGTCAATGGAACAAAGGTAGCATATTTGTCTGTTACTTTGGAGATGCTTTTATCAATATAATATCTGAGAGACCTTCCTTCATTCGACTCAGACATATATATAATTTTTACAATCCAATTAATTGAATCTAAAAGAGATATAAATATAATAATGAATTTTAAAAAATGATATATTTTTGGCTGGCTAAAAACAGGTTGGATTGGACTAAAATTTTCCTAGATGAGACTCGGTCTAGCCCATTTTACACCCTAAATGAAGTTTTGAACAAGAAAATATCTTTTTGGGGCAAACGTGGTAAATCTATTTCGGTTAATCTTGGTTAGGCGGTTCGGTATTTGTCCCGTTTCGGGTTTATTTAAATATCTAAACCGGAATGCTCTTTTTCAGCCAGAAGCTTTAGAGCTGCTCCTTCCACTTCCCTAAAACCCTAGAACCCCATCTGAGGTTCACGTTCTTCTGCTTGATTTGGAATTGAAATATTCAGACCCTACAGCTTCGCAGCAGTTTTTCTATGGATCCGCTTGCAGGAATCGAAGCCGAACTCTTTTCGTTTTTCGAAGATCAGGATCCACAGCAAACTTCATCGGATGGTTGCAAACCGGTTCCATGGTTGAGCTGGGACGAGTGGGACTCTGTCAGGGAGTCGCTGTTCTCGGCTTCTTCTGATAGAGTTGCTTCTGCTTTAGAAAGGGTAAGCCTTTTGCTGTATCATTCCCTTGTTTACTGTTCGATGCCGAACTAAAATTTCCAGGAAAACATGTTGGTTTCTCTTTTGGGGTTACGATCAGTTTCTCTTTTCCGTTTAAGGAAAAGAATTTTCCCGGAAAGTCGATGGATGCCTTTGAGTTTAGGTAACGAGCCTTTTGTTTAGTTTCAAATGGGATTCAAAGGATAGTGGTTCCTGGGGATCAAATGCTCTACAAAAGTTATTGAATTCAATTTAGGAAAGGCAAGAATCAATACAACACAAAAAAAAATAATTCCCCTGAGTTCTTTAAGTTGATTGAATTAGCTTTTGTAAGTAGAAGGTAAGAATGGAAACGGTCTTTTCATGGAAATCCGTAGCAGGTGATTCTTTTATGTTCTTTTGTTCTGTGGTTTGGGTCACGAGGAAGAAGAGTATATCGTTTGGCGTTGAAATTATTCCCTCATTTGCGGCGGATTCAGAGCATATTGATAAGATGATAAGGGTGTTCGTGTTATTGGTAAAGATAAAATGCTATTCCGTACCGTTTTCAATCAATGTTTTTTTGGATTTCAGGTTATGACATGGCGAAGTAGAGGGTCTCTTCCAGCGCCTGTTGATGTTACTGCATCTATCATTGAAATTCGTCAGAAAGACGGCTTTGTCACGTAAGCTTCTCGAGCCTGTGATCTTTGGGTTTCTTGAACTTTCTCCAATAAATAGTGTTTGGTTATTGTTTTCTTGCTCTTATCTCATGATTCTCATCTCTTGTTTAATGATAAAAAAAAGGAGGGAAAAACAACCAGCAGATGCTTTATATTCAGAAAATTTATTGCAAATGTTATACTGCATGGGAATATTGAGGTAATTATGTGTTTTCACTTCTCTTTAATACCAGTTTTATTCTGTGGTTGTTATGGTAGCCATTCCTTTAGTCAAATATAGCAGCAGTGTATATTTTACGTCCCTTCACTTATACAGCTTCTCTGTCCTTATGTCCTGAAGGCTTGTGAACTGTGTTATAGAGAAGACGAGGAGGAGGACAGAAGTTTCAATTGCGGAGGCTGCTAAGGCAATCAATATCCCACGTAAATTAATTGACCTTCGTCATGGTAATGAAGTTCAACTAATAGAAGCAGCACATATTTTTCCATTAATCTTGCATGATCATTTTAAATGCTATATTTTATTTATGATTGACAGATTGAGTTTATTCTTTTGATTGTAGAGGGTTCTCACCGTGAGCTTCCTGCGCTTTCAGTTCTACGAGATGCTTCAGATGAGGTACACTTTTTTGTTTTTTCAACTTGATTCTGCATTTTAGAAATTATTATCTCCTTTATCTCAATTATTACCAGACATGATAGTTTGAACGGCTTGCACATTAAAAAGATTCAACATAGCCAGAATTTTCGAGTTGACATTAGGTTTTCTATCAAATGGAAAGCATCTTTAATTAGATTGCCCTTGTTAAGGTACATGATAGGTTTTCTATCAGTACAGTACATAGGCTTGTTGTCTTCTCATGAGGATAAATATCATGACTACTGCTTGTATGCAATTTTTGGTCATTGTAGGCACTTGAATGGTTGAAATCTTATTATTGGGAGCCACAGAAGAACCAAATTCCCTTCAAGAAAGATGACGCTGCAAACATCAGAAGAGAAATCAAATCTAAACTGCGCAAACTCTCTTTGTGTTTGCAACTCAGGCAAAACCCTCAAGTTGACTCTGCTTTGGTCAAAGAAAAATGTATGTAAGAGAAAATGTCTCTTCTCTTTTATACATATGAAATCGACTGCGAACTTCAAGATTCCATTGTTCCCACCATTCAAATTTCATGAGAAAACATAGAAGATACTTGGGTTTTCTTCACTGTTAAAAAGTTTTCCTTCAAAAATTGGTGAAGCTTACACTGCTTCGTTTCCATAATTGCCTCTTGCTACTTCCCTTGCATTTCCCTAGTTTCTTGCGCTAATCTTTTGGACGCTATATAACTTTCAGGTTCTAAGAAAAAGATAAGGAAGATCCTGACTGGCCTTGTTGAGTTATACTCTTCTTTCCCCTCGGAAATTGTATCGGTGTTGCTTGAATTCTTGCTCAAGGCCTTGAATTCTTCAAAGTCAGCCGAAATTCTAAACCAGAACGAGCCGGACCAAGATTTCAGTTGTTTTCTGGATGAATGGAAGCCTGTAATTATGGAATTCTCGAATAGAGAACCAGAGTTACTTTTAAATCTACTCAAGTCAACCCTCGATATGATCCAAAATGGTGAAAAGAAAAGTTATGAAACCGGTAAGTATTCATGTATAATCTTAACTTTGACTTCATTTAGGATCTCAATTTTAACCCCGTTTCAACATTTTTGCATTGTCTTATGCCTTCTCTCTATCTGCTTTTTCAGAATGGGGTCTTGAATCAAAGTCGACGGAAGATGTATCCAAAGTTGAAAAGCTTCCAGTCTTACTTGCATGGCTTGTGGGTCATCTCAGGGGGTTGAGGCACTTTCAGAAAAACAGTACTTCTGAAGGGAAAACACCGAACATGTTCCTAACGGAACTCGTGCGTAAATGTCTGCTCTTGTCAGCGTGTGGGCATGACCAGCTTGCAAACTCTGCCTTACAACTAGCAGAGCTCGTGGGAGGTCGTGTCTGGAAGGAGAAGCTCATAAAACTTGCTTATGTTCATAAACCCAGGATGGATGTTCCTCTGGAGCGGTGTTCTTCTCTTGTGACAACTCATGAGACCCTCTTCCAACAAGAAAGGTCGATCCATAGTGCAGCCAAGAAACTCGAGTTTGTCAAGATTCAATTGTCGAAGAAGAAATCTGAATGCACAGAAGAAACAGATGCCAGAGTTCCAAAGACATGGGTGAAGCCCAAGACTTGGAATCCTTGTCCTATCGGTATGTTACCTCGTGTCATTGGATCCTCTGGCCGTTTACCTCTTCTCAACTGCAGAGAAGCAACCGAGAAAACTCAGACCAAATCAATGGTGGCGGGACAAAGTGACAGCACCAAACGAGAAGCCGAGATTCAGCTATTGGATGATTCAACAACTAAGCGAGCGAGGAAGACAATGGAAGATCCTGAATCAAATAGAGAAGGCGAAATGGACGCTAGAAGTGAATCGAAAGAGAAGGCAATGTTTAATGATGAGGATAATCTATTGATAGAAGAAAGCGGAAGCTGTCTTATGATCGGTGGTGAATGGAAGGTGGTGAACACGAAAGAGCTGTTGGAAATTGCATCTGCTGTAAGAATTTTGGTATAAATTGTATGATTTTTATTTTCTTTTGCTTTGTGCCCCAATGATGATTATATTGTTTCCAAGAACTTTTTTTGCATGAGCTCTTGTTATTTTTTTATTTTTATAATTTCTCTACATTCATATAGATACAAACGTTGCCAGAATTTGACAAATACAACCTATTTTTTATTACAACAGATTTAGGACCTTACACAAAAGATAGATTAAGGTGTCTTATGTTATAGAGTTCTCCTGGACACCAATTAGATTAACAAATTGATTTATTACACATTGCACTCCTTGTGAGTACTAAATTATACACAGAAGAAAAGGAAAAAATAAGATAAGCCAGGGCAAAATGTAGAGAGAATATGACATCAGATCAACTATGATACAATCTTTCAGACAAACTCTCGCTTAGTGGAGTGAATTCACCCCATCACCTTCTTCATTACATGTTTAGAGATTAACCTGCAAAAACCACACCAACCAACCAGAAACATGATGAAGAAAAAGCAAGTCTTTGATTCAAGGCCTATGAATGAGATCCTCATCTGATGCAAATGAATAGATGACCCCCATATGAGAAAAACAGATCCAGTCCTTGAGATATTCTTATGAGAATTATGTTTCTATTATAGATGAACACCAAGATTGTTTTTCTTAACAACCAGCATCCCAATGTCACCACCAAATGATCCCACATCAAACAAAACCTGTGGCCTTCATTTCATGGTTATCTACTATAGTCTATAGATGTCAAAGGCGCATTTAGGACAGGGAATTGAATGGGGATAGCTACAGTAATATCGGGTAGTAAATAGTGATTTTCAAAAGTCTCTTACCAAAACTTTGCCATGACAAAACCATTTTCTCAAACAAGTTATTGATTCAATCACTATGCAGAGTAAGAATTATGACAGAAATGTGTGTTCCACGAACCAGGCCCATGAACAATCTACACACCTCAATCATGTGACTTGTGAGAGTGGACAGAATAAAGAAGATGAATGCAAGAGACGGAGAGATGGATGCTTACCTAATCAAATTGTCTACAGTGAGTTAAAACTCTCCATTACATCTACTCGGGTGTCAAGCACAAAATGATACTTTGCTGCCATTTCAGCCCGCAACCTTTATTGCACCCATCTCATCAAGCTTCGAACTCTTATGCTGCAATTAGTACAATTGGGAGCCAAATCATTATATATAATAGAGAATGAGGTACACCAGATTGCAAATAACAGTGGCCGAAGAGTTTAAATTTTATGAACATCAATGTAGATAGAACCAATAAAAACCTGTTTTACCCTGCGTGATCATTACCTTACTTTTCTTGTGTCTGTGGACGTCGTTGAGATCTTCATCTCCATCGTGTTTTCTTTTCTGAAATGTTAGTGAGAGAAAAACAACATCAAAAACCCAATCAGAATACAATAACAGTCTACTGAATAAATGTAGATTCTCCTGCGGCGGGAACTTCATCAGCAACAAACGGAATTCTCTTACCTTTTCATGGTGTTTCTTAGAGTGTTCACCAGAATCGTGGTGCCCACCTTTGTCCTTTTTCCTGTCTCGATCCTTGTCTTTATCCTTATCTTTGTTCTTATCTTTATGTTTGTGCTTATGCTTCTTATGTTCCCGATCTTTATCCTTATCTCTATCCTTGTGCTTTTTATGTTTCCTCTCCATATCTTTGGACTCGCTTTTTGATTTTGACGCAACCGTAGGAACTCCCTTCTCTCCCTGAAAAAAGACAACAGACTCATAAAACTTCAGACATATTCATATTCTCATGCCATGCAATATCATCTTCGTCATGTACTTAAATGTCATTCACCGTCATCCAGATATAAACCTCAGTCAACCGAAGAATTGGATGTTACAAGAACATGCATCACTTGGTCATGTATTCTAGTTCAGTGTGGATAGAATTGGAAATTGACACCCATGCGAAGTGTGACAAAACTAAAAATCATGGGATTCTTACAGGAGGCAATTCAATAGGAGTTGTATCATGTAGCTGAAATGCCTCCTGGAGTTCATCTAAATCAAAAGGTTGGATGTGAGCAATAGTATCACGGTTTTGTGACACACTCTGAATAAGCTGATCTAATTGCATCCCTTCTCCTTTTCTTATGTCTGTGTCTCCCACAACACCGTGAAGATAATGTGCATCTGAAAGTGACACAGGAAGCGATCTCTTGCAAAAATATTCATGGTGTGACAACAGTTTGTATTGACTAATAAGATCGAAAGCGCCACACAATTCTCTCAGACCTGCAGCAGTTCATTGACATCAAGGTAATATAAGAAGGCAAACAGAAAGGAATATGAAACATCAAACATTTCATGCATTTTTTTCTCCAACGAGAATGATCAAAAGATGCTGAAATTCAGAAGCAGGTAACATTCTGAAATAACGTTATTGCAAGGACAAAGTCCATCTAGTTTTCATTTTCCCATATGCTATTTTCTTTATTATTTTACATCATATTCCAATCAAGGAGATACTTTACATGTTAACACAAAATTCCAATGCTCCATAACCAAAAAAATGTGAGACTTTCAAACAAATTTACCTCCATATTTCAAGCCTTCAGGTTCCATTTGGTTATTGATGCTCAAACTGTTTTACCATTATCAACAGCAGCTTACAGCCAACAATAGGAGAAGATCAAAGAACCGTTAACATGCCAAGAACCAATCTGAAATGCGAAAAACAATTTCAGATTAGATACTCTCTGTCTCACCCGACCTAATCCCAAGCCATACAATGGCCACGAGATATAACTTACCACTAGCTCATTTATCATTCCAAAATCTGAATTAGTATAATTAGCAAAAATCTAAATTAGCCTCACCCTTTGAGCTCGAATTAATACTGGCACGCGCTCCATTAATAAAAACTAGTAAACAGAAAACCAGACGATGCGAACTATTCAAAGTCCTGGCATTTTTGGATCTGGTCAGCAAGAAAGTTTCTTCCGATTTTGTTCTTTTCGGAAAGGTAACAAGAATCATCTAACAGACAAGTAATCCCTAAATTAGACATAATCTCCAAGAAACCCAAAGACGAAACGCAAATTCGAGCAAGAAAGAGATTGGGAATTCACAATTTCCAAGCGAAAAAAAAACCAAGATAATCAGAACGCGGATTCAATTCGAACAGTAGGGGAAAACTCCAAGATAAAAACAGGAATCGAAGCAGAAGCAAACCACCGGCATACACGTTTCAGAAGCCAGATCTCATTCCACAGCTCTAGTCACCGCATGAAACGCGCCCCTATCTCGCGCGCTGGTGTAGAAACCCTAAATTGCAGAGACGAAAAACGGGTATTGCTCTCGGTATCCGATTTCCCGCCCGAATTTGATTCGCAGTGACTGAGAAGAGACGGAGATCGAAGAAGATTCGAGAGAGAGAGGAAGTAGTTAGGGTTTGAGAGCTGGTTGTTTCTTAACCAATGAGGGAAAAAATTGAGATTTCAATTTTTTTTTTTTGTTCTGATAAAATTCAGCTATTATATTATATATAAACGTTAGCGCGTGTGCTTAACACGCCATATGAATGGTGAGTAAACGTACATACATACATATATTAAAACAATTTAGCCTATCATGAAATCCTCTGGCTGGTTCCGAAGATTAGTGGAAGGGAAGGATTTATTTATTTATTTTATACTTTATTTTTTTTTTTTCGACGTATTAATACGGAATCGTGTATAACCTAAAAACATTTAGTCCAGAAAGATTACCCGATTTTGATGCATTAACATTGAATTTTGAAATTTAATAGAAAAAATATAAAATTATCAATTCTTTCGTATAAATACTCAATATTTGACTTTGAAAAATTATCAATTGATTGTAAACGCCATTTATTTAACTGACGAATTTTATTATCGGAATATGATGTGACAAAACGAAAAGTTGGCTCTAACACCAAGTTCAGGGCGAATTCATTGGCCACGTCATTAAATTTTTAAAAAAAATATAAAAATTTACAAAAATACATATATGCATATATATATATTCACATATAATAATCACGCGTACTTATACATATACATATGTACAGACACAAACATACATATATACATATATCAAAATTAAAAAACAATTGACAAAGTACATACATATACACACAAATCAAATGCATATATATGTATATGTATATATGAATATGTATGAATATAAATATGAATGTTATATGTGTATATAATAATATGTATGCATATGTGTATATACATATGTAGATATATGAGTTTATATATGCGGGTATATATACGTTTATATGTATTTTGATTAAAAAAAATTAATTTATTGACGTTGGAGATGAGTTGGCAATGACATACGTCAAAGTCAACTTTTCGATTTGCCACATCAGCTTCCGGTGATGACTAACAGTTGAAGATATTTTTTTTTTTTGGAAGTTTTGAAAGTCCAGAACAATCGGGTTCCCTTTGATCGGTTGTCTCCTGTCGATCACTTCAGCTCTCATAGTCTCCGGCGCCGGCCGCCGTCCTTGTCGTCGTCGACAATAATTCCGGCGAGGTGACAAAATTATCACTGTCTATAGATTAGGGTTTCAGCTTGGGTTCGAAGCCCGACTAAGACAACGAAGAAGAAGAAGAAGAAGCTGTTGTCTCCATATATATAAGCATTTTCCCTATATTTTATTAAAAGAAAATATCCCTTTTATATATATATATATATATATATATATATATATATATATGTGTGTGTGTGTATATATTGGCAATAAGTTACACGAGAAGTTCCAAATTATAGTTGGAAACAACTCATGTATGGAAATTTACCTTTTCCCCCTCATGTTTCCAATGATGATTGACGCCCCTTTGGCTTTGACCAGAAAAGATTAGGTGAAAACAATAAATTAAAAAGTCGGGACACTAAAATTGTGAGAAGCAAAACAAAAACTTTTTTTGTTTGTGTTTTAATTTATTTTTTATATTTGCAGCATAATATATTTAAAATATAATCAAAGTATAATATCAATTTATATTAACATGGATTTATTATACATTTCTATAATTAATAATATCTCCACTAATCAAATTTTTCTTATCTTGCATCGTGTTTTTTCATGGTATTATATATATATATATATATATATATATAGATACACACAGTGGCGACCTAAAAATTAATATAAGTGGGGGCATTCATTTTATACCTATCATTTTATAAAATCAAATGATATTTTTATGGGGGCATTTGATAGTTTTCTTTGTAATTTTATGTCAAAATCATCATTTTTTTAAATTAGAGAGGGATTGTGGCCACACCCTTCATATATCGTACGTCCGCCACTATATATATATTCTTCAAGTTGAAGACATCGGACCCAACAACATCTCGAAACGAAAATCTTAACGGAAGCATACATGGAGCAAAGACAATGACAAACCGAGTTCCACAAACGAGTTCCACCTTGGATCGAAGCCACCAAGTAAAAGGAAGTTGCTTCATCATCAAGGCAACTCCAATAACTAGCTTTCCAACCACCTCATTTAATGCAACGTCAAGACAACTCCAACAACTAGTTTCCCAACCACCTCATTTAATGCATTGGATTCCTACCCCTCTTGCCAGTTCTTGTCATTTAATATTGTAGTTGAGAATTCTAGCCTATATAAAGGCATTGTAATGCATCATTTGTAATCAGACTTGTAGAATGTCTCAAACATTTCGAGTTTTATAAACTCTTCTTCGGTTTGTCCGAAATTTATCCCGATCTTCGGTATGTCCGAGATCACGAGTTTGGTGTGTCCGAACTCAAGCCTTGGTGTGTCCAAGGTCCACTATCTATTCTTCCCTTTCGTTCCATCCATCTTTCTTTTCGGAATTACGTCGAGGATCCTTTGATCCGTGACTGATTCCGAGGACCACCCTTCCCCTTCGAACACCATACCCGATCGAAAGTCGAGAGTCTTCTTCGTGAAGTGCGAGAGACTGCGATTCGGCCTTGTTCCATCCTCTCCTAACCAAGGCGTGTATCACAAAATAATTATGAGATCGAAAGCAAATCATATGATTAGAATATATGTCATCCTCCCTAACTTGAAATTCAAAGTCAGGCTCAAAAATTCATAACCGAAAGCCGTTGCCGTTTAAAATAACTCGTGATCAATAAAAAAAAAACACTCATTTATTTTTTGTGTTTTAGAAAACATTGAGTAAGAAAAATGGCTTTCATGGTATATGTATGTTTCTGCGTGTGGAATAAAAACACAATAAAGTGAGTGAAGACAACATCATTTCCCCAAAGAAAGCAAGAATTATAAATATCATCACTCAATCCCTTTGGCCCCATCCTTTTTCGTCTTTTTGACCATCTTGACTTAATTACCATATATATATATATATATATATATATATATATATATATAAATGTCACAAAGAAACATGCATGTGCATGTATGCATTCAGAGAAACTAGTTACATCCAATATATATACAGTTATAAAACAGTTTAAAATTTATTAGTTTTCAATATGCCATACATATCCAAATACGGCCAACCAGAAATTCCAGGATCTAAGTATATATGAATATTATATATATATATATATATATACATTTTTTGCATGTTTATATGTATATGAAGTATACCCTACACTAGTGAATAAACTCCATTCTAAGTGGAGCTGAATCATATGAAGAACAAAATGCATAATAAAAAAAGAAGAAATATATTTTATAATTATATGGCTTGTTGGACTATATATATTATAAATCCATAATTCATTGTTCAAATTGGCAATTTGATTCCAAGTGAAGAAAATGTTTTGTCTATCACCAAATACATATGTGCGCATAGAACAGACTGCGCATGTCACGTGCTTTTACAAACCCTAGACCTTCAATGAATATACTTTTATTATATATAATAAAAACATTTAAGCTAGAAAATATATTATATTTTTATTTTCAAAGTACTTTTAGAAAGAGAGAAGTTACAGAAAAAATATTGGATTTGTAATAATATCACAAAAAAGGATCCAACTTTTACGCATGAAATAACACTAATTAAATCTTTCTTACTTTACGAAGATTTTGTATTTTTTTATGGATCGCGTTATATATATATATATATATATGCGATCATCAAATAAAACATATTTTATTTCTTGATAACAGCAATTATTCGAACCAGAAATACAACCTTTTCTTTGTGAGAAAATTCATATAAATGGGAGTTTTTGTGGTAAATAAAATGATAAATAGAAAAAAAAAGAGAGAGAGAAATTATTTTGTATGTCAACTAAACTTTTGGAGTAATTTTATGTTTTAAAGTCCCAAAGTTTCAGTTTCTTCACTTTGAGGCTCTAAACTCTGTGCCAATACAAAGCTGACATCTCTCTCATTTTCAGAGCTCATCCATCCTCCATAAAGTTCGAACATTAAACACAGAGAGAGAGAGAGAGAGAGAGAGAGAGAGAGAGAGAGAGAGAGAGAGAGATCTGGGTCAAAGCTCAAGACCCTCTTCTGTTTTCGATCAAAGTAACTCCCTAACGTCACCAAATCTCTGTTGGGTTTTCTAGCAGATTCTCTGCATAGTGATAATGGGAGATTACTCGAGGAGAAAATCTTGGAGAATCACTGGGTGCATCGCCCTTCTTGTTCTGCTCTTTCTGCTGATTATGTTTCCTTCTCCATCACCTGCTCATGGTCATCATCACCATCACCAACACAGTAGGGAGAGATCCAGGTCGGCTTCAAAGCTCCATGATCATGGCTCCAATGGCGGATCAATCGGATCCAGATATAGCAGTAAAGGTGATGATGCCTTGGAAGATGACAAAAGGAGAATTTTCACCGGTCCGAATCCTCTCCACAACAGATGAATAACGCGCTTTTGGGTTTTGATTGATGAAAATAACGAGATCCTGAAAAAAGGAAATTATAATAGTATCCATAGATTGTTGATGTTAAATACACCATGTTTCTTCTATTTTCCCTATGTGGTTTACATGTATACTGTTATTATATTGCGATATTTTGTCTTTGTTGTCCCTGATTCTGACCAGATAACGTAAAACCAAAAAATATATATGTTTTTTAAACAAAATTAATCGATTGTGATTTGAGTATAAATTAAAATAAACAAGAAAAATTGAAACAAAAGAAGATTTTAGAAATATTTTTTAAACTAAAATCGAGTTCGAATAGAACTAAATATCCGGAAAAAAAATTGATATAAAAACGAATATATAAATTTTACAAATAAAAAAAGAAATACGAAAATATCATACATAAACACATACATTCACAAACAGACATGTCCACCCTAGGTTGTGCTTCCTTTTAGGAGACATTAAATGTTTGACAAAAATAAATCAATGAACGTGTACGAACACTAATCTTGAATTTCCCATTATTAATGTGTTTGCATGATCACTAGTATATATGTTTATACATTATTATTTTCACGCCCTAACATATGTGTATATATATATATATATATGTTTGGTTTTATTTCATCAGTTGTCGATATATATAGAGATTTGATGTGTCAAAAGTCACGTGGAAGGAATATTATATACATACATATCTGCATTGCATGAAACAACATCATTGTTCTATGGAACTAAATGATGCGCGGTGTTTGTCCTTTTCTTTATTAGATTCAAAGGACTCGCAGATTGCGTTAGAGCGTCCATCAAAATATTTTGCAACATACAAAATATTCCCCTGATCTTGTTTGTTTGCAAAAGATAATTATATAGATGTTGCAATTAGGACTACCATCCTAAATCTCGTGAAGATCGGATACCCGAATTTCGAATATCCACATGTGCATACTGCGGAGGCGAGCCTCACCTCTCCCTCCATTTTTTTGGGTGACCGAGTATTTTGTACCAAAGCTCAAACTAATCTCGGGGTCGGAGGCTAGACATGTAATTTGAAATATATGTCCCCTCTCCAAATTTGAGATTCGAAATCGAAACGGGATAGACGTTTTGTACCCTCGTTTCACTGGTTGAATTACCCAAGTTTGACGACCTCCCACTCCATTTTGTTCCCAAAAAACCAAACCCTTTCATCGCCACCTTGCTTGCCTTGTCTCTCGTTCCCTCGCGACCTCGCCCCTTTCCTCCTTTCCTCTGTTGGGGACGGTGGTTGTTAACGACAGCAAAACTCCGGCAATTCGAGCGATTCCAGATAAGTACATGAAATTAAAAGAATATTTTGTCGAGGCCTGTGAAACACAGTTTCCTTAAGTTCGATTTCCGTGTCACCTCTAAAGCTTCGAGGCTATTGGAGCACGGTGAGCTCCCAGGATACAACGACCGCGTATTTGGAAGAAGCTTTCCAAATACCAAGCGAACTCAGAGATCGAGAGATATGAGCAAATATGTGAATGCTCTTTTTTCTCTAGAATGTTTGTTTCTTTTCTATGTGTTTTATGAGCTAACTCAAGACCCCTATTTATAGTAGAGGAGAGAATCTCAAAATAAATCAATTTGAATTTCAAAATTCAAATTTGATTTTATCTTGATATTATACCAATCTTATCTTAATCATATTTGATAGATTTTCTGCGGATTTGAATCCAATTTGAATTTGAATTTGAATTTCAAATTCAAACAAGAATATTCTCTTAATATTCTACAGATTTAAAGTTTCTAAAACTTTATACGGATCGGACTTCTCACGGGATAGGTCCGTTTTGATTCTTTCAAATAAACCCAAATCCAACATCCCCTCCAGTTTATCGGGTACCCATGAAAGACAGAGTAACCGACTGACGAAACTCGAACTCAAACTGGGCGATCGGATTTTCACCGTCACCGGTCTTGTATTCGTCTAGCAGTAGCAGATACACGAACACCTAAAATTTTAGATACCAAAACTTTCGTATCGGGAATCCGACGCCCACCCTTAATTGTAATGTTCGAGCAGCTGGAAAGTCATCAAAGTATTGTAATTAGACACTCGACATTGAACGTCTTGTATTTTCATAAAACACGCAAGCATAATAAAAGATTTATGCACATAATACTGCATAATTAGACACTCGACATTGATCTTCTTTTTTTTTTTTAAACGTTTTCAATGATTCTATCGTGCTATATCAAATTATATCAAGTTTTACCAAATTATATCATTTTTAATTTTTTTTAGTTTCGATGTAGTGGTATCAACAAATATTAATAGTGGATATCGTTAGATTTTTTATGTTATTGTTTTTTGTTGGTGTCGTCGAAAATATATTAATAGAGACAGCCCAAAGAAAAAATAAATAAATAAATGTACTATAAAAATTACAGAAAAAAATATGTTAGCAGCGATGGTGGCAACAGTGGCCAACAAGATGAAAAAGTAGATAGTAGAAAGACCAAAAAAGAAAGGTACGTAAAATACCTACGTAGAAAAATGTGAAAAAATAATAAGAAAAATAAATATCATCGAGTATTATTGGTAAAATCAATTTTTTTGGTGCAAATTAACTTCTTTTTTTCGCATTCAGCAAATGATCCCACCATCCTGTGATTTCACATTTGGTGGAGGCAACAAACAACAATCATAAGATGCTCAAATGAAGAGTGACAACGATTCCGGTAAATTGTTCCCATTGCCGATTTTTCACCCACCTTAAACCTGCCGGTCATCCTTAACCCGAGATGTTCCGCTCGAAGATTCCACGACCATGTCGCGTTTTCAGAAAGATTTTGTTGCCTTTCGGGAAGAAAAAATAATAATAAAAAGAGACGAGAGACGGGAGAAAGATGTTACTGCCGCTTTAGCGGAGGAAGCAAGCAGTCGTACACCCCGACTAGGCGCCGAGTGACTCCGAGCTTATACGATGATGGCAGTTGCGGGTTTCCCAACTCGATTAGCTCCTGCTTCAATCTGTGGATTTATTATATACACATCAGTTAGTTTATATGCCAACTGAAAAATGCACTTAATGAGAAAGCCCAAGAAATATCATTTTATCTCCCACAGAGACTTAGTATCATGTCACAACCAACTAATTACCTTTAAATCCGCAGAATAGAAGCCTATTTAGTGGACAACCAATGTGGTTTTAGGCATTTTAGATACAAGTTGTGACGGTGAAAATGGTGATGCCAGTGTCTTCTAGAAAGTTTATATTTTACGGGTTTATCGGGGAAAAAACTTACAAATCCCATTCGCCGGTTGCTCTAGCATGCCTCTCAACAACCCGGTATAGACGGTCGAGGTTGTATATTACCAATCCAAACATGCATTCCGCATCCTTTTCCTGTGGAAGAATCAAGAAAGGATTTAAAAAAAAACTTTTGGAAAAGAATTTTCTCAAGAATGGACAGAAACACTAAATTCGACAACATACACGTCCTTGTTCTACGCAGCTTTGGTGCTCCATGATTCTCTTCTCGATCTCGATGACGAGCAGTCTCCTGTGGATACGAGCAATTCTTCCTCTTCCTACTGCTCTGCTATCCTGTTATGTATGGTTGAATTACCCAAGTTTGACGACCTCCCACTCCATTTTGTTCCCAAAAAACCAAACCCTTTCATCGCCACCTTGCTTGCCTTGTCTCTCGTTCCCTCGCGACCTCGCCCCTTTCCTCCTTTCCTCTGTTGGGGACGGTGGTTGTTAACGACAGCAAAACTCCGGCAATTCGAGCGATTCCAGATAAGTACATGAAATTAAAAGAATATTTTGTCGAGGCCTGTGAAACACAGAATCAAAACAATTAACAACATAGATAACAATAGAAAAAAAAAAACAATTATTATGCATGAGTAAACTCTCTCATTGTTTTAAAATCTTGAACCGAATATACATGGAACAAAGACTATAGTTTCATCATAAACCAGAGTCAGATATAATTAGTGTAATTGGTTTGATTTTATTAGTACATTTTCTCACCTTTTTGAGCCATGTCCGGAACAACGTGAACATGATAAGGCTGAGAAAGAATGCAGGTAATGCAGCCAGAATAGCAAAGTTTATTTCGTTTGCCCGGAGAATCTGATCCAATTCAAGCATTGCCCTGCAATAGAAACAATTCACGCGATAAGACATGGACAAGACGTATAATCTAACTAATTCTAAGCTATAGGTTTATTGAACTTACGTTTCGATATCTAGTTTAAGCTTTTGGACCTGAAAGAAAGACAATTCTCACGTAAACATGAGCTTACATAATGTAAACATAACCTGTCACAAAGAAACATGTATTACCTGTATAAGTAGAGCACGAGCAAGCTCTCCGCCTAGAAGATTATGAATAGGGTGAACCAGTTCTTTTTCGTATCTGTATTTACACAGTCCAGTATAATTGTGAGGGAAAGAAAGTTAAAATAAACTTCACAGATATATGGCGTCTGAAGACAAGTGTGGGCATAGAATATCATCCATAATAATTAGTCAATAACCAAGATTTAAAGCTTGTCGTCCAAATAGGTACTAGGTAGCCTCGATTTTTTTCGTTTCTTTAAATTCATTCGGAATGTCATCAAAAATAAATTGTTGAGAGTTTTACCGGTTCATCACAACTTCAAGCATCTGCTGGTCAGATGCATTTTCTGGGTGTTTTTCACGTGATGTCTGCTCACAAAAGTTCATAAGCATTCTGTAAAACAACAACAGATTAGCCCACATCAAAGATAGATGAGTATGATAGTGTAACGATCAAGAAAAAATAGAAAAGCGGTAGATTTTAGAGATTTGTTGGCCACAACTGTTTGAACATTGACTATTCACAAAACAAGAGTTATTATTTCCACATGACCATATTATCTAAACTCAAACATGAAAGCACCAAGGGTAGAATATCAACCTATGTAGGGAGTCTTGAGTCAATTGCACTTCTTCAATTTCCATAACACCTTTGTGCCTTTTACGGAAAGTATCGAAAAGTTCATCCCTAATAGCAAGCAACTGTGCAAAAGAGAAACTAATTCAAAATCTTTTGCACTATAAACATTTCAAGTAACAAGGCTTATAACAATAATACTTCAACTATTCGAGTAAGGTGTCAACTGAACGTCAAATTCATATATGAACCCAAAATCTTTATATTTTGTTTGTTCCAATTGATATTTTATGTGAAATCATTTGGACTAACATAAAAATTCTTGAAGTGCTCTAACGTAAGTATAGAATGTGATGAAAACAAACCGGTTGCTCAACATGATCACTAAAGAAAATCGTTGTTGCTTCCTTTGCATCACGAATCCAATTATCAATATCAGAACTTCCCATCAACCTACTATGGCGTAGTAGCCATATAGAAAGAGCACCGAATCCAACCGCACCACAAGTATACCGAACCCAATATAGGGTTATTTTCTTTGGCTTTCGATGCTTTCCAACCTAATTAGAGAGAATCACAAGCAAGAAAACTCAATTTATTAGTTTCCAACAAAAGTCGTGTTTCATTATATAATGATTTTTTGTTTAGAAGCACACAAGTCATTGTAAAACTACCATCACTTACCGTAAATGATAAATATGATTCAAGTTTCTCCAAGTTCTTATATATCACATTGATAGCATCTTTGAGTTCACAATCGGTCCATTGGGACCCTTCTTGATTAACTTCTGGGATATTATCGAATACAAGAGGCATTGAGCAACTTCCATCGACCGGAGAATTAGACTGCAAATACATTAGACAAGAATCAATACACATGATGAAGTAATACACTACTAACCCATTAATATTAAAAGTAAATGTTCAATGTAAATACCTCACGCTCAGCATGCAAATGGCGGATTGATGCCTCCAAGTTCAAAAACAATCCATTTATAATGGCCAATAATGATGTCAAAGACTTTTCTGGATTCTTCAGGGAATCTGTCCCGCATTTATCCATCTCAACATAGAGCTATAGTACAGAAAATGATATTAGTAAATATATACCTAAAATAACACCACATAAACATAAAATACAGTAAATTTACCAAAATGAATCATGCACAATATACTAACGGTTCACAGAATGAAATCAATGAAGTTAGTTGATTACTTGAGTTAATCACAACCTGAGCAAGAAAGGAAGCAAGTGCACATCTTAATTCCATCAAGACCCTTATCCTCTCGGACATGTGAGACGAAGCTGATTGACACAGATGACGCGTTGCAAATCCCTCGCCAAGACTTTTGTGCACGAATTTTACAGTCTCATCAAAAAAAGCCATGGGACCTCTCTCGAAAATCATGAAATATGCTTTCCGAGCATCGGAATCCTATACTCAATATGACGAAAAGAAGAGCAAAAAACCAATTAGACTTACTACCAGATTCCGGTTAACAAAAAGTAGATCTTAGTGAGACTTGTTCATTCACCTCGACTCTAGATTGCCAAAATTGCAAACTCTTCTGTATATCGTGCAAATTCGAGAGGAAGTAAGCCATTATATCCGCCAAAACATCATAAATTCTGGATATCTCCGACGAGGCCCTGCGTGTAACAATCGGTACATTGTAATTTCAGATTATTCTTCATCAAAACACAATCATTTAACACAAAATACAAATTAACGAAGAACTGACAATTACACAAGTGATACAGAACTAGTAAAAAAATTGAATTGATAAAAGAAAACCCAGTCCATTTATTTTTAGATACTCTCAAAAGAATCAACAACCAGATGAAATGATAGAATCTTACGCATAAGAATCTGGATAATCGGAGGGTAGAGGAAGTGGAAGGAAGTGTTGTCGTCGTCTTCTTGTATTTGTTTGGCGATATTTATTAGAGAATTTCCCGAGAAAATTGAAACCCGAAGAAGGAATCAGAGAAGCGAATCGATTCCACAAATAATAGGAGTAAAAGGACACTAGGGTTTCAGAATTTGCTGGCGGGGGCGATGATGATTGCTCTGTGGCCTGAGGTTGAGATTCCATTGGAATACGAAGAGGAAGAAAATCACTGTTCATGCAATTAGTCGAAAGCGCCACCCTATTCTCTCAGATCTGCTGCAGCCCAATGACATAACAACATGTTGAAATAAGGTTATTGTAAGGAAAAACTCCAGCTAAAGATTCACTCACCGTTCCATCATAACAAAATGGAGAAGATTAACAGTTGATGATAGAGAGCTTTAGCTTAACTAGTGCATCACAACATCGATTTTTTTTCCTATTTTCATGTCTCATTTTCCTTGCTTGATCATATCTGTTCCTTTCTTATTTTACATCCTATTCCCATCGGGGAGATACTTTATTTTTTGCACAAACTCCCAATGCTCCATAACCCAAAAAAACGAATAGAACTTAAGAGAAATGGGAGGCTTTCAAACAAAATTTACCTCCAAATTTCGAGCCTTCAGATTCCATTTCGTTATTGATGGTGAAACTGTTTCCCATTATCAATAGCAGTTTACAGCCAACGATAGGAGACGATCAAAGAACCGTTGACATGCCAAGGACCAATCTGAAACACGAAAAGCAAATTAAGATTAGATACTGTCCGAATCACCCAACATAAGCCCAAACAATGCAATGGCTACGAGATTATCACTTTATCACTGGTTCGTTTATCACTACATACACACACAGAGGAATCAGAACCCAAAAACGACAAGATAATCAGAACGCGGATTCAATTCGAACAGTAGGAGAAAAAAAGAAATCGAAGCAGGAGCAAGCCGCCGGCATACACGTTTCAAAAGCCAGATCGTTTTCCACAGCTCTAACCACTGCATCAAACGAATCCCTCTCTCGCGCGCTGGTGTAGAAACCCTAAATCGCAGAGATGAAAAACGGAGATCGCTCTTGGCATCCGATTTCCCGCCCGATTTTGATTCGCAGTAACTGATAATAGACGGAGATCGAATAAATTCGAGAGGGAGAGAGAGAGAGAGCAAGAAAATAAATACTTAGGGTTTGAGAGCTGTAAGCAATGAGGGACGGGGGAAATTGGAGATTTAGTTTTTTGGATATAACTTAATATGGGAAGAGGAAAAGTTTATGTATTATTATGAAAATTATAAATTTTATGTATTTATTATCTAGAATTTGTTATTAATCTAATATAAGAATCAATTAGGTTTATTTTTAAACAACATTGGCCAATGGCGTTCCGAATATAAATTTAAAAAACACTACTGATCATGGAATCTTGCCCTAAAATCTTGATCAAGAAAAGCTTTGCAGGATATCTTCAAATCCCGTTTAGAAACAGAGTATAACACGAGACCGTACAAGTACACATTTGCCCCTTTCGTCACAGAAAATTACACTTTTGTCACTGCCTTCCCCTCTATCGGATGATTCCGTCGAAATTCCGGCGACGTCTCTCCCTTCACATTCCTCATCAAGGTGCTCACATTCAATCGCCTCCATTCCCTCTCCCGTTGCCTACGCTCTCTCGCCGATGCGGACTACGGCGCCGCCGCCGCCGCGACCGGACGCGTTCGCCTCCACGTATACATCGACCATTTCTCCCTCGCTAGGAACGATACTCTGGCGGAGGACAACTTGAAGGGCGTGAGGGAGATTCTCGAGTTCGTGGATGTGTTTGAGTGGAGATTTGGGGGAAAAGTGGTTCACTACCGACAGACAACGTCGGATTGCAGGCGCAGTGGTTGGAGGCTTGGTGGCCGAGCTCTGATAACGAGTTTGCGTTCGTCGTTGAAGATGATCTGGAGGTTTCTCCGCTCTATTACAGATTTTTGGAGAGCGTGATTCGTAATTACTACCACGATGCGTCCAATTTCAGCCATTCTATCTATGGAGCTTCGCTCCAACGACCAAGGTTCGTTCCATCCAGGTACCATTGTGCGTTACACTTTTCAGAATTACCGATTGTGGCAAGTGCTCGAATCATCTTCGTGAAATTCACATTTGAAGTTTAGGGTTAATCATAATTCGTGCAACATTTTGATTGATCGGTGTTTTTTTCTTTCGGATTGGAGTGGAACAAAATCTCGGATATTAGTGGTTACGAGGAGATAGGTTGAAGGAGAAGGGAGTGCAACTTCTCCATCGTTAGGTCTACTGGTAACTAGGATGATATATTTTGTTCATAAAGCCTTATTAATAAGAGAAAAACGAAGTGGATGACAGAGTTGTAAGTTTTAAGAGTAAGAAAGAGGTGGGAATGTGCGTGGTTGCGATTCGTAATTTCGTAGCCATGTTCGTAATGTTGTGACTCTCAGATAAATTTTATGGCCAATCACAGATAAACATGGAAATAAGTTTCGTCTAGGTCCTGGTACTAGGATTTTCTTGTATCAGTTGGTTGGAACGTGGGGACAGCTTCTCTTCCCAAAACCGTGGAAAGAGTTCAGATTTTATGGTATGATGATCACAAGGTAAAAGGCACCAAGCCTATACTCGATGGCATGGTAACTTCTCGTTCTTACTTCTTCATGGTTTTGCGTTATTCAACTTCTAGTTATACGTCTTTCCTTGGAATTAAAAATTGGGATTCTGCTTAGGTGACGACTGGATGGTACAAGAAGATGGGGGAACAAATATGGACACCCTGGTTCATAAAGTTTATTCATTCTCGTTGCTATTTTAACATCTACACCAACTTTCAAAATGAGAGAGCATTGTCTCTCGTCGGGATGCTGGTGTTAACTATGAAAAAATCGTGGGGCCAGATTCATGGTTACTGGATGAAGGTTCGTTTGAATCCAACTTTCTGAAACTGCAACCTCTGAGCAACCTTAAGTGGTATGGTTTCTGTTTCAGAGAAGTTGTTCCCGGCAGAGTAGTAAGAAATTCGGATGAACTTGGGACTCTTCTTCCGTAAAAGTCAGAAAACCAATCTGCTCGTGAGTCTACATTATGCGAAAGAGATGTTCACAAGGAATCTGCTCTGCCATTTTGAGAAGCTTAATACTCGAAACCACATCTTTATCGGTCCTAATTCTGAATTATTGTCTGATCTTTCAAGAAAGGGACATCCTGTGATTGATGTCGATCAGTTTCCTGATAACGTTGGAGCATACTAAAAAGTCAAATTTCTCATCCAAACATTAACATGGTGAAGGAGGCACTGGGAGTGGCATATATAAACAAGAAATGCTTCGAACTGCGGATGGCAAATCCAGCTTGTAAGCTTGTGCCATTGCTCTCGGGAGCGGAATGGCATTTTAAGTACAATGGAGTTAGCATCGTGATGATGATTCGTATGAAAACAAGCTTAGCTTCTTCATGCTTGAACAAGGCACCGACCTGAGAGTGAGAGTATTGGGGATGAATCTCTCCCACACTTCAGGCAAACCTGAGAAGGAAGCTAAACCCAAAAGGTTGCAGATGGGAAAGGCATACAAGGAAGGATTGACTTCAGGCAAAAGCAATTCTTTCTGGATCTTTTTATCTGTAAGTAAATTTAACAGTGAGCATCCTTAATTTTATTGGTTCAAATTCTTGTTTATTTCATAAATACCATAAGATCAAATTATGTTTTTATGATTTGCTATGTCCATGGATATATATATACATATAATTTATAGGAAAAATATATATTATAAAAACAAAAAAAAAATATACGTCGTAAATAATTTTTTGGTGAATTTGAGCAAATTTACTCTAAAAAAATAGGAAATACGAAAGGTTATACGGAAGGGTAGATGGATCCTATGATACGACGACGTTAACTCGTTAAGCGAGAAAGCAACCGAATCAAAAGATTTGGTCGTATTCAGGGTTTAGGTATGGGTTCAAATAAATAGAAACTAAAACAACAACAAAAATTTGATTTGATATCATCATCATTATTATTACTATTATCATCATCATCATCATCATTATTATTATCGTTGGAATTAACCAGTCGTGAATCACGAGATTAAATGAATCCGATCTTCATCGTTCCCGTAGGGACCACCTGCTCCTGGGTACTATAAACTGTGCAGTTGGCAATAATATATCGTTGGAGTATATGGCTTCCTTGATTTGTGTACCCCACTTGTCTCTATTTTATGTCATGTTATTCGTTAGAAACATGCCAAGTCTATCGCTAACCCAATGACGAAAGTTTCGTTGATTTTTGTATCCCAGTTTTTTTTTTTGGAAAAATATTAAATACGTTATAAAATATACTAAATAAATATTTAAAACTTTTAATTTTATGTAATTAATATTTTTTATATTGTTATGTAATTAATATTTAGATGATAAAATATTATAAATTGATATTTCAAATATTAAAAAATTTCAAATAGATACTTTAACTCACGAAATCAAAAATAATTTACAACCTCTATTCATTTTTTATGTTGGAATAAACCTCTAATTTATATACCGTTGTTAGAGTTGAGGCTGTGAATTGTTATCGTTTTTATAAGTTCCGTTTTTTATATAACATCCAACTTATATGTCGTCGTTAGAGTTAAAATTGATAATTGTTATCGATTTTATAAATTAAAATATAAAAAAAAATTTCTGAAAATTCTCAAATTTGAAATTTGGTGAAAAAATAATTTTTATACCTTCTAATGTCTCTAATTATTTTTAAATTTAAAAAAATGACTTAATAATTTTTAAAATTATTTAAAAGTGTCATATTTATTTTTAACGTAAATTGATCAAAGTAATACTATTATAAAATTATACGCTAATACTATTATAGAATCTTACTTAGCGATGAGATGTCAAGATATGTCATAATTTTGTACTATGTATGTAGAACCAGATTTAATAAATTCAGTTTAATAAAATCGGTTCAAAATAATAATAAATCCAATATAATACTGACTCAGTTTATTGTACCGGATTTATTTGATATATTTTATAAAGTTGAGATAATAATATGAGTTTTTCTCCCTTTTTTTTGTTTAAAATATGACACAACTAATTCTAAAAAAAACAATTTGCATATCCTTTTATAAAATGTTATAAAAACCGTCACAGACAACTCTTTTCGCGCCTTTGAGTAGGTCAAATCCTAATCCTAATAATGATTTTTGTCGGCCGTAAATAATAACCAGTTATCATTAATTATGCTTAATGAAAACACATTGTTTTGGGGCAATGATCGGTGATGGCTGGTCGTTTAATTTGTTTATTTTTGTAATTTTTGGGTGACGATTTTAATTAAAAAATGGTTGGGTAATTGAAATTGATTCCAAGCAAAAGAAAAATACGGAAAACCAAAGAGATTAACGAAAAAAAATCAAATTCCAATATCATATTCAAACATCGAAACAAACTTTTTCTCTCAATAAAGTTGAGAAACATGTTCCTTTATCAATAACCAAACCAAACCAAACCAAACCGACATAACCGAACATACATTTTAATAATAACTATGATCATAACCATGTTGATGAACGTTTGGTTACAGAAATTTCACGATACAATCCTGATCGATTCCATGGTTCTCTTCCCGTCATGAGGCTTGCCAAAGAAAGACTTCAAGTAATCCGAATACACTATCTTCTTATACCTCGGCATCTCTCCCTTCTCTAACGCCTCCCTCAACGGTTCGATAACCGAATCGTTAACCGGTCCACAGAAAACCGGGATTGAAACCCGGCTGACTCGGTTAGGCGTCACCCGATGCTCGACGCTCCGGTACCGATCGTTGCTAAGAATCTGCAGTACATCTCCGATGTTGACGAGGAGGGCATCCTCGACGGGAGGAACCTGGATCCATTTGTCGCCATGCTCAGTGGCCCGGGCGTAGAGGCCGCCTACGACGTCGTCTTGGAGGAGAATGGTGAGAGTGTTGATGTCGGAATGGCGGCCGACTCCTGCGGCGAGTTCAGGGTTCGGACATTCGGGATAGTAGTTGAAGTTCATCCTCAGTGTCCCCATTAGGGTTCTTTCTTGGTCGTCGTCCATGTTCGAGTTTAACTTGATCATCAGTATGCTTAGCATTTTCTTGGCTATTGGTCTGATCCTCTTGAAATGTTCTATCACTTGTTCCCTGGACAATTTTTTTTAAAAAAAAGACAAATCGTGTGAAAAAAAACTATCACTTAATTAATCCGTTATGAAATTAGTCTATAAATCTTTTAAAAGTGTCATATGCATATATATATATATATACACGTATGTAAATATTTTTTAGTTTATTATTTTTGTCATGTTTTTAGTTTTTTTATAAATATGATATAACATCTCTCCTAGAAAGTCATTTTATATTCTCGATTTGTCACATCAGTTACAACATTTTCATATTATTTATGGAATTTTGTAGCAAATTTATATTATATCTTAGAAATTTAAAATTTTAGTATTATATCTATATTTTTTTTGCAAAGTTGAGTAATTTAGGTGGAATATTCCGTTTGTATTATAATATATTTATTAAAATTATAACTGATTGTATACGTTGCAATATCTGTAAATACCATGTAAAAAAATGTTAATGGAAAAATACGCTGACAATTTTATCAAAGATTTAGAAAACCTCTTCAAAACTGATTATCCAAAGTGCAAACCCATCGCCTATGCTGACCGCGCACGTGCGTAAATAATCGTCCAAGAGGCAAGAATCTTACTTGCAGACAGAGGGCCACGTGGCAGCGGAGTCCTCAGTCTCAGGATACTCGAACTTGACAAAGTCCCTCCACTCCAGCACTTGCTCCTCGTACGGATTGAAGCTGGTCGTCATCCACATCGTCTCCGACACCGAATCCCCCCTCCAGTACCTCTTCCTCTCCTCCGCCGCCAACCCGAAAAACCCACGCGCCGCCGCCCTCAGCGCGTGCAGCTCCTCCGCCGGGATCCCGTGTCCCACGATCTGGAAGAACCCGCGAGTGGACGCGGCCTCGCAGATCTCCTCCGCCACGCGAGGGTCCGTCCAGTCCGAGACATCGATGACGTTCACCGGAGATGATCCGGGGGCGAGGATATTTCCGGCGGAGAGAAGCTCCTCCGGTGGTTGGACGTACTGGGGAGGGAGCGATTTTGGGGATACTACGTCGACGAGGCCCTTAACGCCGTTACGTTGGTTGACGACGAACTCCGTTACGTCGACGGCGCCGTTACGATCGGCCATTTAGGGCTTCGTTTTTTTTTTTCCTTAAACAAAAGGGTATCGAAAACAAGTGTTTGTAGAGAGAGATGAAGAAGGTTTGGTAGATTTATACACCAAGACAGAAGACAGAGAGCAGCAGCGCCTCTTTCTTGGTGTCTTCCCATGTCAACCTAAGATCCCAATAATAAAAAAATCATGTGTCGAGGTGGCATTGATTGGGACATTTAATATTTCGTCAGAAATTTTATTTGACAGCGGGCAAACCAATTTTATATTACTTATTATATATATGGATACTCTTGGCGGAGTCGTGGAATTTTTTTCCCAAGAAAACGCCAAACGCGAACGCTTACAACGTTTTTTTTGCTTAGAAGAATAAGCGGAAGGAAGAAGTGTCGTCGTTGTTGATTTTTCGGCCGCCGTACAACGTTTTGTAGTTTAAAATATATATTATATATTTTTTATTAATTATTTTTTAGATTTTTTAATTAAAATACGACATGTTATTTGTTTATTACGTGACAGATAATGTTAAATATAATATGGTTTTAAAAGTTCAGATTTATTTATGGAACAACAATAAAGTTTAGTATTTATTTGATAAAAAAGTTAGTTTTGCTTTTATTTAGGGAAATTTGAAAACTTGAGGAATTATTGTTCTATTTTTTAAAATATAATGTTAAAATTGTTTTAGTACATATAGTTAATGTTTTTTACGTTTCTCCTAAAATTTTAGTATAACCGAATAATATCCAAAAAAATTGAAATAAAATCAATATCTGAATTTTTGTAAACAAATCTGAAGGTATTTGTGTTTTGGGTATTAAAACATACTTAAATATTGTCGTATGCTTGCTTGGAGTGATTGATCAGGAAAAAAAAACCCTACCAATATTACATATGAAAATTTCCAATTTGGGTTCGGATTCGATTCGTGTATGTTTATGCGAAGGTTTAGATATTTTGGTTTTTAAAAAAATTTATATCATCTATTTTGTTGGATTGGATTCAATTTGCGTTTGAAATTGATTTTTTTATAAAAATAAATATATTGGTTTTTTAAAAATTTGTATCATCTATTTTGTTGGATTGGTTTCAATTTGCGTTTGAATTTGATTTTTATTTATAAAAATGTTTAATTTTTTTATAAAAAATGATTTCTCTTATTATTTTTAAGATTTAAAAAAAATTTATAACTATATATTTCTATATCAAATTACTTCATAATGTTATGATAATTTCGATTGAGATAAATCCAATGAAATGGCCAGAGAAGAGATAGTAGTTTTTATTATGGGTTTTTGGCTTTAATTTTTTGTTTTTAGTTTTTACCTTTTGTAGTTTTTATGGTTTTTAAAAAAATTTATTGGTAAGAATAATATTTTAGCTTTTCGTTTTAGATTTTATATTTAAAATTTATCAAAAAGGGTTTTAATTATTAAACAAAAATCATATTTATTAATACTAGTAATAACAATAATTAAAAAAATTGAGAAAACCATAATGTTACTGTAATTTCATCTCGAATTCCCTCCATATACCTAATCGAAGTATCATTCTAGTTTTTTTCATCATTTTTATCTTCTAATGAATCATCTTCATTTATTGCATCACTTTCTTTAACAAATTTTATCTCAAAATCAATATCTTGAATTATAATATATATTTTGAACAATAAATTTTGAATTACATATCTCAAATTTTGTTTTTTCATAAAACTTTTTTTTAAATATGAATTATGGTAAAAATATTAAGAATATTTTCTTATATAGACATAAATATAATGTAAAATATATATTTTTAAAATGATGGTATTTTTATTTTTAGAATAATTTATATAATTATTTTTAATAAAAATAAAAAGGTCTACTAACAAATACCTAAAATCTACAAAAGATTAACTTTTTTAAAATTTTGATTAAGTGATTTTTTAATCTCTAAAAACCGAAAAAACTCTACCCTTAATGTTTTTTTAAAACTATAATTTTTCATCATTTAAATTAGAGTTTTGAATGGAGATGATTTTTATTTTGGGTTTTTAGTTTTAGTTTTTAAATTTTAATTTTTAGTTTTGATTTTTTAATTTTGAATTTTATAATATTTAAAAACAAAAAAAAGGTATCTTTTAGTTTTTCATTGATTTTTTTATTAAAATAACTTTCTAAGTTTTTTAAAAAAATAATTTCCTAAAAAGTTGAATGGTAATTTTTTTAGCCTAGATTTTCGTAAATGTGTAAACTGGAGGTGACGAGGAAAAAGTTGAATGATCCACTTTTCCTTTATCCGTTTCGTCTCCGGGGAATTTTGGCCGAGTCGGTTTGTCGTTCGCCGGATCTGATGGATTTCGGATGAGAAACGGACATTTCTCCGATAAACGTACGAAAGGAAACGGAGATCGTACAACGGAGTGTGATTTTGTTTGGCGTTCTGAGGATTTTGATGTTCTCATTTCAATCGAGTCAAAGAATTTCGGTTATTGTTCATGTTATTTCTAAGTTCGGAAGTATAACCAGTTTCCTTAATCCTGTTTGGTCTCACGAAGAACATGGTTTCTAAAACATGATGATCTTGTTTAACAAAGAACATGGATTTATGTAATAATTCATGAATTTGACTGGTTTTATGATCGTTAAGAGGATCTGCATGTTTGGGCATTAAGCCGAGAGGGGAATGGCTCATTCATTCTATAATCTCTTCCATGTGAGCAGAATGCGGCATTGCAGCTCAAGAGAATTCTGGGTGCGAAAACACAGGTGGTGGCGGGAACGATGCACCATCTCACCCTGGAGGTGGCAGACGGTGAGACCAAGAAGGTCTACGAGGCCAAGGTCTGGGAGAAGACTTGGGAGAATCTCAAACAGTTGGAGGGATTCAAGCATCTCCATGACGTTCCTTCCCACGCTTGAGCCTTTCGCTCGGTAACTATCCTTCCTACTTTGATCTTGTATGACATGACGTGTATTGCACGTCGTTTTATGCTCCGGGATCGAAGAAGCTCTATATGGCAACCATAACTCTGATTGAACAAGTCTTTCATCAATCGTAACGAATCTGGAGGTGAAATTCAGACACTTGATCTGTGTAAGATTGATAATTCCTCTGTGTTTTTACGACCTCATGTTTGTGTATTGCCAAAATTTTCTTTCCTTGCTTTTGGGTGGACAGGATACGAAAGAACCGGCTCGATTGGTTAGTTGGTAACCAGACTCCGGTTTACTTAAAACACATTCTGGTACCGGTTTTTAGCAAAGAGATAATGAGGCTGGAGAGGAAAACTTATGCCATGACCAGAGATGCAAGATGGGTCCTGGTTATACAGACCAATCATATATTCCGTCGATAGGATATATTTGTGTTGGTGGCATTGAGGTAACCGGAGTCTCATTCTACTGCATTGCTAACAAACCGAACCAACATAAACCTGGTAAATGATTCGGTTTACAACGTCACTTTACTCCTGCAATACATGGCTAAAGAAGCTAAACCGGGTAACAAGAAACCAACCGCACCATACCCGGTTCCAAACAACTAACTGATTCACTAACCGGGGAATACGTTTCTTCATCAATTGTCTTCTTTTACTGACTTCTGAGCTGAACTTGTTGAGGGAGGAGACTGTAATCGATGTGAAGCTCCTCGAACATGTTCTTGATGGCCATGACGAGCTCGGTTCTTCTGATGTTCCTCTCGCGGTATTCTTGGAACGTGATCGTGTGGTTGCTGTATAGCGCCATCTTCAGTTTGTTCACGTTCTCGATCTCTTTCACCACCACTGAGTGAGTTGGTTGCCAGTGCTGCGGGTTCTGCTCCAGGTATCTGATCAAAAAAGGGAGAAAAAAAGCCCGTAGATTCTTGTATCAGATCTTTTGCGTAAAAACATTTTCCGGGTTAACATAAAAGACATCGTATGTTTCGGTTCCTTGGATTCAAGATTCGGTTTCTTGAATTCTTGTCAAGAAGGTGAAGCGTTTGGATGATGTCAATACCCTTTTTCTGCGCCAATCTAACAAAAGAGAATAGAAGAGAAGACGGGTAAATCGTGATGCATACACGGCGATTCTCTCTCTGAGGCTGGCTATTTTCTCGACCGGCGTCGAGAACGCGATAGAGAACTCGACGGTTTCTCCCATCTCCGGACTTCTGTAGTAATTGCTTATGGGTTTGGTGGCCAGAACCGCATTTGGATAGAACACTTTCTCGTTGTCAAGCTTCAGAAACACCGTCGTCAACAGATTCATTTCTTCAACCATCATCTGCCGGGAAAAAAAATCGATCAAAACATGAAGTCTTTTCAGATTTGATGATATCTCCGGTTCAGAAGAGATGATGCCAAGAGAGAAAAAGAAGAAGAATATGTCTGAGTTACCGCAACGCCATCAACAACGCAACGGTCTCCAACATCGAAAGGGTGCATCACGAACACAAACACGATGGATTCGAAGAGATTCTTGCAGGTGCTTCCGATCATAAAAGCAAGAGCCACGAATTGGGTCGAGAAGAAGACAAGGACCTTCGTCGTCGCTACCTCAAGAAGCAGCAACCATATCACGATTGTTACAACAATCAAGATCACGGATACGAGTTTGTTCAGTTGCTTAACCGCTGTTTTCGTGTCCCTTAAGGAATGCGCCAGAGCTTTCCGGCTCGTGTAAACCTTAACCTGTCGGAATATGGAGACAGCGTTAGTGCGAAAATCGAAAATGAGAAACCGCGCATCTGGAGAAAAAAGATCGAAACTTTGAATTCTTCAGGACCCTTAGATGAAGAGATTCTGAATCTCGACACTTTCCCGATTGTTAAGAGGTCGAAAAACTTTCTTTTTCTACTCGGAAAGTGTTTCAAGAGGCTTACCACCCACTCTGTAAGAGCTCTTCTTGTAATTTTCCCGGTCTCGGCGCCTTCGAACAATGGTAGCACAAGATCTACCTCTTCCTTGATCATGAATCTCAGCAGGTCATCTTCGTCGATGTAACTAAACAGAAAACGACGACAAACCCGAGATTCCCACGGTTTTTATTAGAATCACCAAGAGAACAAATATGAATACTTAGAACCATGACGATGATATGGTTCTTACTCGTGCCCCGGCTTAGCAACATTCTTGAATGTATCGTAGGCAGCAGCCACCGCCTCCATTTCGCTAGTGATCTCTCTATCGGTATGCTCTTTCCCATCAACGTAAGCAGTTTCGTCCAACGCGTTGGAGATCGTTGAGAGACCCGAAGTTCTTACGGCTTCGACTAAAACCCGCATCGTCCAGGCGGAAACCTTCTCTTGCTTCATCTTGTGAACCTTTGCCATATCGATAACTTTCCTCTCTCTCACCTTTGTCCCTTCTTTGACACTTGTGAAACTGAGGTGACCCGTGCTCGGTTCCTGCCCCACCCTCTCGGCCTCCTCGATGAGTGGAGGCCCGGAAAGGGTCTGGAGAACGTATTGATGGAAGATCGAATCTTGAATCCTATCGAAGAAATTGTTTACATTGAAATGCGAAGCCAAGATCTTCAGTAACAACGTCTTCACCAGCCAGAGGAATGCCCCGATGAGAATCGAAACAAGGCTCCACGATATAATGTTCAGGACTTTCGTGGCTGTAGGCGAGCGTTTAACCCCGTGTTTGAACAGCAACGCCCATGTTACAAGGTTCAGACTTAGCCAGATGAAAACCTGAACGCTCTTCTTCAAGCCGTGGACAAAGTAGAGCACCTTCCTCCGAAGAAGAAAGTTCGTCTCTATCAAGAAGACGACGAAATGCATGAACCAATTCGTCACCAACATGCCGCTGAACGTCACCATAGCAAGCACACACCATTTCCAGACCTCTAATCCCCAAAAGAATTGCCGTTTCAGCACATCAACGGTTAAACTCGCTACCAAAGCGCCTAACATGCTCACAAAGACAGCCAACTCGATCAAAGCTAGAGTGTTCACTCTTCCTCTCTTCTCTTTGTTCAGCTTAACCTTCTTGTAGATCTCTTCATCTATATCTTTCTCATCAACTTCAACTGCTTTATTCGGGGTTTCCCTAGCCGACTTGTCGTTTGGGGATCCGATATTAAAAGATCCCAAACCAAAATGGTCCCTAAGAGTTCCACCATTCTCTTCTAGCTGACTCGTCGGGTCCAGGGAATAAGCTTTTCCCAGGAACCGGGACTTGGGCTTTGAGTAGACTGACCTCGTTAGAGATTTCCTCTGAGTAAGACCTTCCTTGGGAGTGGTTGGCACTTTGGGTGGCTTGTGAGGGCTGCTGATGAACTTGGCGATTTCGGGAGATGGGCAACTCAAGGGCACTGCTCTTGTTGAAGACTCTGGTGAAAATCCTTTAGCTGGTTTCGAATCTTTTGATACTTCTTGACCTGAAACATTGATGACAAATTCACCCCCATTGGAGGTTTTCCTCTCAGCCATCCCCACTTCAGCTCCTCCCGGTGGATTCGACATGCCAACCTGAAAGGGAATACGATTTGTAAAAAGCTCAATCCAGTCCCCAGTGGCTCTGAAAATCACCAAGTTCTTGACAAAGGGAACCACTGTAGCTCCTTTCAGTAACTAAATCCTGAGAACACGATGATGGGAATGCACGAGTTCTCAGCATCGATCAAGAACCTTTAGCAACATGGAGACTGGTAAAGGTATAATTCATCAGAAGATCATCATCCAAAATGGAGAAGGTTGTCACCTTTTCCCCAAAATAAGCATATCCATAAGAGGTTTGATGGAAACTGAGAACCAACGAACGCCAAACTCCGTATAAATTCTAAAATCTGAATCCAAACCCTAAACCCTAAGACCAGAGATCAGATCATTAGACCAATCCAGAGATTCAAACCCAAGAACCTCTGGGAAAACCCACGAATTGTCCAACGAAGGCCCGGTGAAAGTTGGAAACTTTCCATGGAAAAAGCGCATACTTTCCATGGAAAAAACTCATACTTTCCGAGAGAGAACAAGCTAGCGGACATCTGATAAAAAAAAATACAGTTGGGTAGAGAGAAAACTCAAAAATGGAAAGCAAGGCCGTGCTTACAATAACTCCGCACCAAAACCCACCTCTTGCACCAGAAGACCTCCCAGAGGGATCGACACGTTATGCATCAGAGAGTCACTCACACTATGTATATAGTGGAAAACCTTGACAGCGAAATCATGGAAGAAATACATCATGAAATCAACATGAGCATTGAAAAGGAAGTAGTGGGGATTCTACACTCTCTGTCTTGAGAAGATGGGTTGGAATCATCATTCGCCACAATGACAACAAAAGAACCACGAAACTCAGTGCCCTTTGGTAGACACACAAAAAATACAGAGGAAATGAGTCAAAGACACAAAAACAAAAGGAAAAAGAAACAGAAGATCATCGGACAAAGACACCCAGGAAGGAAGGTTTTGTTGTGCAAAAAAACACAAAAAAAAAATGTTTAGGATAAATATTTATATTATAAATAGCGTTTCTTAAAAACTACATATATTATAAATTTAAGTCTTAAATAATTGTAATCTCTAATAAAATGTTGTAACTTGTCTATCACTAAAAAATTCACTTGTTTGTAAAAAAAAAGGATTGAATTAACATAGGTTTTTATTATATTTCGTGATAGCTGAGCTTTCATCGCGTGCATAGGAAATAGACAAAACAGAGCTTTCATGGATTTGAAGGGTTTCTAGGAGGTGGGTTGGCGGGGACAATACATGCGGTCCACGCACCACGTATGTAACTGTGAATTTTCCTATATATATATATATATATATATAGAGAGAGAGAGAGAGTTTAAAATTCTAGAATCTAAGAGATAAATATAACATTTTTCTGGTTAATTTATTATACTTTTATGATAACAATTAATACAAAACATTAATTTGATTTCAGATCGGATTATAGTTGCAACTTGTAGAGATTAGTAGTAAATATGGTGATTTGGTTTTCTCGAATGTTTTTTTCTATTATTTTTTTTTATCAACTAACATGACTTTAAAACATAGAATGATATGATCCTTTAAAAAAATTATTATTAGCTATCAAATTTATAGACCAGTCCAAAACATTTGGAGAAATGTTGGGTAGACCAAAAAATAAATACAGCTACTAAAAAACCCAATAAAAATTCGATTTAAATATATTTAGATATCAGATATTTATATTGTGTAAATTATTAGAGAATAATGTCGGTTGAGTTCAAAATAATTTGGTTAATCATTCTATAAGTGCATATATTTTCCACAATTTATAGTCTTTCTAAATCAAATCAAATTGAAGTAAACTGGTCTAACCGCTTACAAATATATACCATAAAATTTTAGAGATGTAGCTGTTGATATCATCTAAGGTTTTTTTTTTTTGTTAATCGAGTATAGTATACCAAAATCAAGATTAAATTAGACATCAATCATATGATTTGAAATATATGCATCTCTTTAAGCTTAATATTCGAATTCGAAGTAAAATAGACGGTTTTGTGTCCTATTTCATATGTTAAATTGTCCAAATTTGGTTTTATGTTCCAAAACCAACATGATGATTTGCATTTGAGAGAGAGAGAGAGAGAGAGAGAGAGAGAGAGAGAGAGAGAGAGAGAGAGAGAGA